TAGATCCTCATTTGGAGACAGAATCCAGAGGTTGGGGCTTGTCAACCCCTGGGCTTTGCCACGAGGCCAGCTGGATGGGCTGTGGCATGCCCGACGGATGGAGGGAAGGAGTCAGTAAAGCACCTGAGAAGTAGAAAGAATGGGAGGTTTCAAGACGGAGAACCCAAGGTGGTTACGTAAGTCTGAAGTGATGACATTTTGCGACCTTCATGGTGAAGGCACTTGGCTTCTACGTTGTCTCTAAGCCAAAATCAACCCTGATCCTGGTTGATAAACAGAAGAGATGTCGAACGTGTGCATTGAGGAGGAGGAAGTTGGAAGTCATAAACTGTCACCAACTTTCAAGTCCCTCCAGTGTCCCCTCACAACTTGCCACCCACCTCCTGTAGTTATTCATTTCTTATTCAGTTGTATTCTCTTCCCTTGTGTTACTCTATTGCTTCTTCACTGTTTAATCCATCCTAACTACAGTTGTTCGCATGGATTGTGAATGTCTTAGACGGCTTGTACTAGAGCAGCAAGAGCATGGACTCAGTCTCATGGTATTTTACTGCAGTTGGTTGGTATTTCTGCTAAAACTCTGGGGGAGCTTGGAGCTTGGGAACTGAATCAGGATGTCTGGTTTTATTATGTGGGTCTGGGATTTTAAAGTTCCGGTGACTGAACAGACCAGGAGACGTTTTGAACACAAGGGCTAGCAGAGGCACAGAGTGACGATACCGAGAGCCTGTTAGAGACGAGAAATGCCTTCATGTGATTCCCATCTCAAAACATTTCCCATTTCTTCCCCGTATCATGGCACTGTAGGAAAACTGCTATTATTCTTTCCAAAACGCACAACTTGGTATTTCTTTTTTTTTTTTTTTTTTAAGATTTTATTTATTTGTCAGAGAGAAAGAGACAGCACAAGCAGGGAGAGCGACAGAGGCAGAGGGAGAAGCAGGCTTCCCGCTGAGCGGGGAGCCCAATGCGGGACTCGATCCCAGGACCTTGGGATCATGACCTGAGCTGAAGGCAGACGCTTAGCCGACTGAGCCACCCAGGCATCCCTAACTTGATATTTCTATAGGTGCAGATGCCCCTGATACAGGTGCAGACCCTCCCATCAGTGTGAACGGCATCTGCGTGGATATTCCTGCCCGGCTGCATATCCGCATCCTCATCTCAGATGCTGGTGCAGTGGAAGGGATTACTCAGCAGGAGATACTTGGCATAGAGACAAGGTATGATTGCATCTTGGGTAAGTGTAATTTAGAGAGAGTCAGTAGAGTTGCTGGTGCTCCAAAGAATAGGGAAATGCTAATGTGCAATCTGATTGTTTATGAATTGTAGTTATTAGCAACATGATTATGTGTATAAATGAAATGTGTTACAACTATGTGTATAATGGTAACTTGTTCTCACAGGTATTTATAAAGCTGTGTGTAAGGGATTCTGCATGGTGTCTCGACGTACAAAGATGAAATCTGGGGGGGAATATAATAATCCATGCATACTGAGTAGGGAATACTGTGAGGAGGGGTTTCCCCAAGGGGAGGCTGGGGTGCAGTTGCCAGAAAAAGGGGACGGGGGGCTGGATAGGCAGAAACAACAGACGTTAACCACCAAACGGCTGGTAGCCCTCTTCTGAGAGTGATGTGGTGTGTGCGTACATGATGTGTATAGAGCACCTTCGTACTCTGCCCGGCACCTGGAAAACCCTCCAAGATGGCTAGTTGTTGCTGTTCTTCTTATTATATTGTTTGTTTTTGTAGCAGGGTGATCGGCCTGTGAGGTTCGCCATGCTACTCTCTCTCCCTGTGCATATGTTGGAAAGTTTACATCGTTCAAAGGGGGAAAAAGCACTAGTAGAATTTGAAGCTTCTTCAAGAGAATCCCAGTTTATATTGTTGCTGTTGGTTCCCTCATGCTCTTAACAGACTAGAAACGAATGGTGGATGTGTTACCTGCATAATCTTTTCCTCCCAGGTTCTCTACGGTGAACTGGCAATTCCAGTGTGGGCTTACTTGTGAGGATAAGGCCGATCTTTTCCCTGTCAGTGCATCTGTCCAGTTTATTAAGATACCTGCACGGTTACCCCGTCCACTGACAAGGTAATCCAGTTGATAACCTAGTTACCATTATTAGGAGGCAGAAAAACAGATACTTGAAAAGAAGAAGTTTATTTCTTTAATCAAGTTTGACACATTTCATCAAAAGCGTGCTTTGTTGTGCCTATTGTAATCTTCTAAAATGTTTCCTAGATTCCAGATCAATTTTACAGAGTATGACTGTAACAGAAATGAGGTGTGTTGGCCGCAACTTCTGTATCCATTGACCCGGTATTATCAAGGTAGGGTAAAGCAGATTTCTGGAAGGGTTATCATTATGTTTTGCCAATTAAAATATTTTTAAAAAATATGTGTCACAGAAAACTTAAAACACATAGAAAGAGCTTTAAATGATTTACTAATAAGGTTGCCACTTAGGAGTGATCACTATTACTATTACTGTTTTGGTTTATTTCTACCTAATTACCAAAATAGTTAAGAAATAAGAATTGTGCTTCATTTGGTTCATTTTCTTGCAGGGGAGCCTTATTCTCAGTGCGTGGCCAAGGGCTTACTGTTGGTATCCTTCTTGATATTAGCTGCATTCCTCAGTAACCCCTGGACCAGAACATGCAAAGCTTGAAATTCATCTACCACCTGACTTCTCACAGACCACAGACTTTTGCTTCAGTGACTTGTCGTACTCCTGTGTGCCTCTCTGTAAAATTGTAATAAATGCAGTGCTTTATTTTTGTAAAATTTTTTTTAATTAAGTGCACTGTGAATTTAATTCACATATGTAACTATCTGGATGTGCAGAGCAATTCAGAATAGACATTCTCATCGTTGGATGAGACTGAGCAAAATGCACAAGAGGGTCAACTGTGTAAATAAATGTAATTAGAAGCTTTTGTGTACCACAAGTTACTAAAGTCACAGGAGTTTCGGGGTACGTATGTTATTCTTAGAAAGTTAGTATTTTCTCCAAATTTGTATGTATTTCTGATGAATTGTTTGGTTAATTTCCTCTATTCCAAAGAAAGAATTAAAAATTCTTAAAGCCTTAAAAATGTGTATACTATGAAGTGTATGTATTATTTTGTATATATACACAAAATAAATTGATGAGGGAAGATGTGGAGGCTGAGGGAGGGCAAGTTATATTGGGAGGAGAGTAAAACAAAACCAGGAGGGGAGGTCAGCAAAAGTATGATTAGGTACAGGAATCATAGACCCATGGATTTAAAATAAACTGATTTTCAGTGAAGGATAGTTTTTCCTAGTTGAGGCTTGAGAGAAAATCCTCCTGTGGCTTCTTACGAGGGGACACACAGCATGATGCCGGGGGTTGGGAGGGAATGGATGTCTTCAACCATAGCCCAATCTTGGCCACATGGCAAATCTCTGCATTTTCTCTGTGCCCCAGACATATTTAGTCATGTTTCAGATGGATTTGGACACGGTCAGTAAACCTAATTTTGAAAAGTGACTGTCTTCCCTTTCACACTCTGATGGAATTCCTGGGGCTTCCTGACTTCCCGGACACATCCAATGTGTTGTTGCATTTTCCAGTGCAAATCTGTAAGCCCAGTTCCATTTTTTACTGATTCATATTAAACACGTAACTAACGACATAAAGAAGTTTCTCCCTCAATTACCTGTCTATGTACTGCATTGAGAAATACTGGATTCCTCCCCTTCTGCTTCTCTTTTTCTTTGATTTGGATCTCTATGGTCCAAGTGATTACACCCTATAGAAGGAGTAAAACAATTGTCCTTTGTCAAAGAAAAGGAAATACCCACTGATCAGTTAATTGTAGTGATTCAGAAAGTCTTTCTAGGGCAGTTAATATAACTAGCTCTAGAAAATTAAAATTTTCAAATGACAGGAAATTGAGCCTGATTTTGTGGGCTTTGTTAGGATGACTTTTGTAGTTAAGAGGGGAAAAGCTCACTTTGGCAGAGGAATGGGATCTGAGGGACCTGCTATATGGTTTTAACTTTTCTAAGTTTATACATTTCTGTATGCATTTGAGGACTAGTTATTGAGTGGCTACTACATGCCTGGAGATACCAAGTCAATGTCCTTTGTCTAGTGGCGCTTACATTCTAGTGGGGGAGAATTGGCAGTAAATACAGACAGGATAATTTCAGACAGTGGTAGGCGTGATGAAGGAAATGAAACGGGGCTGGGGTGGGAGATTACCTTAGCTAGGGGCCTGAGACGGCCTCAGAGGCAGGGACATGTGAGCTGAGACCCCAAGCAGCCAGCTTTGAGAAGGCCTAGGAGAGGGGTGTTCTGGGCAGAGGGAGGAATCGCCAAGTTCCAGCACCCCGACCTGGGAGGATAAAGACGGCAGGTGCGGCTGGAGCAAAGGGAGTCCAGGGCAGGCGATGGAGATGCGGGCTTGGGGGCAGGGGGCGTCAGGGCCTGTGGGGTCCTGCTGGCCATGGTAAGAAGTTTGGATTTTACCGGGAAAGCGGGGGGAGAAACCAGAAGATCTGAAGTGGGCTACGAGAGACTTGCGTCCCGTGTCGGGTGACTGGAGCTGTCGCGTGGAGGATCTGCGGAGGCAAACGTGGCCCCGGGGCGACAGTGCCGGCGCCCGCCCCCGCTGTCCGGCCCGCACGGGGGACGGGACCCGAGAGAAGGCCCGCGGCGGGAGCCAGCCGCAAACACACGCTGCGGTGCGATTCCGTCGGGGTGAAATGTCCTGACAGGCAGATCCGCGAGACGAGGTTGTTCGAGGTTGCCCGGAGCTGGGGAGAGACGGCGCTGGGCGAGCGTCAGTCTTGCGCGGGAGCCTCCGCTACCGGCCGCCGGGTTTGTGCGGGTCGGCCCCGCCGCCGCCGCCGCCGCCGCCGGCCGCAACTCCGGGCGCCCATTGGTCGGCCGGCGAGGGGGGGCGGGCACACCCGGGGGGCGGAACCGGAACCGGCTGTAGCGGGGGGCGGGGCCTCGCGCGCGCGGTGGCGGCGGCGGCCGGAGCGGGGCCGCGGTGGCAGGACCGGGCGGCCGCTGCAGCCCGGAGCCCCATGGTGCGCGGCGGCGGCCAGGCCGCAGGAGGAGCCCGAGGCCCCGGCCGCCCCGGCTGACCGCGCGGACCCGAGCGGCCCGGAGCCGCCGCCGCCCGTCCGGCCTCGCCGGGGCGCGGGCTGGCCCGCCATGGGGTCCCTGTTCCGGAGCGAGACCATGTGCCTGGCGCAGCTGTTCCTGCAGTCCGGCACTGCCTACGAGTGCCTCAGCGCCCTGGGCGAGAAGGGCCTGGTCCAGTTCCGAGACGTGAGTGTCGTCCAGGAGACGCGGGCCGCACCTGCCCGCCCAGCGCGGCATCGCGCCTTTCGCTCGGGCCTCGCTTCCGCGGGCTCCTTGGCAGGGGCGCGCCGCTGTCCCCATTTCGCAGGCAGGGAAGCTGGGGCCCGGCTTACTGGCCAGAGCTTCCGCAGAGCGGGGCCCGAGCCGCGGGTCGCCGGGCGTCTGGTCGGCGGCGGCTGTGGCCGGGTTGGTTAGGGGCGCTCTGTGTAGCCTTCATCAACTTAGGGGAGTGCCATCAGATGCTTCGGAGCGCCGACTCCGTGCCGGGCACTGGGCTAACCGGGGGCAGAACGAATCTGATGAGGCCTTTTGGAGACCTTTTGGAACTAATGGGGGTGGCGGGGACAAATACCAAGCAAGTAAATACGTAAACATGATGTTTGCTGTGAGGGTAATGAAACGGGGATGATGGGCTGGTGACTCGAGTCGGGATGGCCAAGGAAGGCCCCTCTGAGGAGGTGACGTTTGAGCCAAGATGAGGCCTGAATGGGGAAGAGCTGGCCCTGGAAGATCTGGGGGGACAGGGTCCCGGATGGAGGGAACAGAAGGAGCCCAGAACCTGAATTGGGAATGAACTCGGTGTAAGCGCCTTGAGGGGAAGGGGTTTTCCTTGGTTTTGTTCACTGATGTGTGATGTGCATACCACTGCCTACTAAGGAATGGGAACTGTCTTCCCAGCAAGTAATGATAAACGCTTGTTGATGTATCTGTTTACTTTTTTTTTTAAAGATTTTATTTATTTATTTGAGAGAGAGAATGAGACAGAGAGAGAGAGCACGAGATGAGGGAGGGTCAGAGGGAGAAGCAGACTCCCTGCCGAGCAGGGAGCCCGATGCGGGACTCGATCCCGGGACTCCAGGATCATGACCTGAGCCGAAGGCAGCCGCTTAACCGACTGAGCCACCCAGGCGCCCCTGTATCTGTTTACTTTTTTATCATTTGTTTACACCATGGACTGTCAACCTCCAGGGCTAGGGGCCTCTCCTGACTTGTTCACTCCTGATTCCCCAAGACTTAGCACAGTCCCTGGCATTTGTGGGCATTAGTAGGCATTTGCTGGATGAAGGAGCATGCCTTTATTGAGTGCTTGCTCTGTTCCGGATAGTGTTTTTCATGCTGGCGTCTCAGTGGTAAGCAAGGTGGACAAGGTCCTTATGTTCTTGCTGCCTACAGCCTGGGAGGAGACAGATAAACAGGCTCTGTGAACTGGAATTGTGAAGTGCTGTGAAGGGAAAGAACAAAGTGTGGAAGGGGTGTAGTAAGCAGGATCTAATACTGAGTGATGGAACTGAAAGTCACTTCAGGGGAACATTTTATTTCCTCCTGGGCCCCAACTTTGATCTCCTGGTTGTTTCCCTTCATCTCTCTGAGGGGCCCTTAATTTCAAAAGGGAACACCCCTACTCAAGATCTGATATCAGTGACCCTTGGGTCGATTCCAAAGGGATTGCAAGGTTAGGGAGAAACTCCTGAGTGACAGCCGAGGCTGCAGGGAAGGCTGGGCTCTCTTCCTGTTTCCTGGAGTCACTTGGGCTTCAGCTCCTGTTCCCACTTACCCAGTAGGTGCTGTGATCAGCTGTGGGGAGCACCCGAAAGATTCAGGAAACAGGAGAGAAATAGGCTCCCTTATTTGTAACTGGTAGATTTGTTCCATCCTGGTAGTACTCAAGCCGAGGGACTTAACACGCTTAAACCGTGGAGGTTTGAACAAAGGCCTTAATCACCACAAAGATTCGCGTTTCACTGAGTGCCATTACCTGAGGTAGTAGACTATACTTGGGATCCTTCAAGACTGAAAACCAGTGAAAGAAAAAGTGCAGATAAAGATCTCAGCTCTGCGTGTGTGTGTGTGGGGGGGGTGGGGAGGTTGGGTTGACACTCCAGTGTCATGGGTGCTAGTGCAGAAAGCCCCGTAGCATCTGACACTTGTCTGCTCTTTAATGGAGTTCCTCACTGAGTTTGCATTCACTGGCTGGGCTTACTAACATTAGTCTTTTCTGGCTCGCCTAGGCTGGATGATTTTTCCCTTTTAGTATGCCTCCTGAGGGAAAGCAGGCAGGCCCAGGGTTTCTGTAGTGACAGCCAAGTAGAGAGAAGGGCCAGTTCATCTCACTGTTGCGATGGTCTACAGTCTAAGAACAATTTCACCGTTAGCCCCTCAGCGGCTGGAGTGGGAAGATGGCTGGTGTGGGTGTCCGTAAAACCAGCACCACGTAGCCTCTGCTGGCTTTTCTAGGTTCAAGGTTAGTCTTAAGATGAGTCTACAATAGAATGCAGTGTGGTCCCCCAGTATCTGCGGGTATGCGTTCCAAGACCCCCAGCGGGTGCCCGAAACCCCGGAGAGTACTGAACCCTGTAGGTATTATGGGTTTTCCTGTACGTGCATACCTGTGGTAGAGTGTAATGTACAAGTTGGGCACAGTAAGAGAGGAACAACAGAACAGCTATAACGATATACTCTAATAAAAATTATGTAAATGTGTTTGGGAGGGTATATGTGAGTTACTTGTCTCTCAATGTATCGTATTGTCCTGTGCTCACCCTTCTTCTCTCGATGATGTGGGATGAAGTGAGGTGCATGATGTAGGTGCTGTTTGACCTGGTGACATGCCAGAAGGGGGGTTGTCTGCTTCCTGACCTCGGTGGACCGCAGGTGCCTGAAACTGGGGACGGGGGCACTACTGTGATACCCTATTATCAGCCTAGAAATGGGTGACATAGCCTCCCGAAAAAGAAAGCAGAAACAAAACTTTGTAAAAGAAACCACACAACAGAAAAAAGCAGCTCATATCTGTGAGGGGATGATGGGGGCATCGCTCAAACCCAAGTATGTTTGTATCGCGGCCGCAGAAACGGGCCTCTTCGTGAAGCCCCTGCCGTGTGGAGAACCCTGATGTCCATGGAGCGCTCAGCAGTGTTGAATGTTGAAGGACAGACCCCGAAACGGGGCACTTGGGTGGTTCATAGACCACTTGTGATGCATCGCTTCCTTTTTGTTCTTGGTTCTGTGGATTGGGCCTGAGTCATCGTGAGCTTGAAAGGGGTTACTTGAGATTAGTTTGATCCCAGAAATGAATGCGAATGTGACAAACAGAAGTGAAATCTGAATTTTTGTTTTCTTTCTGGTTAATCCTTTTAAAAATATTTGAAAAACTGAACAAGAACTGAGCCCTTGGGGGTGACGCTTCTCCGGCTGGGCAGTTTCATGCCAAGTTCTCGTCTAATTGTGGTTTCTGAGAGGGCTCAGTAAGAGTGATGGGCTGGAGGAAAGATAACATTCTTGCCTTAAATGCCTTTCAACATGAGTGATTAATTTTTTTTTGTTATAAAATAATATATGTCCATTCTGGGGAAATTGGAAAACATAAGAATAAGATAAAAACTTCCACGAGTCCATTACCTAGAAATAAACGGTCTAACTTCTTGGTTAATATTGGTCTAACATTATTTTCCTAATAATGTTTTAAAATGTACATATATGTGTATTCTCATATAATTGGAACCACACTGAAAGTATCTTTAATTTTTTCCAGACACAAATCATAACTAATTTCCTCATTTTATTAAATGTTCTTTTACGATGTTTTTTATTGCTTTAAGCTTTGTATTAGAAGTTAAGTAGAGAGAGGAGTATATGGGAACAGTGACTCCCGTGTACCCATAATATAAATTCATGGCCCCTCGTTCCAGCCTTCCACCTCCAGACAAAATCTGTCTCTCCCCTCTCTCTGAGATGATGATTTGAAGCAAATCCCAGATGTATAATTTCTTTCATAAATATTTCAACAAGTATCTCTAAAAAGTAAGGATTCTTAAAAATCATAATGATATTATGATTTTTATCATATCAATGATATGATAATATCATTATCATACCTAACATTTTTAATGATAACTTCTTTTTTTTTTTAAAGATTTTACTTATTTATGTGACAGAGAGAGATAGAGATAGTGAGAAAGAGAGCACAAGCAGGGGGAGCTGCAGGAGAGGGAGGGGAGAAGCAGGCTCCCCGCTGAGCAGAGAGCCCGATGTGAGACTTGATCCCAGGACCCCTGGATCATGACCTGAGCCGAAGGCAGCTGCTTAACTGACTGAGCCACCCAGGCACCCTAATGATAACTTCTTAATATAATCCAATACCTTAGTCATTTAAAACATAATATTACTAAGGGCATAATAATCAGTTATATGGCTGAACCATAATTTTTATACAACTTTATTGATCTGAATCGTAAAATGCACCCATTTCAAGTGTACAGTTCATTGATTTTGAGAAAATTTACTGCGTTATGCATCCATCACCACAGTCCAGTGTTAGAACATCATATCCCCCTAGTAAGATCCCTTGTGCGTACACTTCATCCCCATACCTGCCTCCAGCCCCAGGCAATCACTACTCTACTTTCTGCCTCTAGATACACCTCTTCTGGGCATTCCATGGACATGGAATCACACAGTATGTGGCCTTTTGTGTCTTCTTGAAGGACACACTTGCATTGTGTTTCTGAGAGTCATCTATGGTGTTTAGTGTGTCAGGGATTTGTACTTTATTGCTGGGTAGTGTTCCGTGGTTTGGATGGAGACTATGTGTTCTAGATTAACAGTTTTCTACTGTTAATCACTTTTTCCTCTATCCCTGAGGTTGATGTTCTTCTGGGTAGGTTTTTGTCCGTATCCACTTTTTTCCTTAGGTTTATTTTCTTCACGGGATATTTCTGGGCCAAAGGATATTTTTCAGGCCTTTTTGATAACAGTTGCCAAGTCGCTTTCCAGAAAAGTTCTGTCGGTTTTTTACTCCCATCCAGTAGTGTGTGAGGATGTGCTTTTCCCTAAACCCTTGCCAATATTTTATTTTTAAAATCACATTTATATTTAAATTTTAGAAATTTCAAAGCAAATTTTTCATCCTTTTCTCAGCTCAACCAGAATGTAAGTTCCTTCCAAAGAAAATTTGTTGGTGAGGTGAAGAGGTGTGAAGAACTAGAACGAATATTAGGTAAGTTTTATTTTGTTTTGTTATTTTTGGGGGGGATAAGTTCAGGTTAGTAACAGATTTTTATATAAGTAAACCTTGTTCACTTTAGAAAAATTAGAAAAGGAAAAAAAGAACTCACCATTCCTTATTTTTTACTATTCATCTGTAAAAGTAAGGATTCTACATAACGATCAGTTTATTTTGTTGTCAGCTCTGGTTCTCACTCTGGTACTTCCTGCAACATCTTTTCATGTCAATAAACAGATGGACCCAGCATCCTTTTTAATGGCTGCCTAGTATTTTATGAAATTAATATGCTATAATTTATTTAGCCAATCCCTTGCCATTTATCATAACTTAAAAACATTATATACATGTTAACGTATTACTTAAAATTATCTCAAAGAACAAGGAAGGTGGGAAATGGCAGATGGATTGGCTTTGTTCACGAAGGTGTTAAATCAGTGTTCTCTTGCTTGTTTACCATCAAAACTCAGTAGCTAAAGGCTCCTTGCTTTATCTGTAAAATCTTTAACATCTTTAGCCTGAGATAGTCAGAATTATCAGTTCAAACCTGTAAGTTCTGAGCAAAATAGGGGAAAGGGGGGTTGATCTCAGACAACTGACTGAAGTAGAAAACTCTGTAGGATGAACCGAAAAACATGGGGATGAGAGAGCCCAGGAGGGGCCAGAATATGACATTTGGAATGATTTCTAATAGCTAATATTTATTGTGGATTTTACATTTTTTAATTGGAGATTTTTAAGACAAGAAAATCCTTTTAATCATCTATTCCTTTGCATATTGTTTGAGGTCCTAGTTACTTGTGTGGATCGTGTGCGATAGAGTGACATCATATTCCTGTCTTTGTAACATAGTGAATCATTGGACAGGTCGTGTATTAGGAATGAGGTTTTTAAAGGCAGTGACAACACTTTAGACACATACAGGATTTCCTGTAGCTTAAACTGTTTCAAAAAGTATACAGACTTAAAAAAAAAAAAAAAAAAACGATCTCCCAAGTAAATGAGGTTTAATTGGTGAAACGATTTGTGTCCCATTTCCAGAAACCTCTTTAACCCCCTGCTTCCTTTGCTATCCTGTTGCTAAGACTTCCTCACTTTTCTTTTTCTTTCTTAATAAAATAACTAGTAACACTTCTCCAAAATGTTATATCTAGTAATGCTTTACTATTCGTTGTGAGTTTCATCCTAAGGACAAGGATGCTTCATGGCATTGAAAATATAAACTAAAGAAATTCCGTTAATTTTGCCTGGCTCATTACCAGTTTTATGAATCTGGTTTGGGACGCGAGATCAGGTTGTTGCAAGTCAGAGCAGCCTGACTGGCTGGGAATGCTCAGGAGAGCCTGGCTCTCTGCCCTGTATCTCTCGGGGCTCCGTTGGCTGATAGAGGTTGTGCTTTTCTTGATGGATACTTCTTTCCTCTTAAGGGCATCTGCAGGGAAGTCACGCTGCCCTCTCTGGTGGAGATGGTCTATCATTGGATTATTCCTGCACTTGCAAGTGTGTCCTTAACCTGCTTCATCTATGGGTGCAGAAACAGCTATGACTCCAAAGTTCTTGAACTAGAGTTTCAGAAATAGAGAAAACTTGGGGAATTTCAGAAAGTGTTTATCAGGTTGTTGTTTATTTGGTCATTGCATGCTGATCTCTCTAGGTGCGGTTTACTTTGCAGATCTTTGGAAACGAGGTTGCAAAAGGCTTTTTCTAAGTCAATTGGAACAAGCAAGACTTTGGTGCATTCAGACATTAATTTTTTAGGTGACCCAGGAATGGTTGGGATGGAAAATGTTCTGACAGAAATGTCTTAGAGTGAGTTTTTGCATCTAATTTGTTTACCTTTTATTCCCACAGCATATTTGGTGCAGGAAATTAATAGAGCTGACATTCCCCTTCCTGAGGGAGAGACCAGTCCTCCTGCACCACCTCTTAAACAAGTCCTAGAAATGCAGGTAACTTGTTTCTGACGAAGCTGTCACTGGGCTCAGATGCTGCTTATTTACTTACGTTCTGTTGTCTAGGGCTTGTCAGATTTTCTTCTCAAAACTGTGCAGTGAAAATTGAAGAACAATGCTATGGTTAGCCTTCAGTAATAGATTATCTGTGATGTAAGATGCATGCTCTCTTTCCAGGTGGTTGGTGAACCGGGGCTAAGAAAATCAGGTTGAGAAATCTGGTGTAATGTTTCTGAGTGTTCTTTCTGGGCTTATCCATGCCTTGGCATGCCTCTCCTGGTGCAAGTAAGGGAGGCTGCAGGCCAATGCCCTTTAGCATTCTCCCAAACTCACTGGCCTCCCCTCTGATCCTTAGAAGCTAGTGGGAAGGTGATAGGGTATTCCAGGTGGGCAGCAAACACAATTCCTTGTCCCCAAGTTCAGCGTCTTGGGTGTTGGGGATACAGCGTTCCCCCTGCGAGAACCGTGGCTTGTCTTGTTCGTTAGCACCCCTGTGAGTTATCCACTGAGGTTTGGGTCCGATCCTCGGATAGCTCATTGTACCGGGAAATGGACCAGAGCTCCCGAACACTGAAACAATCAGCATTGTATAGCCAGCACCACTCTGCAGCTGGTCGCTCTGTGTGTTTATCTGGGAGGAAGTCACTTAACATTTATTGTGTGAGTGGACTTGAGAGAGAGTTGTGCCATCAGATGAGTAGAACACAGTCATCTGGTTTGGCCTGTTTGGGTTGGTTGTGATGTAAGGACGACTTCAGTGGTTACTGAGTGTTTATAGTTTTTATCAGGTGGAGCACAAGTAGAATGTCAAGGGACTTGTTTGCATACAAGTTTTCACGGAGTGAGTGATGTGTTTTACACATCTCTGTTGCTGCTGTTTGAATACTTTAAGTATTGTTAAAGACGCTTGCTATGTAACTGCTTATTAAAGAAGACTCGTCCTCAAGGATTCTTCAGCCCAATTAATTGTGTAAGTGCTCCTGTAAGCAGACTCTTAAGCTGGAGGCTCGGGGTGTATATGCCTAGCAAAGATTACCTAAATTATTTTCTGTGTTGCAAATAAAAGGATATGTAGCCTTGAAAGAGGAAGACTCTCTGATGTGTGACAGTGGAGAAGCAGATGAAGGGAAGCCCAGAGCAGTGGTGGGAGTGGAGATGAGGCTAGGGCAGCCTAGGATGCCTCGATTCATCATCTGGGATGCCTCCGTCCTGCACAGTGTGAGCTGCGTAGGAGTTCCCTGAATCAATAGGAAACAATACATGATGGACCTTGAAAATCTCTGCATGCTTCCGTATCCCTTCAGATTGTCAGATTCTGGCTTGTGAAGCCCTCCCTGGGCTTTAATGTACTATAAAAAATTTTTGAGAACCATACTTAGAATGGACCTGTCCTCTTAAGTAACTGCCCTTTGGCTTTAGGAGCAGCTGCAAAAGCTGGAGGTTGAGCTGAGAGAAGTCACCAAGAACAAGGAGAAGCTGAGGAAAAACTTGCTGGAACTGATCGAGTACACTCACATGCTCAGAGTGACAAAAACCTTCGTTAAACGAAACGTGGAGGTACTGACCGCACACGCAAGGAAACACATTTCTTTTGTTAAAAATCTAGCTCCTGTAAGGTTTCCAGTTTGATTATCAGTTATCAAAGAGGTACATTTTGATTTTAGCTTTATTTTTCAGTCAGATTACATGACATTAAACAAAGCATTAAGCCTTTCCCTGTGTTGGTTGGTTTTAGCAATAACAGTACTTTCTATTTGTAAAATGCTTTAGTTTGTAGTTGAAAAATACCTTTTTATGATCATGAGGAAAGAAATGGGAAAGTGGGGTTTGAACTCCAAAATTTAGTTTGTTTTTTTCACCAAATTGCTAAGAGTAAAGGAATTCACAAGAGATCTCTAGTTTATGAGTAGAGTCTCTGTAATAGCTCGCCCTCCACCGGGTATGGAGGGGAGAAGTCCATCCCATGGAGCTGGTACACTTGGTGCTGGTGTCTGACTGAGCGCTCTGTCTCGGAGTGAGGCAGGGACATAAATTATAACACCCTACCTCCAGTAACCTGACTGCAAGTAACTTATAAATAAGGGACGGGGAAGCGATCTTTTTTATTTACCAGAGCTGTGTTCCACATCTGAGTGATCTTGGGGCATCAGCACCCGGGTCTGGCACCCAGTTAGGATGCTCCGTAAACTTGCTCGGAAATGTGACTTGGGAAATAAAGTGTCACTTGTAATGAGACACACTTGGTTTCGTATTTCTTTGTAGTTTGAACCCACTTATGAAGAATTCCCTCCCTTAGAGAATGATTCCTTGTTGGACTACAGCTGTATGCAGAGGCTGGGAGCAAAACTGGGGTAGGTGGCAACCACTGGGGGGCTGAGCGTCACACTGTCCCTGTCGTCAGTGGAGGGATGAATGCTCCCATTTGAAAGCCTGTGATGGAATGAAAGAAAGTGAATATCTGTTTGAGAAAACACTGTACTCCTGTATTTGCTGAGTGGAGTTATTCAGCTGTATTGACTTGTTAGCTAAATACCATGGGAATTTCTTCTTTTGGTATAATGAGCTGGAAAGAAGGAACATTTATGCCATTCAGTGTTATTCCAATAAGCCTAAAATAATTGCTCAGTGAAGTGTCAAGTCCTGTTTTGTTTGGTGGAAACATAGGGGCTAAATTGAGTTGGTTAATTCATTAATTGTATTTTAAGGATCTCTTTCTGCTATTAATCCTTTCTGTTTCCTTGAACCAATGGTAACTTGTTTCCTCATGTGATTTGTGATTTCTTTTTATTATGAACATCTGTTCCTCTGTTCCTTGTCTGTAGGAATCCAATGATAATGTAGTTTGAGGATGTATTCCTTCAGAGAGAATTTGTTTTTACATTTGTCAGATACCGGGGGAGCATTGTACCAACCTGGAATCATTTTACATTAATTTCTCAGCTTGGATTTTTTGTTCTTCTTTTTTTACTATGCAAGTAATGTGAATTTAAGCCACAAACCTGAGTGAATTCTAGCCTGTGATTATAAATTCTCAAGGCAGGGGTACCTGGGTGGCTCAGTTGGTTAAGTGTCTGCCTTTGACTCAGGTCATGATCTCAGGGTCCTGAGATTGAGGCTCGAGTCGGGCTCCATGTTCAGCGGGGAGTCTGCTTCTCCCTCTCCCTCTGCTCCTCACCCCGCTATTGCTCTCTCCTTCTCCCTCTCTCCCTTTCTCTCTCAAATAAATAAAAAATCTTTAAAAAATAAATAATCAAGGAAGACTTTTCCTCTTCTTTGTAGAACCAAAACTGAAATAAATAAGTTTATTTGGGGGCTCCTTTGTAAGATTTTTTCTAGTCCATCCATTCACTAAGGGTGTAGCTCTTTGGGGTGAGGGGGTGGGAGTCCCAACCTAAGGGGGGGATTAGGAGAGATGATTCAGTTTCATCTTTTCAGCCCAGGCAGACCTGGTGCCTGTCTCCTGCCTCCCATGTTGACCTTGATGCTCAAGGCTTTAAGATACTGGGTCAGTGGAATATATCAAGATAGCTATGAGATCCTGGTTTATTTTTCGATTCCAAGAATTTCTCTTAATTATAGGCTCACCTATACATTTGAAAGGATGTTTCAAAAATAAAATTTTAAAAAAGATTTATTTATCTCAGAGAGAGTGGGAGAGCATGTGGGTGTGTGAGGAGGGGGAGGGGCAGAAGGAGAGAGAACCTTCAAGCAGACTCCCCACTGAGTGTGGAGCCTGACACGGGGCTCAATCCCACAACTCCGAGATCACTACCTGAGCCAAAATCAAGAGTCGGATGCTCAACCAACAGAGCCACCCAGACGCCTCCCCAAATTTTTTATCCAGCATTTTAGATATTTTGCTGTTGGAGGGCTTTCAGGATACCTTCACCATTTTGCCAGAAATGATTCATTTCTCCTTTTAATGCAATCAGATAATTCATTGCTTTCAATTGACTGCAGCTTGTGTTTATTGTCTCATAGATTTGTATCTGGCTTAATTAACCAAGGAAAAGTTGAAGCATTTGAGAAAATGCTGTGGAGGGTCTGCAAAGGGTACACCATTGTGACCTATGCAGAGCTGGATGAGCCCCTCGAGGACCCTGAAACAGTGAGTCAATGTCACGATCACCTTTTAACAATGACAGACTGACAGCGGAGTTGGAGGCTCAGTGCGCGGGGAGCCACTTGAGAGTGAGTTGTTCACCTGAGGCCTTACCATCCTCGAGCACATGTGGGTGTGGCTCTTAAAGTCAAGGGCTCTCTCTTGGATTGCAGCCCGGAAATGAAGGTAGACACGGTGCTACCCTCCGGCCCTCATACCCCATCCAGGTTTCACCGGTCATCCGCTACCACCTTTTATAGTGAAGGTCTAGTTTAGAATCACAGTTTGGATCTAATTGTCACATCTCTTTGGTCTCCTTCATTCTGGGACAATTTCTCAGTCTTTCCTTGACTTTCCTGACCTTGACATTTGAAAATTCTTACAGATCAGTTGTTTTGGTAAAATGTCTCTGCATTTGGGTTTGTCTGATCTTTTCTCATGATTAGATTCAGGTCATGGATCTTTGGCAGAAGTGATGCTATGTTCTCCTCACTGCATCCTGTCGAGCGCATGATTCAGTTCGTCCTGTTGCTGGTAACGTTTGCTTTGATCATTTGGTCGAGGTGGTGATGCTTAGGCTTCTCCAGTGTGAAGTCATCTTTTTCCTTTGTAATTAATATGTGTTTTGGGGGAAACGCTTTGAAACTGTAACTATGTCATTCCTCATCAGACTTCCTTCTTCCTTCCTTTCAAAAGTGTGAGCGGCGGGGGTAGAGGTGGGGAGGGGCCGAGGGGGAGGGAGAGAATCTTCAAGCAGACTCTGCTCTTAGTGCAGGACTCAGTCCCAAGACTCTGAGATCGTGACCTGAGCCAAAATCAAGAGTCAGCTGCGCAGCCTACTGAGCCCCCCCCAGGTACCTCCCATCAGATTTTCAGTTCACTATTTCCTATTTGAGTCAGTGAGTTACACTCTGTTACTATAATTATTTTGATATTCAGATTCTCTAGGTTTGGCCCATTGGAGTCCATACAAGTTGGCTTTTCTGTCCTTTCACATGCTGCCATCATTTTTCGTGCACTTCCTTGCTTGCACAACAAGATGTCCAGATTCATGTAATTTCCCTCACCCAGCTCTGGCATCAGCCACTTCTCTAGGTGCCTGGTTCTGTTTAGTGGAGAATGGTATTTAGAAGCCAAGGAATGGACTCTGGGGGTGCCCATTGTTCATGGAGGTGTCGCTGTTCCCTGGCTCTGTCACTGGACAGCTCTGGGACACACACACACACACACACACACAACCTTATTTCTGTACCTATGCATATATATTGAAAACTGTGGGTTCATGTCCAATTCCAAGCTAGTGCCATAGAAGTCAGTGTCGGTTTCTCCATTTCTGTTTTTGTAACTTTTTTCTTTGATGATGAGAAACTCGGCTCTTGTTGTTAACGTTTTTACTATTTTTCATCCACTTGCATGTAACCTGTCTCCCATCTCTGCCGCCCCCTCTTCTTCCTGCGTGGAGTCCCAAGTTCCCCATTTGGGGTGGGCCCCTGCTGTGGATGTCCTCTTCACGCCACCCAGGCTGCTCCCCTGCAGGGATGCTCTCCTCATCTTGCTTGAGCTCTGACTTTGCCCAGGGCCACCGTTGGTCTTCCCCTCCTTCTGGGTTCATCCCTGCATGTATTCTTAAGGCTTTAGGACTGAATTATTCAGGAAGGGAAGCTGAGGGGCAGGAGAGAGAAAGCCATAATCACCTTTTTAAATCTGTTTTTTTTTTTTAGACTTTACCATAAAAATAACTATATTGCTCTAAATGAGGATGAACTGATCTATTAAAGGTAGAAAAGGAACTTAGGCTTCTTACTTTTGAGGAAAGGGCTTGTGTTTTTTTTTTTTTTTTTTTCCTAAATTTGCCTCAGGAATTTTGGCTGCAAGATGAATATATGTCCCATAGTTTTGACACATAAAGAGGAGTTTGGCTGTGAAATGGACTTTCATAAGATTTAGCCTGTATGAGCCACACAAATTTAATCTAGTGAAAATCTAATCAGTCAAGCTGTTCATTAACCATACACTTGTAATATTTTCTACTCTTTCGTGGCTCCTGTAACTGCCAGGAGCCATCTGTTAATTGTCCTTTACTGTGAACTTTATGACCGCTGTCTATAAAGCTGAAGATAGAAAGCGTCCTGTGGTAGCATTTACCTGTTCCTCTGAGCTTCTTCTTTATTGAGAAAACCTGTCAGTCATTCTTATGCAGAGCATTTGCTAAAGTGAAAAACTTCTATATATTTCTAAGCTCTTTTGTGCTGAGTTCCTACCAAATATGTGAAAGGGCATTGAATGTCTGTGAAGAAATACAGAGAAATGGACTAGAGAGAAGTATTATCCTGAAAATACAGCTTCCCCATAGTTACAAAGGAAATGTATGCTTGTGGCAGAAAATTGGGAACAATATCAAAAACATGAATGAGAAAATCAACCCCTGTGATCCCGTTTAGGGAGGGCCACTGTTGACATTTCAGCATGTGTTCTTCTAGTGCTTGTTCTGGAGAAGATACAGGTACTTGATTTGGCACCTGGTACTCAGGTTCTAGGATTTGTTTATTGTGTCAGGTTTAGTGCCTTTTGGGTTTGACCATCTGGTCCCTTAGCGTTATTACAGCCTCCAGAGCGTATTTCTAGCTATCTCCTCCTTGTCGGTCTCGTTTCTAGGTGCTGACCACTCTGTATCGAAGCTAGACTCAGGCGATCTCACTTGGTTTAATGATTTGTATTTTATGTTGTGTGCTGTCCCTGTTCCATCTTACGCCTGAGGTGTTTGTGTTCCTTGACCCAGTACTATTTTTAAAATTGTTATGGAGGGGTGCCTGGATGGCTCAGTCTTCTGGGAGAAGTGTCTGCCTTTGGCTCAGGTCATGATCCTGGCGTCCTGGGATCAAGCCCCGCATGGGGCTCCCTGCTCGGCGGGAAGCCTGCTTCTCCCTCTCCCACTCCCCCTGCTTGTGTTCCCTCTCTCGCTGTGTCTCTCTCTGCCAAATAAATAAATAAAATCTTTAAAAAAACGAATAAATAAAATAAAATTGTTATGGAATCTTCGAGGTCAGGTTTGCTGTAAATGCCATTTCTTTCTTCCCCCCAGTTTAGTTTCTTCAATAACTTATTTTGAATTTCAGTTTATAGAAAAGTTGCCAGAAGAGAACAGAGACCTGTGTCCCTTCACCCAGATTTCCCAGTCGTTTCCACGTTCCCACATTGGCTCCATCAGCCATGTGCTCTCTCTGTGAGTCTGTCCCCATTTTCACTGTGCTCTGTGCACGCCTGGTGAGAGGAAGCTGTAGATGTGGCCCCATCACCCCTGAGTTACTCCAGTGTGTGCCCCCAGGCATGGACGCTCTTACACAAGCACCAAGGGGCCTCCCAACCATGAGAAACCAGCGCAGGTGCAACACTTTTGTCCGATCCAAACATGCCGTTCTCGTCTCCCGGAGGTTCTTCTTCCTTCCTTCCCAGTCCAGCTCCCTCCCTGGGCCTGTAGTAGCATCGGGAACAGGCATCCCATCCCGTGGGCCGACCCCCTCCCTCTGGGCAGTTTGATGTTTCTTCACGACCAGACTTGGGCCATGTGTTCTTGGCAGGAAACACCTTAGAAGTGTCTCTCTGGCCACCTCAGCACCTCCTACCAGGTGACACGTGATGTCCATCTGTCACGTTGGTGTCTGCTGGGTTTCTCCACCTTCATGTCACCATGTTGCCCTTTGTGACGGATTAGTAATTTCCAAGTTGTGCTGGTGTCCCGTGCCTCCCCAACCTGCCCACCAGGCTTAGTGTCCATGGATGACTCTCCTGAATCCATCACCTCGGTCGTGGTTGCCATGTGGTCCTCATTCCTTCTATACTTACTAGTGATTGCTCGGAAGGCGGGCTTCCCCCTCTCGCTTCCGTGGACTTGTGGATTTCCATTGTATTTAATGACTTGTAATTTGTTACGGTCCTTATTTATTTCGACGCCCAAATTGTCCCTGATTTGGCTGCTGAGGATCCCTTCGTGCCTGTCCCTGTGTCCTTTGGCCTGTTGTCAGCGTCCACCGAGTAGTCCCTTCCTTGCTGGCACCGGAAGATGTGCCAGCTTCATCCTGGGCTCTCCCTACCTCAGCCTGGAAGCGGCCATTTCTCCAAGGACCGCTGGTGCCTTTTAGCGGAGGACGGTGTTTACAAAGATCTGGGTGCTCGAGTGCTCATCAGGTCGCGGAGTGTCGCTGCCCCTGGGCCGTCTGAGCGGTTGGAGCGTGTGTGTGCACACGCGCATGTGCACGCACACACGCACGCGGCTGTACCCACTTCTGTGGCTACCTGTGCTTAGCGATTATAAAACCACGTGCTCAAACTGTAACTTAAAATTCCGATCGGTTCTTTCTAGACTGAACCTTTTTCATGTGTTTGTAGTTTCTTTTCTGACAGTGAGAAATCTGGCTCCCGTTATCCTCAATGTGTTTCATGAATTGCGCAGTTAGTTTACTTATTTATTCAACATAACCCATCTCCCAAACACATAGGCCATCTCCTCCTCCCCCCACCATCCTGTCTTCTTGCCGTGGGGACCCACCTGCCTGTGCTTCCCTGAGGATCCCTGACCTATTCCCCATCTTTTGCGGCCCAGGGCTCAGTTCTTGGGCTGCTTCTCTCCTCTCTCTGCCCTTAGGGATCCTATATAATTTCACAGCTTTAGATACTACCTCCCAAATGTTTATCTCTAGCTTGGATCTCTCCCCACAAAAACAGACTTTTCTATTTAACTGGCTACTCCAGGTCTTCTTCTAAATCCCTGGAAGATGGGGCGCCTGGGTGGCTCAGATGGTTAAGTGTCTGCCTTTGGCTCAGGTCATGATCCCAGGGTCCTGGGGTCGAGCCCCGTATCAGGCTCCCTGCTTGGCGGGGAGCCTGCTTCTCCCTCACCCTCCTACTGTTCCCCCAGCTTGTGCTCTCTTGCTCTCTTTGTCAAATAAATAAATAAATAAAATCTTAAAAACAAAAAAAAAATCCCTGGAAGACATTTGCACCTGATGCCTAAAGCTGGACTCTTGGTCTTTCCTTCCAAACCTGCCCTGCCAGGCTTGCCCATCTTGGTAAGTGGCAGCTCCATCCTTCCGACTCCAAGGCCCAAACCTTGGGGGTCCTCCTGACTCTTCTCTTTTTCCTCAGACCTCATGTTTAATCCTGTAGCAGGGTGATTGGCCATGTCTTTTAAATAGGAAGAGACTCTGGTCTCTCTTGTCACCCTCACTGCCACTACCCTGCTCCAGGACATGAGCATCCACACCTCAAGTACCTCCCTTCTGCAGGAGCCTCTGTCTTCAGTTCCCGCCCCGGCCGCTGTCCTATTGTGTTCTCTCCTCCCAGCATTTAGAACGATTCCTATAAGACTTCAGTCAGATCATGTCACTTCCCCACTTAAAACCCGCCGGTGGCTTCCCGTCTCACTTGGCAAAACGCCCAGAGCCTTATAGTGTCACTTCTTGTGGCCTCATCGCATGTCTGACCTGTGTTACTACTCTGCCCTGTCCACACCCCTTCAGCGTGCTGACCTTCTTGCTTTCCCTGAACCTGCTTCTCCGTGAGCTCTTCTGTGCCTTGGGAGGCCTTCCCACGGTGGCCACACGGCTCCCTCCCCTCCCTCACCCCTTTAAGCTCCGATGTCCCCTTCTCAGGGAGGCCTTCTCTGGTCACCCTATTTAAAATCACAGCCCCCAGCCCCCTGCCCTCCTTCACCTCCTCCAGCTCTGTTTCCTTTGGAACACTTATCACTTCTCTCCATGTGGTGGACCGTGTGTTTTCTTTGCGTCTCTTGCTGCCAACTTGGATACATCCCCACCCCTCCCAAGTCAGGGATTTTTGTCTCTTTTGTTCAGTTCCGTATTCCTAGCACCTAGAACAGAGCCTGGCAAATAGGCCAAAAACCTGCTCAGTTTTATTTGTAGAATTATTTCTCAGTATTTATGGTAGTTCTGTAAGGTCTCCATGAACACTTGAATTAATGACACTGAACCACTGTACCAGGGGAAATACAGGGTTAGGTTTCTGGGAGCCTCTGCTCACATTTTTGTCCACCGATCAATAATAACCTTGTTCTATGTGTGTTTCTTATTCAGTATGTATTATGGATTCATTAACATGGAACTCTGCCAACAGCTCTATGACTCACGTCTGAAGGAAGCTTATCTGACACATGTATTTTCTGTGTAAGGCACATCACTGCCTTCTCGGGCCCAGGAAGCTAGCTAGCACTTCAGCATTACACCCGAGGACCATTTTAGATAGTGAAACCACCAACAAAGAGCGCAAAAGTGTGAAAAACATGTTTAAACCATGACAAGGCCCCTTTTTTACCGTATGATGTGGAACCAGAAGGCAGAGAGCCGCCCCGTGTGACCTCAGCTGGAATAGGCGCATCCGGGGACTGAGACTTTGGGCTGCTCTGTGTGTCTGTAAATGACCCCACACCACTGCCAGGACTGATGTTAGGGTGAAGAACACGTGGCCGGGGTGGGCTAGGCGCAGTTGCGGAGTCTGCGGGGCCTGAGGGCGGCTGCACCTGTTGCGGGGGTGAAGGGGCTGACTTGTGACAGAGTTTGGGATGCCAGAGTTCTCAAGAGTTCCGGACACATGAGTAACAATGATCCCGATTTATTCTTCTAGGGAGAAGTCATAAAATGGTATGTGTTTTTAATATCCTTTTGGGGAGAGCAGATTGGCCACAAGGTAAAGAAGATATGTGATTGGTAAGAACAAGAAACATTTCATCTATTTGCTTATATTCAGTGGCCTCTAGTTTTCCCTAAATATCCGTCTGTGTTTGAGGGGAAATGCAGTGGGTGCAAAGATTGCTGTGTCTGGTTTTATGTCTTCGCCGTAGAACCATGTTTTTAAACATTTAGTCATCTCTCTTGCCAGTGTTCTACTTAAGACACTTTAGAAGTAGAGACCATTTTTAATAACATTCTTAGGTTTTATTTCCTCCCTGGGAATCAGGGCTTAAGAATAATTGGAGAAAGAATCGAATTTTAATATTTTGTGCCTCTGTGTTGCACTGAGCTCCACGGAGGCCCGTCTCTCATCACGGAGCATCTGGTTCATCTTTGGCCGAACAACAGTCGGCAGGTTTCTTTGTGCACCGTGGCCTGGATTCAGGGCCTGGACCCAGAGTCTGGCTCCACCCACGTGCTGGGCGAGCTTGGCGAGCCACCACGGCCAGGCTCCCTCCCTCAGTGGGCTTCAGGCCTGAGGCGACACAGACGAGGAGCCCCCCCCCGAGCAAGCGGCAGCCACCGGCAGCCACCAGCGCAGCCGCAGCCGAGGAGTGTCGATGAGTGTCGCTGTGACAATCTCACTGTGATGTAGTCTCGTCAACAGTGGAAAAATAAGCAGAAGCCAAACAAAAATGTCAAAAGAATGCCCTTTGTTTTTAGATGGCCTTGTTTCTTGTGGGGGCTTGGGTGGGGCTCGGGTATTTCCTTTGGAAAGTGTTTCCCAGAGGCTGATTCTCAGTCACTGGTGGTATGGACAGCAATTTCAGGTATTATGTGGATGAACCTGCTGTTATTTTCATAAATATGTATTTATTTTAATGTACAGTAGGAAAAGTATAACCAGCATACAAACCTATGATTTCATAGATAGTGTTGTTTGGGATAAGGCTAGAGTGAGTAATTTTAATAGTCAGAACTTAAAATGTTAAGTATGGCATAAAAATGTCAAGGGGGATGGGAGTTGCAGGAGGAAAGGTGCAGCTTCCGCTCCCGGTGTGTTGGGGTGTGTTGGGGTGCCGTGCAGCCCCCAGGAGATGGGCCCTGGGAGGGGAGGGAGAGGTTTACTGCACCGCATGTCAAAGGCAGTTGCTGGGAAACCGGAGCTTTTTTTTTTCCTTCCTCCCTCCATTTTCTTTTTCTTTTAAAGGTAATTACTGTTGTGTGTTCTTTGCTTTTGTGTTTCAAACTTGTTTAATGATTCCCAGCCCAAGGATGGTGGTGAATTTCAGAAAGTAGGAATTGGAAGCGAGCTCCGGGGATGGGAGGGCAGGAATGGAGCATGGAACCAAGAGAGTTTGCTAAATTTGTTGAATCCTGTAGACAGAATTTGTTGAGTGTCTCTGTGCGAGGCCTCACTGTGGGCCCGTGCGTGTCTGCACCTTTTTCTCCCAGAGGGCTGCTTTTATTCCATTTTGGAGGGAGATGTGCCCACCTGGTACACTGAATTTAGTTCTGGTGTTTGGTATAGCCTCTTCTGGTCCCACTGGACATGCGACTGTTGAATTCTGTCTTCTAGTTACCACTGCCATGTTTACCCCTACCCAAACACTGCTGAGGAGCGGAAGGAGATTCAGGAGGGACTAAATACCCGGATTCAAGATCTTTACACTGTGAGTAAACGGGCAACGGTTGCCTCCTTATCTGAGGTGTGTAAAACATTTTACAAATCCATTTACTTTCTAATTTTTTAATGTGGAAAATTTTGGTTGGGGACAAATCAAGATGTTTTAGGCGTGTCATTTACCTTGCTCCTCTTCATGCAAGTTTTATTTTAGCAGGCTGTTAGAAATCTAGGTGCTATTGATGGGACTTTAGAGAAGATTCTCTGGTCATCACAGGAGACAAGCAGTCTGTTTAAAGTGCTGGCTATTTTGCTTTCACTACTTTAATTAATGTTTCTGCTTCTATCAGTGAGAGCTCTTGGTGGCAAGAAGTGGACTCCGACCCACTTAAGCAAAAGGGGTTTCAGGCCATGTGTGATGGGGTGGAGTTGGTGGCTCTCAGGGTTGACAGGGAGCTGGGCTGAGGCTGGGAATGGCAAGAGAGGGGAGCTCCGTGGGCCCAGCCAGGTCACTGTGCTGCCACCCCGATGGTGCCATCTAACCAGTTCCTGTCCCCTTGGGGTGGTGTCCTGGAGGGGCAGCTCCCCAGAGGGAGCCTCAGATCGGCGGGGCTTGGGCTTCCGCCCGCTTCCTGGTGGTACTGGGGGTCAGGAAGAGAAGGAACAGACCGTTCTCGTGTCTGCCCCCCGGAGGGCCAGGTGCGGACGGACAGATACTGAGAAGTGCCCGCAGTGTTGGCAGCCTGAGTTTGTTCCCACCCAGGTGCTTCACAAAACCGAGGATTATTTAAGGCAAGTGCTGTGTAAAGCCGCCGAATCCGTCTACAGCCACGTCATCCAGGTGAAGAAGATGAAAGCCATTTACCACATGCTGAACATGTGCAGCTTCGACGTGACCAACAAGTGCCTCATCGCTGAAGTCTGGTGTCCCGAGGCCGACCTGCACGACCTGCGCCGGGCGCTCCAGGAGGGGTCGGTAAGGCGGCCGTGGCCGGGTCGGGACCAGAGGGAAGGACTGGGCTGCTCTAGGGAAGCCGGAGGAAGAAAGTGGGAATGCCCTCGAGCGGTGAGAGGACACTGAGCTGACTGTTCTCTTGAACCAGAGTTCTGGAGAGTCAGCCATCCGAGCTGTGCGCAGGCGCGAGCATCTTGCATGTGTTCTTTGAGTAGGGAATAGAGTCTCGTGGTTAAAAGTAAAACTTTATATATGTAAAGTAAAAGACACAGTGGCGGAGTGGCTTCCTCCTACCCTGTTGCCTCAAAGATAACCGTTGCTTCCTGTTAGGTCTTTGAGTTTCTTAATCATAGATAAGCACGTATGAATGGATATTTCTCTTCACGAAGGGTTACATGCTATTCATTCATACTGTTCTTTTCGCCTAATAAAACTTCCCTACTTTTTATAACTATTTAATGTTCCACTGTGTGGATGTACCATGGCTTGTCACACCGGTTCCCTGCTTGTTTAGGTGGTCTGTGGTGATGCGACCACCGCAGTGACTGCCACCTGATCCGTATGCAGGAGAGAGTCCCAGATATGGAGTTGCCGGATCAGTTTGATAGATATTGCCAGCTGCTGCACATCTCTCTGTTTTTAAAAGATTTTATTTATTTATTTGACAGAGAGAGACCCAGCGAGAGAGGGAACACAAGCAGGGGGAGAGGGAGAGGGGAAGCAGGCTTCCCGCTGAGCAGGGAGCCCGATGTGGGGCTCGATCCCAGGACCCTGGGACCACGACCTGAGCCGAAGGCAGACGCTTAACGACTGAGCCACCCAGGCGCCCCTGCACTTCTCTTATTTTGAGAGAGGTTGAAAATCTTTTCTGTTTAGGAGCCATTTGAATTTTCCTTTTTTTGTGAGCTCTGTGTTCCTATGCTTTGCCCATTTTCTGCTGAGTTATTAGTCTTTTACTAGTTTCTGTTGGCTCTTTGTCTATGATATGAACAAAAATATTTTCCCCAATTCGTCACTCATCTTTTGATGTTTCTGTTGGCTTGTTTTGTTCATGCGGAAGTTTTTTGTGAAATATAGTTGAACTTATCAATTTGCTCTTACAGCAAATTGAACTTTGCTGTAACTTTGAAGAATGTGCTTTTTCCTGCTCCAAGGCTTTGGGGTCAGTCTCCCACGTCCCCATGAGGGCTTTTTTCTACATCAAAACTCAATTCTTCAATGGAAATAACAGGTTTACATATTTCAAGTGACAGTTAAAGAAACAAATTTTCTTTTTTTTAATTAAATTAATTTTTTAAAGTAATCTCCATACCCAGTATGGGACTTGAATTCACGACTCTGGGATCGAGAGTCGCCTGCTCTGCTGACTGAGCCAGCCAGGCACCCCAGGAAACAAGTTTTCATATGGGTTTTCTTTTTGTTGTTCTAAGTCACCTTGTTTCCTTACGTAATTCTTTGATGGCATAAATAGACTTTTAGTTTTCTTGGAAGAGGGCTGGCTTTCGTAGGCATAACCAGCCAATTACAACATTTCCTAGTGTTGCTGAAAACCAGCTAAGTGCCCTGCGTCACGAGGACCTGTGGGTTGGCTGATGTCTAGATACTTTTTAGCTGCCAATGAGATGGCGTTTGATGGGGACACACAGCAGTGCTGGGGTGCAGAGCTCCTGGCCTGTAGCACCCTGCTTCAGGTGGGGCACTTGGAGCTTCTGGCCTGCAGACTGCCAGATTAATGCTGGCAACTCCTGTTGTTCTGGCTGTTGGAAGCGTGTTCTCCAAGAGTCCTCCGCGGGGCCCCCGGGAACAGCACTCCCTGAGTTCTCAAGTGTATGTCTCCAGCCTTTATTACTGGAAGTTTGCTTTTTGGAAATAAAATCCTTGGCTCGTGTTTTTGAAATTTTTGTTTTTGTTTTCTGTGGGTGTCTTAACATGTGAGTCCATCTTGTTCTGGCACGGTGTTGCTAACAACAAGGCTGATAATTGAATTTTCCTTATAAGCTTTGTACTTTTTTTTTTCTTTGCCTATGTGCTTAAGAGTTTTTTTTTCCTTTGGAGGCCAATAATTTTATTAGAATATGTCTTGATATGGCCATTCTGGGTTGGGAGTCTCAGATATACAGTGTGTTCTTTTAATATGTAGTTTTATTTATTTATTTATTTTTTAAAGATTTGATTTATTCATCTGAGATACAGAGAGAGAGAGAGAGAGAGAGAGCAAGCATGAGCAGGGGGAGAGGCAAAAGGAGAGGGAGAAGCAGGCTCCCCGCTGAGTCAGGAGCCCAATGTGGGGCTCAATCCCGGGACCCTGGGATCATGACCTGAGCCGAAGGCAGATATTCAACCATCTGAGCCACCCAGGTGCCCCTGTAGTTTTATTTTTAATTAAAAAAATTTTTAAGTTCAATTAGTTAAAATATAATGTATTATTAGTTTCAGAGGTAGAGATCAGTGATTCTTTTTTTTTTTTTTTAAGATTTTATTTATTTATTTGAAAGAGAGAGACACAGCGAGAGAGGGAACACAAGCAGGGGGAGTGGGAGAGGGAGAAGCAGGCTTCCTGCCGAGCAGGGAGCCCGATGTGGGGCTCGGTCCCAGGACCCTGGGATCATGACCCGAGCCAAAGGCAGACACTTAACGACTGAGCCACCCAGGCGCCCCTCAGTGATTCTTTTAATATATAGTTTTAAAAAAAGTTTCAGAAGAGTTCTTCTGAATTATGCTTTTTAGTATTTGTTCTGTTCTCTTGCCCTGGTTTCCTCCTTCAGGACCTGCTGTTATGTTTCAGTTGAACCTTCTTTGCTTTTCTTCAGTGTTTGTCACTTTTTCTTGAGTCCTTTTTTCTTCTTTTTGATTTTTTAAAAATTTCTATTCTTTCGCCTCTTTCTCTTATGGCTTTTATTACTAGGAAAGTTGTTCACCTTGGGAGTTCCTTCTAGTTTTATCATGTTGCAGAATATTTTTTCGTTTATTTCTAATTCCTTTCTGAGTTCTATTACCTCATTTCTGACTCTTTCTAATTCTGCTTTCTGGTGCTTTTTCATATTATGTATTATTTTCCTAATTTTTTTTGCTCATTTTGAAATAAGTAAGTTAAATTTTTGTCTGTTTTGTGGACATGTCCTTCTGGCATGCTTTCATTGTCCACAAGGATGTTGTTCTGCTCAGTCTTCTTTTTTACTATAATTTTATATAAGTTTTGACCTCCATCCTTCTTTTGATCACTTTAAAATGTAATTAGTTTTCTGAAAACATGTTTAAATACTCAAGGAAATTCTGTATTAGACATAATATATATTCATATGTATGAACGTATTTTTAAGATACTAAAAGTAACCATACATTACATATAATGTAAGTACATCATCTATTTATATCTTAGTTTTACAGAACATGTTTAAGATACTCAAGGGACTTTTAAAAGGGGGCAGATTCAGGATCACTTTCCTAACTTCACAGAATTTTTTTCTTTAATACTTTTGATCAGGGATCAAAAATGTGTTAGCTCCTGGACCTAAGGCTTCCTCTCTTCCTCTTTTACCTGGACCTTCTCTTTCCTTATCTCTTTTGTTCCTGCCCTGCTCAGTTTCTGTTTCGTTCCCGGGTCTCTCATCAGTGGAGGGCTCCCGTGGCGGGAGGGCACCCTGGCCGGTCTGTTCCACAAGTTCGGGGGGGCTGGACTGCTGTTACCCCGCAGACCTCACTTCCCGTGGGCCCCTTCACTCACCCACTCTGGGACTGGACAGAACCCTTCCCAGTTCCAGCTGCTTTTCTTGAATTGGCCTGCTGTGCTTTCCAGGGAATGCTTTTGACTCTTTTGGGATGTTTCTTCCTCAGGTCTCTCAAACCACATTGCTTCCCTCGCTTCCTCTGGTCAAGAGGCTCTTACCGTGCAGGTGTTGTTGTGTTCAGCAGTTTGTCCCCACCCATTTGCATTTTGTGGCTTGTGCGGACGTGGATTTGAGAGAAATGTTGTCTGTGGGATTTTGGTTTTGCTCTCCGGTTGCCCTGTCTGCTCTTGAGGGGATTTGGGGAGGTTCAAAACTACACCTCCATTTGGGATTTTCCCAGAATCCCCTTACCTGCAGTATCCTAAGAAATAGAATTTGACTGGAAAATCGAATTTTTGGTAATTACCTGTTTTACTTTATTTAAAAAAGTTTTCCCTCCCATTATAAATAAATACATTTCTGAAGATTTGTAAACACAGGAAAAAGCTATATATACAACTTTGTTGTACTAATGCTGACATTTTGATTTATTCTCGTCTATTTTTTGGTTTTATTAGCTAATGTTGTAGTTGTCTCCAGATTGCGCTTGAACATTTTTACCAGATAAAAGGTTAAATTTCAGTTTTATGTTAGGATTCTGAGACTGCCTTATATACATATCCCTGTCATTCCCAGCCTTGCTGTCCACTTTCCTGCCCTCACAGCCAGGCTACCACTTCCTTCTGCAAGACCGCACCCCCGAGTGCTGCCCTCCAAGACTTCCCTGACTCCTGCGGCCACTCCGGTTGCCCTCGAACCCCCGGGTGGTGGTTCGCACGTCCCCACGGGCCATGCAGAGCCTCGCCATAGCAGGGAGCCAGTGTTGGTTGAATGAACTCCTGGATAGTAATTTTTTTTCTTTCTTTTATGTGAAAGAGAGAGAGCGGTGCTACGATCCCCTCATTTATGAACACAATCCCAACAAAAGAAACACCCCCAACTCTAATCCGCACCAACAAGTTCACCGAGGGGTTTCAGAACATTGTGGACGCCTACGGAGTTGGGAGCTACAGAGAAGTGAACCCAGGTCGGAAGTCTGAGTTTGTAAATCCTCCTGTTTTGTCTGATTGCAGCTGCTTCTCCCTGCAAGGATGTAGTAGACATTTGGGAAAGTAGGCTCACGGCTCTTTTGTGTCATCTTGCTTAGTGTAAAGCGCTCATTTTAACCTGTCCGTTCTCTTTCGGGAGTCTGGAGAAGGTTGAGTGTTTGGATTAACTGGAATTTTCTGCCTCTGGTGAATCAAGTCTCTTTTGCTCTCCCTGCAGCTCTCTTCACCATCATCACTTTCCCCTTTTTGTTCGCCGTGATGTTTGGAGACTTCGGACATGGCTTTGTGATGTTCTTATTTGCCCTCTTGCTGGTGTTAAATGAAAACCATCCCAGACTAAATCAGTCACAAGAGGTAAGAGCATAGATACTCCAGCCTGTTACACCTGGTTGGGTGATGAGTAGTCGTTTTCTTCTTTTTGACTAAACAAGAACGTTTCTTAAATATTGGGTTTTGGCAGTCAGCGTCCCTGACTGAGCTGTAAGAGGTGTGGGCCTGTGGCCTTTGTGTCACGTCGGCCCTCGGAGTGGTTCAGAGCGGGCGTGGACAGAGCCGGGGCCGCTTCCTGCATTTTCGCGGCGGTCCTCCTCTGCTCACTGTGCTCTGCTTTTCACAGATCATGCGCATGTTTTTCAATGGCCGATACATCCTCTTGCTGATGGGACTGTTCTCCGTGTACACGGGCCTCATCTACAATGACTGCTTTTCGAAGTCGGTCAACCTGTTCGGCTCCGGGTGGAACGTGTCCGCCATGTACAGCTCCGGTCACGGTCCGGCGGAGCGCGGGAAAATGGTGCTTTGGAAGTAAGTGTGGGCTTAGCTTTCGGAGGGAAGAGGAGCTTTCGGTGGGAAGAGCGTTTCTGCGAGGCTCCTCTGTCCTCCTGTCCGTAAGCCTGCTCACTCCGCTCTCTGTTACAGTGACACCATCGTCAGGCACAGCAGGGTTTTGCAGTTGGACCCAAGCGTTCCTGGAGTGTTCCAAGGCCCTTATCCTCTTGGCATAGATCCCGTGAGTGCGCTTTTTCCTCGCCATGATCGCGGCTTCCTCTGTGGTGCCACCTGGTTTTAATTGTCACAGTGCTTCCTCAGACTCTCGGGCACGGCTCACACGGTTGCACACGATGGGGAAGGTGCCCTGGGGGTTTCTGCCTCGCGGCTGTGGCCCGTGTGCATCCCGAGTGAAGTTGGCTTGGAGATGAAGCTGAGCTCTCCATTTGGGAAGCCAGGGTCAGTGTCCAGACGGGAGGAGTCTGTGGGGAGAGGGGGAGCCGCACTCTGTCATGGTTCCTGACCTGTTTTACTCTAGGGAGAGCCAACCCTTCAGGAGCCATTAAGTGCAGGCTGCTTCCTACATTTCTTCTTTGTGTGTGGGGATTATTATTATTTTTTTTTTTACCCTTTGATCTAGAAAGAAAGAGTATGGAGTTTTAGAGCTTGAAAGGGAGCTCAGAGTTATCAGGGTGCTTATGGAGGTAGTTTGAAATGGGAAGTATTGGGAGTAGGGAAAGGAAGACGCAGCTGCAGGGGGCCAGGACTGCTGCCCACCACCAACCCCCACCCCAGACCCTACAGCGCTCAGTGAGCCAACCCCTCCACTCCCCCCGCCAGGCCTTCATCAGGCTCCCACCAGGCCCTCCTCCCACCAGGCCCTCACCAGGCCTCCTCCAGGCTGGGGCACTGTTTCCCTGGACTGTCGGCCATCTTCTGGAGGAATCTCACCCTAGAAAGGGGAGCTTAGAGGCCAGCTCAAAATTGGTCCGGGGGCATGTGCTCTAATTGTGTACAGGAATGAAAAAAACGGAATGACAGAGGTCCAGCATGCCTTCATCCGAGCTCTGCAAGCTAGTGCCTTCTTAATTGTGAATCGTGTGTTCATTCTTGCCTCTACACATAAATTGTATAATTCAACGTTGTTGCCTTCCATCTTCATGTAATTGGAAGCGTGAAAAGACTTTTATAACAATTCTCTTAAGGTACGGCATTTTGCAGCCAAATTCCTAATAATGTGTGGCCTTGCTTGAAGGAAAGAAACATTTCTGAATAAAGGCCCCGAGGAAGAAAGTTCAAGTGAGGGGGAGGAGGAGACTGGGGCATGGCACTGCTTCTTTTTGCCTTAGTTTAACTTTAAAATCAACATTATGCTCATATGGTTCAAAAATAGACCCAAAGTGTGTACTTTGTGTATGTACAAGGTCCAGCTCTTCTGAAAGGTCTCCTCTGCCCTGTCCTTATCCCCTCAGTACCCCTGGCTCCAACCTGGGAACTGCGGGGGTTGTATCTCCTCCAGGTTTCTTTATGATCATGCAAATACATCTTCTTTCTCTCCCCCTTTCTTTGCCTAAAAGATCGTTCTGTACCCAGTTGTGTTTAGCTTAGTCGTCGGAGAGAGACTTCCATGTCGTGTTGCCGGGTGGCGCTGTTGCTGGTTTTCCTGCTCTCCTGCCCTCTCCTGCCCTCCATCCCACCCTCCATCCCGCAGTGACCTCCGTCAGCTGGCTCTTCCATGGCGCCACACTGTCAAGCTGAAGGCAGCCGAAAGTCCTTTCTAAAATCTTATTTCCACTTAAAAAGAAGGAGTCTTTCTGTCCTAAGAGGTCCTGTTTCCCTTTTCCCAATCCCCCGAGTGAGGGACTTTTAGAATTATTTTTTCAGAGAGTGAAGAAGCCGTCCCAGCGGGCCCTGGAGGGGCTGGGGCAGGGAGCCACGGGGAGTTCACCCAGTGCCCCTGGGCCTTATCATCAGCGCGGTTTGGCTGCTCGTGCCCTTCTGCTTCCTTCCTTCCTCTCTCCCTCCTCCTCTGGCTCGCCCTCTCTCTCCCTCATTCTCTCCCCTCTCTCTTCCCCTTCCTCCCTTCCTTCCTTTCTGTTAAACTTTATTATAAAATGCACATACACAGAAGGTATAAAACATGCATGTGAAGTTACAACATGCATACTTGTACGGCCCCTGCCCAGTAAGAGACCCCGGGACCTGGAACGTGTCCCCCTGGCACCAGCTGTCCCCAAAGGGCACTGCCCACCCCCCGGACTCTGTGTTACTCTTTCTCTTGGGCTTCCTTTTAGTATTGCCTCAGAGGCTCGGATCCTTAAGCACAGCACTGTTTCATTTGGCATCCTTTGAACTTTATGTTAAAGATAGAATTGTTTGTAACCGTCTGTGGCCCTGGTTTAAGAAAATCAGTGGTTCTCAGGTCAGAGGCTCCAAGAAGAAAGTCGCAATGTTGCTTTCTTTTTAAATCTACAGCTGCCGTTGATTTAAGGTAGGAAATTTGTTCAGTGTCCCCTCTGTGTCCTCAAGCAGTTGAAGGAAGTTAAAGATGTCTTGTCTTGTTTTGTTCTGTCTTCAGATTTGGAACTTGGCCACAAATCGTCTCACTTTTCTAAACTCTTTCAAAATGAAAATGTCTGTGATTTTAGGAATTATTCACATGACTTTTGGAGTCATTCTGGGAATATTTAACCACTTGTAAGTACAGATTCTTTTTTTTTTTTTTTTTAAGCAGTATTTATAAGCTAAGCTTGGTATTTCTTAAACTTTGCTTCTTGAGGGTAGACTGTATGGGTCTTAGAAGCAGCTGGTGTGGTGGTGTGTTGTTTGTTTGATTCTGTGGTGATGATACAGGTTTTTGACTGTTGCAGTGATTCATTTATTTAGCAGATACTTATTTTTATTGAGTGTATAGTACTGCTGGGCACTGGTCTAGGCTCCGGGAATCGAGTGGTGCTGAAGACAGAGATTAGGTTTTGCCCCCATGGAGTTTGACATTCAAGGGAGGGAGGCATGCAACATATACATTCAGTTTATTTCCGGAACTAATTTTTGCTATACTCTTTTTTTCATTTTATAAATTAGAAAACTCTTTGTTTACTAGAGCTAGTGTGTGAAGAGGAAGAGGTTATATTTTCTTCCTCTAACTGGACCTGATGGTGAAACACCAGCATTTTCACTGTGCTCACATCTGTTTTCTTCATGGATGTATCTGAATCCTGTATGAGTTATCAGAAGACGAAGGATGTTCTGCTGAGATAGGCCTTGTCACAAAGAATTGAAGAGTAATTTACTCTCCAAACTGGCTTGGGGTTTGATCGATTCCTTTTTTTTCTAGGCATTTCCGGAAGAAGTTCAATATTTATTTGGTTTCCGTCCCAGAACTTCTCTTCATGCTGTGCATCTTTGGATACCTCATATTTATGATCATCTATAAGTGGCTGGTTTATTCAGCAGAAACCTCCAGAGTTGCTCCCAGCATTCTGATTGAATTTATCAACATGTTTTTATTCCCAGCTAGTGGAACAAACGGTCTTTACTCAGGGCAGGTAGGTAATGTTCTTTTCCACTCTTAGGAACTTAAAGGAAGTTCTCCCGAGAGACTCTTTGTGTTGATCAGTGGATGACTAAAGGGGCTTTCTGCAGGCCTCTCGGGCATGTAGGTGCTTTCCGTTTCTCTGGATGTGATCACAAGAGCTACCACTTGGCTCTGAAAGCTGTGCTGGGGCCTCTGGTTGGGCAATATAATCAGAACTCGCTGCCGCTCAGTAGCCGTCAGAACTGCTGGGAAGAAAGTGTATTTCTAGAGGATTTCTGAGGGCTGGCGAATCCCCCTGTTTTTCTAGTTGCTTTAAAATCAGTCTCTGACTAAGCCTGGGCATCACGGAACTGGCGTCTGGACCACAGCACGTGGGCCCTCTCCCAAACTGGCTTTTCTGGAATCGTGCACCCGCACTGTGGCATGGTGGCGGAACGTGGGCTCGGGTGACGACCCTGCTTGCAAGCCCTGTTCTGTCACTTCCTCAAAATGGAACTGTGAACACATAATCTGACTCCTCCGTGCCTCAGTTCCCTCGTCCGTAAAGATGGGAGTGAAAACAGGACCGCATTAGTAGCCGAGAGTTAATACGATCCAGTCCCTGGGAAGGTGCCTGGCCCGTGCCGTGCTCGCTCGGGGCGGACGGTCTCGTGCGTGCGGCGGGCCGCGGCGCCCCTCCCGGAGGATGCTGCTGCCGGCGTGGACAGATGCTCCCCATCAGCACTGTCGCAGCCTCTGTCCTCTCGAGCTGTAGGTTTTGCTTTTGTTCTTTAAAAACCTTGGTGACCCTGCAAACGGAGCGTTGGTTTTGTTTTCCACGTTCCACGGACAGCTACGTTTTAAGTCGGATTTGAGGTTCAGCTTGCTGCACCGTGGGCTCCATTGTGAGCTGCGTGCGTACGTCCTTTCTGAATTATTTGAGTTTCAACTCTTACTTATTTATGTTTCTCCTGTTTGTGGTTTTTAAATTGTATTTCGTTGTTATTTCATTGAGCCTTTATAGAACGACGTAGATGAGATGAACGGCCAGCAGGGAGGTGAGTGGGACACAGGTGCTGTGGTCAGAAAGGTCAGCGAAGGGAACTACTTTATACATGTCCTGGACGCCCGAAAGCGTGCTTCCTGTGACTCTTCCTCCTTACCTCACAGCAGCCCTCGGGGTGGGTGCTGCCGTCCCGGTGGCTCAGGGCAGACCTGGTCACTCAGCGGCCAGTGGGGCCCAGACGTTAACCCAGTCTGCTACCTCCTCCTAATGTGTACCCACGTAGCGCATACGGCTCTGGGAATCTGTGTAACGAACGTGAGGACGGCCACAGACGAGGGAGAAGCCGGGGACAGTGTGATGCCTGGTCATTTGTTTTCATAGCCACTTACAGATCCCTTAAAATCATGCAAACTGCAGTGGCTGTATAAGTGTGAATATGCTTTGCTCTCGATTTATTTTTAGGTAACTGTAAATATCCCTACTTTTTAAAGAAAATTTTTTAGTTTTGTTCTGAATCCTCTTTTAGTATTCTTCTCATGTAAAAGTGAATCCGCTTAACTGTGTCCTCACATTCCTCAAGTAATCTTTAAAATGATAATAAAAAAAAAAAACAGAACAAGAATATAAAAAAAAAATGAAGAGCTTGTGTTTGTATTCATCCTCTTAATGGTATTTTCAGAAAATTATTAGCTGGAGTTTGACTCTGTTTAGAATTTTCTTATTCATTCCTTATGGATCTGAACTGAATGATACTTCCCCACTCTGTCAGTAGTGTTACTCATCGGTTCTAGAATTCAGCTAGGAGTTTAGGAAAAGATCCACTGGCAGATAGAATTTGGCTTGTGTTTACCTTCTGTTCCTTGTTATTGTGAAGAAGGAGACACTGTCCGTGGTCTTCACTCACTGAGTGCACCAGTGACCCTGTTCGCACGTCTTTGCATCCTAATTGACTTGCCCCGCTTCTGCGCCCACAGGAGCACGTCCAGAGACTGCTGCTGGCCGTCACGGCGCTGTCCGTCCCTGTTCTCTTCCTGGGAAAACCACTCTTCTTGTTGTGGCTGCACAATGGGCGCAGTTGCTTCGGAGTGAGCAGGGTAAGCGCGAGTCCGGGTGTGTGTTTGCAGGTGGCGAGCGGAGTCCGGTTTTCGTTACACAGAGGTGAGTCCAGAAGACACCTTTCCGAGGTGCTCCCTGCGCTGCAGGAGCTTCTGCGGCGAGCCTGCTGTGTGCGGACGAGTGGAGCCGCCCCCCGAGCAGCGGGTCCGCTGCGGCTTGGAGCGCAGTCCTTCGGCACGGTGGTCATCGTTAAAGCGTTTTTGTGCCTTATTCTGGATTCTTGACTTTCTTTTCTTTAAAGTGTTTTTTTTCATGTAAGTAATATAACTAAATTATAGAAAACAGGGAATGTAGAGAAAGCAGAGCCTTCCTCTGTCCCTCGGCTAGAGCCAGGATCACCATTTTGCTAGATTTCTTTCTAGACTTTTCCTGTGTGTCCGCTTCCTCATTTTATTTCTTTAAAAACTACTGTGATAAAATAGACGTAACAAATGCTTCCATTATAACTATTTTTGAGTGTCCAGTTCGGTGGTGTGAAGCACATTCACAGGGCTGTGCAGCCGCCATCACCGTCCCATCTCCGGAACTGTGTCATCCTCCCCAGCTGAGACCCTGTCCCTGCGAAACACTGACTCCCCATCCTCCTCCCCGATCACTCTGCCCTCTGTTGCTGTGAGTTCGACCCCTCCAGGCTCCTCCAGGGCACGGACTCACACAGGATTTGTCCTTTTGTGCCTGGCTTGTTTCGTGGAGCACCATGGCCTCCAGCTTCATCCATGTCACAGCAGGTGTCAGAATTCTCTCCCTAAGGCTCAGTCATATTCCGTTGCATGGCGGGACCACATTCTGCTTATTGATTCATCCATCAGTGGATGCTTGTGTTGTTTCTGCCTTTTAGCAATTGTGAGTAATGCTACTGTGAACACAGGTGTTTGGAAATCTGTCCAAGTCCTTGCTGTCAATTCTGTTGGATACGTACCCGGAAATGGAGTTGTTCGATCACATAGTCGGTCTGTGTTTAATTTTTCGAGGCCCCACCATGCTGTTCTCCACAGTGGCTGCACCATTTTACATTCCTACCAGCAGTGCACAGAGGGCCAGTTCCTCCACACCCTAAATGATACTTATTATTTTTTTAATAATGGCCATCTTAATAGGTGTGGTATGCTCATGTTCTTGTAAACAACTTTTTAATGTTATTTTTTTTATTTCAGGTTTTTATTTAAATTCTAGTTAATTAACACATATGGTAAAATTGGTTTCAGGAATAGAATTCAGTGATTCATCACTTACATACAATACCCAGTGCTCATCATAATATGTGCCCTCCTTAATGCCCATCCCTCATCTAGCTGATGCCCCACCCACCTCCCTCCACCAACCCTCCGTTTGTTCTCTGTCATTAAGAGTCTCTGAACAACTTTTTTATTCTCAAAGAGCTGAATCATTAAGAGAAATGAAGGGGCTCTGGCTTTGGATTTGTCACATCCTTATGATTTTAAAGGCAATGACTCTGCATTCTTTTGGTTGTTGTTAGAGTGGTTACACACTTATCAGGAAGGATAGCGAGGAAGAAGTTTCTCTGCTGGGAAGCCAAGACATAGAAGGAAATAACCAAATGGAAGATGGATGTAGAGAAATGACGTGTGAAGAGGTAATCTTCTCTGTTACTATCAGTAACATTAGATTAGAAGCCAAGCTCTTGGGTGCCTGGCTGGCTCAGTCGGTAGATCTCGGGGTGGTGAATTCGAGCCCCACATTGGCGTAGAGTTTACTTAAAAAAAAAAAAAAAGTGAAGCTTTCATAGAGATAATTACCATTAGAACAATGATAATAATCATCTTAAAAAAAAAACAAAACAAAAAACAAGCCCCAAACACCTGTGACACAAAGTTTCCCAGATGCTGCTTTGGTCATCTGTTTGTCAGGAAGGTTCTCATTTTGTTTTTTCAACCGTACAGTGGGATTTATAGTGTTAACATTACACGCTGTCCTGCAAAGTAACTTAAGGTGCCATGAGCATTGCTTTCAGAAGAATCTTGTCTCAGAACTTTTTCGTAGATGTAAGGAGGAGGCCTGCCTGACACTGGCTTCAGGGCGAGTCTGCTGACTGGCTCACGTCAGGACAGGAGCCATGCTAGCTCCAGGACGATTGGTTTCCGGGTCTCCAGTTCCAAGAATTCTGGGTTGGTTTTTCTTTGAAAGTTTGTTTTACATTCTGAAGCCAGTTGGCCCCACGATTTTGGAACCTTGGCCACAGCTAGCCCAGAGCTTATTTTCTTCAGTCTTTCGGTCAGAGAGAAAAGCACTCTGGGCTGATTGTTATATTAGGAAGAATCCCAAGGAAGTACTGTGACTGCCTGGCGGGGGTCACTTGCCCTCCCCATATAACAGCAGCTCTAGTAGTCTGCATGGGCCGCCATAACCGCAGAAATCGACTGCCAGAAGTCCAGGTTCGAGATGTTGGCAGGGCCGGTTTCTCCCGAGGCCTCCTTCCTTGGCTTGTGGATGGCTGCCTTCTCAGTGTGTCCTCACAGGGCCTTGTCCTCTGTGGGCATGTGTCTGTTCTTGTAAGGACACCCACCCCTATGACCTCTCTTCACCTTAATGACTCCCTTCAAGGCCCTATCTCCAAACACAGTCATACTGGGGGTTAGGGCTGCAACACAGGAATTTGGAGGGGGACACACAGGTCAGGCCCATGACAGCTGTGGTTGGGGGATGGGGTGAATGGTGGAAGAAGCAGGTTCCCCACAGAGAAGGGAGGCACAGTCCTGGGCAGATACAACTGAGCCATTTCTGCTACTCTGGTTTGCTTCGTGTTCTTGGAAACTTCATTTGGCCATCTGATAAAGACTAAACAAAATTTCTTAGAATCAACATTTTGTAATTATGATGTAATTTAGTGTTTTAATTTGGGACGACTAATGATTCATAGGATCATAAAAAAGACCAAGAAGCAGAGCTGGAAAGAGTGTTGGAGGCCTCCTTCACGGGGCCATATAGCCTTTTTTGCCGTCAGGGTCTCCTCTTCACAGTTTCTCCTTGTTGGGCTTGCATGTGTCTCTCAGACATGCATAGTCAGTCGGAGTCTAGCTCCTGAGTCACATTGGGCTGTGAGGACAGTTCCAGTCCAGTGCCCTGTGGGAAACTGAGGCCGGGGGAGCCACTCTGTCGGTCTGTGGTAGAGCTGTGAGTAGAGCTCAGATCTTTGATTCACTGTTCCTCATGCTCCGGCGTGTTCTCCCCACCATCCCAGAGGCCACTTCTCTCACCGAGAGCGTGGGAGTGAGAGTGGACCCACGGGTAACTTGTGGGAGCACACGGGCAATATACCGGATCTAACACCTGTTGTGTGATCTCTCCCAGTTTAATTTTGGAGAAATATTAATGACCCAAGTGATTCATTCCATCGAGTACTGTCTGGGATGCATCTCCAACACCGCTTCATACCTGAGGCTCTGGGCTCTCAGTTTGGCTCACGCACGTAAGTTTTCGCTTAGACCTGCAGTTCCCCAACTCTATGCTGAGACACCCCACAGTGCCACAGTGAACCCCTCGGGAGGCACTGTGGGAAATTTCACATTTCTGAGGGAAGCCCAGTCCCATCTTTCAGATGCTGTGCGAACTAGTATCGTGTGGGGACAGAGCCGACCCGACCCTGGTTTGGCTTAAGCTCTCTCATTGGCAGGCAGGCCTCAGATTTCTCTGGCATGTCCCATCTTCCTCAGGGTGTGAGATGATCAGGGGCTGGTTAGCTTTTACACGAGCAGCAGATTACATCTAGATTATGTAAGTATGTATATTAGTTCGTGGATAATGATTCGGAATTGTCAGAAGGAAACCTGGTCCCACGAGCTCATTGCAGCGACCCCGCGTGTGTAAACGGAAGTGAGCTCTGCTAACCGCCTCCCCGCAGAGTTATCCGACGTCCTGTGGACCCTGCTGGTGCGCGTGGGCCTCCGAGTGGACACCACTTACGGAGTCTTGCTGCTGCTGCCGGTGGTCGCTCTCTTTGCGGGCCTGACGGTTTTCGTCCTTTTGATCATGGAAGGCCTTTCTGCATTTCTTCACGCCATACGCCTCCACTGGTGAGCGCGAAATTTAGCTTTGAAGCTGTTATTTGAAAAAAGAACCCCTTCCCCACATGTAGACATTGAACCCCACACAAATATGGCCACTTAATTTGGGCTGGTTCTTGCCTTCCCAACCCTGGGATCTAGACTCAGATCCCCCGAGTGAAAATTGTATTTTGTTTCTGAAGTATTATCACTGGCCAGTAGAAGTTTATGCTTGCTGAATACCTTTGTATATATAATACTTTCAATTCATTCGGGGTCTGAAAGGTTACTTGATCTTGCTGTAAAGTAAAATTCTTACATATTTCTTAATGGTTTCTAGTATGCCTCAGATCAGTTGTCTGTGTGTGAAGGTGCCAGGCTGGGGAGGGGGGCGTGTCTGCGTGGAGTGCGGGAGGTGGTGTGATGGGTTTGTGTTTCCATCATACACCAAGAAAGGCCACATGGGGCAGGGTGTGTGTGCGTGTGTGTGTGTGTTATTTAAGTAAAAACATTTGTGCAAGATGTACGGAATGGGGCGCCTGGGTGGCTCAGTCGGTTAAGCAACTGCCTTTGGCTCAGGTCATGATCCTGGAGTCCCCGGATCGAGTCCCGCATCGGGCTCCCTGCTCGGCGGGGAGTCTGCTTCTCCCTCTGACCCTCCCCCCTCTCATTCTCTGTCATGCTCTCTCTCTCAAATACATAAATAAAAATCTAAAAAAAAAAAAGATGTACGGAATGGAAGCAACTTCAGCACAGGAACTTTTTAATTTTTTTGTTTTTTATTTTTATTTTTTTTAGAGATTTATTTGACAGAGACACGGCGAGAGAGGGAACATAAGCAGGGGGAGTGGGAGAGGGAGAAGCAGGCTTCCTGAGGAGGAGGGAGCCTGATGCGGGGCTCGATCCCAGGACCCTGGGATCGTGACCTGAGCCGAAGGCAGATGCCCAATGACTGAGCCACCCAGGCGCCCCTGTTTTTTTGTTTTTTAACTTATACATGTTGTTTTAAGAAATGTAGGAAATGTTACAATCTTTCATTAATAAACTGAAAATTTTTTTTTTTTTAGGGTAGAATTTCAGAACAAGTTCTACGTTGGTGCAGGCACCAAATTTGTTCCTTTCTCATTCAGACTACTTTCGTCGAAATTCAGTGACGACATGGCATGATCGAGTTGCCGTATCTAACAAGCTGTCAAATTTATGGAGAATTATCATGTTACAGAATTTCACTTACGTCAGAGTTACGATAGGAAAAATTCCGTCTTCGTTGATTGCCTTATGATATAGCCAAATCATTCTGTAAGATATACCTCTTCCTCATGTTAAATATTTTGTAAAGTTTATCAATTTCAGATAGATAAATTTCTTTCAGTTTTTACGATGAGTAAATATAAGTTAAGGCCAAAAGTTATGTTAAAGTTATTTTTAAAAATACAGGCTTGGAGGAGAGAAGCGGTTTTGAATGGCTAAGTGAAAATGGTCTTAGATACTCAATTCCTTTTCACCTTATTAGAAAAAAAAAGTTATTCTGTCGCTTGACATTGTCAGATAATATTTTCCAACAGCTGAAGTTTAGTTTTTTAAAAAATTTAATGACGGATAATCAAAAGATTCACATTCTGCTTGATTAAAAGTATGTAAACATTTTTTTATTGTATGCTATCTAGAACTGCAAGTAGGGGATTGTTTCTACAATTTTGCCTTGTTTTAATAATTGGGGAAAATGGGATAAAATAACGTACAACAGATGGTTATCGCACTTGTATATTTTTAAAAATATTCTTACCCTGTTATCCTTATATAAAACCGATTATGATAATTGTAGTGTTTGAAAGATAAACTGTATACTGAGCCTTAAAACCCAGTGTGACTGTAGAAGATACAATATGGATGTGATTTGAACTTCGAGACCAGCTTGGCTGATGTTACTGATGTTACTGAACCAAAAGGGGTTTATACTGAGTGAAGGGAAGAGAAAAAGTAGTGTTTTGTATATTTTTATAACAAAATATAAATTAAGATATTTTACCATGAAGAGATTGCACCTGTCCTTGAGAATAGATAATTATAATTTTTTACTTTCAGACTAATTCTAAATAAAGGTCTGATAAAGGTATTAAGAGTTAAACTTTCAAACACTATTCGGATCAATTGAAAATTAATTCTTGTAATCTTTAGTTTAAATTAATCTATTCACTTGACATTTAGTTTTGAATGAATTTGGGTCAGTCCTACTGAACATTTTAATCGGTGCAGACAGCCCCTGACTTAACAGTCATTTGATTTAATGAATTTTGAATTAATGATGGCATCAAAGCGATTAACACATTCAGTAGAAACCGTACTTGGAATTTTGAATCTAGACCTTGTCGCGGGCTTAAGATCCGCGGTCCCATCCTGTTCCGTCTGTGATCCTGGGCAGCGGCCGCCGCTCCCCGTCAGCCACGCGATCACGAGGGTCACAGACGCCACGTGCATCGTCTGTCACCGTCAGTGCCTAGTCAGGTGATTTTGTCCAGCGGGAGGCTCACGTCGGTGCTCTGAGCACGTTGAAGGTGGGCCGGGCTGAGCTGTGGTGGCCGCTAGGTGAGGTGTGTTTTTCACCTGATGCATTTTCAACTTAGGATGAGACCCCATCGTAAGTCGAGGAAGATCTATATTCTTGTAAATTATGTTCATTTTTCATATTTTACTGTAATTGATTTTAGGTAACTGTTTTCAAAAAGAAATCTGCAGTGTTCTCACTTTCTTAACATTTTGAGGAATGCACATGAAAAGGCCTGTTTGTCACCATACTCCTTCACCTGGCTAGTGGCAGAGTTTGGAATTTTCATTCCAAGCTGAGCTTGTGGTAGCCCCGAATCTAAGCGTATCTTCTCAAGTAATGTCAAGACCTGTTTGCTGAGAGGCAGGAACTGAGCACGCTGATGTAATTGTGACTCCACCATTAAACCTTTCTAAGTGTAGTAAATGCTCCATGCCGCTTCTGGGAGCTGTTACCCAAAACCAGTTTGGAGTGGCTGGGTTTTGTTCCTCCTATTACAGTATCAAACCTAAAACGATGCTGATGAGACTCTGGGAATTGATTCTGTTCTCAGAGTTGTTTCCCTGGAAAGGTGTATTGTTGGTTGGACACTTCTTTTGGGGGAATACAAAATCTCAATAATGCTGCCGAGGTTGCAGACTTGTCCCCCACCAGTTGGCATCTTTATTACTTTATTCCAAGGAACTGTGGTAAGAAAATGGTAACTGATCCATCCCTAGGAAACCCCCAATTTCAGCGCACTATTAACTGATTAGTAAACAAGAGACAATGTGGTGTCTGCTGGAATTTTTTAGGGCCCCCTCTGGTAACTTGTTATGGGCCAGTTGGTAATTCTAAGTAACACCTCTTATCATGATATAGAACAGAGAGGGAAGAGTCATTTTTTAATTGAAACCTATGTAATAGTATTATATTCTACATAGTTATATAAAAGAATGTATTAATAGTCTAACATCTGTGAACTCTCTAGAAATAGAGTTTGATGGTGTCTTTTAGGCACCGGGGACATTCCCCCCCCCCCCCAAATCTATAGGTTCCAATGTCATGTTACCAGAGTGGTTGCTGTGCTTTGTTTTTAAGTTGTTTGGTAGAACCATTACACATACAATTTTCAAGACCGACTCCATTCCCTTAATAGCAAATATCCAGAGGAAAAATGGTCAATTGTCTGGATGATGCTAAATACCTGTTTATTTTCCTAAAGAGGACATGTCATGATAAATGGCATGACGGCCACATTTTCCAGTTTTCATTCAGGTGTTCATTCTCTGTGTTGATGGAGTCCTAAAATAAAAATCCAAGGGATTTCTTCAGGAAACAGAATTTGATTTCATCCTGCAAGGGTAAGGAATGTCCTCATGGTGACATAATTGTGATCAGTTAAGGAGCTCAAAGGTTGTTCTGATGATCACGTTGAGCTTTCCATTCATCGCAGATTGGACTTTGAAGAGCCTCACCTTTCACTGAATGCCACTGTGTCCTCATTTCCTGAGTGGGTATTTTATAAAAACATTCTGTTCTCAGTTTTCAGTCTGCAGTAGTTTAATAAGCCATAGATTATAGCTTAGGTAACTCATGATATTTATGAGTTAAATATTCAGATATTTTCGGACCTGATTCATTTTGGAAAACAAAAAACTTCTATAACTGTTCTGCAGTCTGCATTTAAAAACAGTAAATTTCTTCATTAAAATTTTAAAGCCAAATTTGCTTGCATGCCATCTTGTTTATCTCCGGTAAGGTTATTAAGAAATCTTACTTCAGGATGATGAAAATAAGGCAGTTCCAAGTAATAGTTTTCTAACAGCCAGGTCATTGATGCTGAGCTTTGGTTTTAGAATTGTAAGAAATACTTCGAACATTCCACTTGTTCCTTGATGGGAAAATCCAACAGGAAGGCTGAGTTCTTAGAGTCAGCCTTGTCATCTAGAGACTCAGCTCTGTGAGGGGGAAATCACAGTCACTAAGTTAAAGCTCCACAAATGCACGAAAGGACAATTTTGCATCTTCCTATCAGTACTGAACTTCCTTTTACTAATGAAAAATAAATATATTTTTTAAAACATGGGTGTTTTTGCTTTGTACATGGCTGGAAAGCCAAAACACTTGGCCCCTTCCCTGATCCCAAATGCCAGAAGTCACTTGTCCCTTCTTGGGTCACTGTCCTCCCGGATCCTGTGTGCAAGGGTGAACCTGCCCCTTCTTGGAACTCTTGGAGAGTATTTGCTTTTCTGAGGCCCTTTGGTCCATGGTGGCTGGGGGCTCAGGCAGTTAGTCCCGCCTCGCCTCTGACTCTGCGCCTGCCACCTCCCCTTGCCTCTTCCGTCACCTCGCTGGTCTCGGCCTGCTTGGCGGCACCATGGGCGGGACGCTCGCCCGCGGTGGAGAGGATGCCAGGAGGCGGCCCCGGGGTCCGCAGTCGGCTGTCCCGGGCAACAGCGCTCCGGCGGCTCCCGGCCGTCCTCGTCCCCGCGCGTCCCGGGAGCGAGCGTGCTGCCGGGCTGCTCCGCTCGGTTCTCCGGTGCGACGGGCGGGCCCGGGTCCGGACGGGGCCCGGCGCCACGCCCACCCCCTCCCCGGCCTCCCGGCCCGCGCCCCTGCGAGCGCGGGGCGGGGGCGGGCGCGCCCGGGACCCGGCGGACGCGCGCCGGGTGGCCGTTGCCGGGGCGCCCGTTGCCAGGGGCGTCGTTGCCACGGACGCCGCCCGTCGCTGGGCTCCTAGGGCGCCATCGGGCCCTGCGCGGCGCCATGGACGACCTGCGGGTGCTGTGGATGCGCGACCGCGTGTACGCGGCCTTCGGCATCACAGACCCCCGGCTCTTCGAGGAGCTGCTCAACCGCAACGACGGCGAGGTCGAGGACCTCATCCTGCACTTCCTCAACCAGACCAGTGATGAGGAGGGCGCCTTGACGCTCTTCTTCTACCGCAAGGTGGTGCCCGAGGAGGTGGAGGTGGAGATCGGTGAGCCTCCCCGACGCGGCGCGGACTTGCTGCGGTTCGGCGGCTGCTTTCCGAGCGGCGTACCCCGACACCTGCTTAGCCCAGTGGCCCCCGGCTGGATGTCCCTGTTCCTTGGGGAAGCAGATTTCAGTCCCCGGGGTCACTCCTGGACCCTCGAAAGGGTGCTCGGAAGTCTGCCTTGGCCTGTGACCTGTTTCTGTGCTGTCTCTGACTCGCTTCCCCGTTCTTTCCCTCCTTTTCTGGCTCCTCTCCACCGTCACCACGTCATGAGGATGCCAACGCATCCCCCGCTGAGCATCCTGTCCCTAGAGACTCACCGCTGCCGATCCTGCAGTCACCAGAATGGTGTTGGGCTCTAGACAGAGGTGGGGAGGGCGGCCTCCTCCCCAGCTCTGTGGCTCACACTGTCACTCTCTGCTTATGAAGACACTTGGGAAGCTTTATTGGATCCTTTATGGCGCTCTGGTCTGTTCACAGGACCTGGAGTGGGGCCAGTGCATGCCCCTCCATCCCTCTTTTCTTTTTTTAAAGATTTAATTATTTATTTAATTGACAGAGACAGCGAGAGAGGGAACACAAGCAGGGGGAGGGTCAGAGGGAGAAGCAGGCTTCCCGCCGAGCAGGGAGCCCGATGCGGGGCCCGATCCCAGGACCCTGAGATCATGACCTGAGCTGAAGGCAGTCACTTAACCAACTGAGCCACCCGGGCGCCCCACCATCCCTCTTTTCTATTTCTGTCCTTGCCCCCAGTTAAGATTTCTCTCCGCTCCCAGTTAAAAATTATATGAATGGAGACAAATAGATGCTGGTGGGGGTGGTGGTAGGAAAGAGGGGTGTCTGTAACTAGGAGCAGCTAGCCCAAGATGCTGTTCCAATTGGTAAGTGTGTATTTCTTAAAATAAAATGGAATCAGGCTGTAGATGTCATGTAATGACTCACTTAAATTTTAAAAAATGACAGTATTACTGAAGGGCATTCTCTTAAAAATTCACATGACATAGAATTATACAAAGTAAAAAGTGAAAAAGCAAGCCTTCATTATCCCTTAAGTCCTACTCCCATTCCTGTAGGTAACCACTATTGTTAGTTTGTCGTGTATCCTGCCAGATCTTTCCCTGAATCAATCAGTCAATCAATCAATCATCTATATCTTCTCTATATAATAAGTTTCTAAAATCAGTCATACTATATATATTATTTTGTGACTTGTCTCCCTCAAATGCATCTTGAGAATTTTTCATGTCAATACCTATAGAACTACCTAGCTTTATAGGTTTTTAAGTACATTGATATACCACATTTTATCCATTCCCTAATTAATGAACATTTATTTACCTTTCCATAGTATTTTTTTCACAAACAAGGTAACAATGCACATCCGTCCTTGCACCCTGTGTATTTCTGTGGGAGAGGTTTATAAAAGCAGAATTGCTGGTTTCCTAGGTGTGTGCATTTACACGATGGATAGGCTGCCAGACTGCTCTGGAGAAAGGGCCTCCTGGCCCACACCCAACAGTGGCCAGGTGCCTGTTTGCCAACAGTCCTGCCAACATTGGATATTGTCTTTTTAATATCTGCCAATCCCATAGATGAAAGGGGGCTGCACTTGCTTAATCTATAGTACATTTTTTAAAAGAATTATTTATTTGGGGGGGGAGAGAGAAAGAGAGGGAGCGCGCAGTGGGGGAGGGGCAAAGGGAGAGAGAGAATCCTGGTGCGGACTCCCTGCTGAGTGCGGGGCTCCACCTGGAGCTTGATCCCAGGACCCTGGGATCCTGACCTGAGCCCAAGGCAGACAGACCCTTAATGGGCCGAGCCACCCAGGTGTCCCCTATATGACATTTTAAATAATAATCAGTGGAGTGGAGCCTCTTTTTTATGCTTGTTGATCACTTATATTTCCTGGGGCTGGTGGAACCATCTGATCATTCTGCGACCTTGACCTTCATCTCCTGGGGAATTTGCACAGATCTTCCTTTGGTAACACTTAAAGTTGTCTGGGGTAACTGGAACATTCCGGTGTGACCACTGGTTCAGAAACTGGCGCCAGCGCAGGAGGGCAGGGAAGGCGGAGCAAGGAGGCAGAAGGCTCCAGCCGGGCAGGTGGCAGGTGTCACAAGCCCGGGAACTCGCACCCGAGGCCCGTCTTCACGCGAGAGGAGCAGGTCTCCCCCGCCCCCCAGCGTCTTAGGGTGCGGGGCGGGGTCGCGAGGGGCGGGAGGGGAAGGGGCTCCCGCGTCCTCGCCCTGACCTCGCCCGGGGTGGGGGGGCTGTCGCAGAGCAGTGGCCTCACGTGTCTCGTGTGGTGGGACAGCCACGTGTTACTTTTTCTTCCATGCTCGAGGCGGTCAAGAGGGCGACGTGCCGGTGGCCACCGAGGAGGAAGGCGAGGAGGAAGAGGAGGACGCCCAGAAAGTGGGGTCGGGGCGTGAGCCAGGTGAGGGGCGGGGCTCCCCCGCGACTGGGGGGAGGGGACCGGTGTGGGGTACCGAGCGGGGTGTGGCTGTCCGCCCTCAGCCCTGAGGCCCCAGGGGGCCGTGCGGGGGTGGGCCGGTTGGGGGGAGCACCTGCCTTGCCCCTCGGGCCGGGGCCCCTCTTGACGTGCACGCGCATCCCTCGCGGCTCGGCCTCCGTGGGGCCCAGAGTCTTCCTGTCCTTACTCTCGTAAAGGCGACAGCCAGCGGATTTAGGGGCTGCCCTCTCCATGACCTCTTTCACATCCGCAAAGACCCTCTTTCCAAAAGCGTCCCCTTCCGAGGGTCTGGGCGGCGTGACTTCGGGGGGGGGGCACTCTTCCACCCAGGACAGTGCAGGGCCCGGACCCCCCAGGCCTGTGCAAGCCGCGCCTGGGAGCCCTCGACCCGCGGTGGGCGCCCTGTTGTGTAGCCGCGGCTTCCTTCCCGTTGTGCCAACCGCTCGCGCCGCTGCTTTGGGCTGATCTGCGGCTCGACTGGAGGCTTTCATGCCCCTCAGCGGACACGTCGGAGCTGGAGAAGTTGCTCTAAGTACCCCGAGCGGCCCGACCTGCTGGGCCTCTGCAGGCTCTGTGCCTCGTCTAGGGGGGCGGTGGCTTCACCTTCAGGCTTTGACCCACTTCTCCCGCCTCACCTTTTCTTTTTCTTTCTTTTTTTGTTGTTGTTGAACGATTTCATTTTATTTCTAGTGTATTTCTACTATTTACCTAACTGAGCTTTCTTTTTGTCCTCATTCCTGAAACTTTTTATTTTACCCTTTTTGGGGGCGGGCAGTTGCATGTATTAAGTTTTTAAACTTTTAATTTCAGTAGAGTGTTATATCAGTGTCAGGTGTACAATATATTGATCTGCAACCTCCATACATCACCTGGTGCTCCTCAGGACACGTGCCCTCCTTCATCCCCATCATCTGTTTCCCCTGTCCCCGCACCTGCCTCCCCTCTGATAACCATCAGAGTGTTCTCTATAGTTAAGGGTCTGTTTCTTGGTTTCTTTTTTCCCTTTGTTCATTTGTTTTGCTTTTTAAATTCCACATATGAGTGAGATCATAAGGTAGTTGTCTTTCTCTGACTTATTTCACTTAGCCTTCTACTCTCTGGCTCCATCCATATTGTTGCAAATGGCAAAATTTCATTCTTTTCTATGGCTGAGTAATATTCCATCGTGTATATATACCACATCTTTATCCATTCATCTGCCGATGGACACTTGGGCTGCTTCCGTAATTTGGTTATTGTAGATAATGCTACTAGGAGTGCATGTATCCTTTTGAATTAGTGTTCTTGTATTCTTTGGGTAAATGCCCAGTAGTGCAATGGCTGGATTGTAGGGTAGTTCTTTTTGTTTGTTTGTTTAAAATCAATTAATTAACATATAATGTATTATTAGTCTCAGAGGTAGAGGTCAGTGATTCATCAGTCTTATATAATACCCAGTACACATATCACGTACCCTCCTTAATGTCCATCACCCAGTTACTCCATCCCCCACCCCCCTCCCCTCCAGCAACCCTCAGTTTGTTTCCTAGAGTTAAGAGTCTCTTATGGTTTGTCTCCCTCTCTGATTTATTTTTAACTTTTTGAGGACCCTCCATACTGTTTTCCAGAGTGGCTAAACCAGTTTGCATTCCCACCAGCAGTGCACGAGGGTTCCTTCGCATCCTCGCCAACGTGTTTTTAATTGTAGCCAGTCTGACAGGTGTGAGGAGGTATCTCACTGTGGCTTTGATTTGCATTTCCCTGAGGCTGAGTGATGTTGAACATCTTTTCATGGGTCTGCTGGCCCTCTATCGGGGGCAGCATTCTTAGCCAGGGGTGACTTGGGCCCCCATGGGGCATTTGGTGATGTCTGGAGACATTTTAGTTGTCATGACTGGAGGGTGGGTGCTGCCGGCATCTGGAGGGGAGAGGCCAGGGATGCCACTGAACATCTTAAAACGCACAGGACAGTGCCCGCAACAAAGAATGATTCAGCCTCAAACACCAGTGGGGCCGAGACTGAGAAAACCATGTTCCGGGCCGTGCACGTCCCCAGCAGAGCTAAACGGCCCCCATGCCACACTTACCCCGTGATTCACCTGCCCTTACAAGAAGCAGAAGCTGTAGGTTAGACACTTCACTTTTGAAAGATACCGAATATTTGAAAATCCGAGGGAAAGGGGTTTTTTGGCGACGGGCTCTGTCTCTGCTAGTCCTCCTCCTCTCTTCAGAAGCATTCGTTTTTACCCACAATGTGGTTACAGATCGCAGGGAGAGGACTGTGAGGTCAGAAAGAGAGGTTGTCCGTTCATTCTCAGGAAGGCTAGCTAGGCTGGATTTCGATAAGACAGACGGTGGGGATGAAGGCCACAGCCACACTTCCTGCGACGTTCCACGAAGACACACCAGTCAGTCTCTGGACGGGAAAGAACTCCGTGGAAGGAGGCTGCTTGGGGAGAAAAGTCAGGGAGGTCTTCTCGACAAAGCAAATTAACGTTACTTCCAAGTGGATATTCAAGTGCATTTTTTTCTTTTTATTGTGGTAAAATATACATAACCTAAAACTTAACCATTTGAACCAAGTCTAGGAGTACAGCTGCACTCATTTGGTGCATTTGTAAGTGTGTTTTTGGCCTCAGGCCGTCACTGTGCCAGGCACGGAACCACACCACCACTGAATTCTCCAGTCTCACCACTAGATGTTATTGTTCCCATTTTATGGATGAGAAAACCAAAAGTAGACCAGGAGACCCCACACACTGATTTGATTCCCAAGCCACCCTGGGGTCATGTGGCGCCTTTTGCACTAAGAGCCAAACCGTTTTGGGGGAAGCTCTCCCTTCTGTGTGATCACTGGACTCGTCAGTAACTCCCAGGGCTGTGACCGACAGGCTCTGAGGTTTCCAGATCTGTATCGGTAAGAGTAGACTTGAGAGATACACATTCATTTTGTTTAGATTTCTTTCATTTTCATCCCCCACCAGTTTCGAGTTTCATAGAGAAAATAGAATAAATGCTAATGTGAGCTCTCATTCTCGTCCTAATAATAAAACTCCCTTTTAAAGTGAAAATCTCTGAGAAGTCACACATTGCACACGGTAGCTGGGACATGCACACGCGTGTGCACGCACACACACGCATACACATTAAATTTCCGGCTGAGAACCCACCCATCAGAAATACAAAGAACTTTCGCCATTATAACGTACAACAAGGCTCTGATAGGATTCATTTGTAAAAAATGTATGTATAGCTTTTGGATAACATGTCTGTTGAATGAAATATGCTGTTGTACAAGATGCGGGTCTGGTCTTGATGGCAGGAAATCTACTTTTCTGCTTATTTCAGTTTGCACACTGAATAATGTTTTGCAGCCAAGAATTTGCAGGTGAGAAACGATTCTGTAAATCAGCCTATAATCGACATAGAGAATGAAGAAGCAGGCGAAGAGAGTTTAGAAGACTTCCCCGTCAAGGTACTTTCGGCTCTTTCTCCTCCTTGGTGGGGTAATGGGAATTCCCTCCCCTCTGATGAGTCTGTGTAACTGACTTTCATATTTGAGGGAACCTATTTGGAGTAGAGATGATGGACTCAGATTGAATGATTTGCTAGGATGACTCACAGGACCCAGAAAAACTTTTATACTCGTGGTTACAGTTTATTGCAGTGAGAGGATGCAGAGTAGAATCAAAGAAAAAGGTACGTATGGCAGAGTCTGGGAGGAAAAGGGGCCCGAGCTCCCGGTAGCGTGGCCTGGATGTGCTATTTCTCCCAGCAAGTATGTGCGAGAACACATAGGAAGTCAAGGAAGCCCACCCAAGCCTTGGAGTCTAGAGTTTCTACAGAGCATCTATGGGTGTGAAGGGCCGGTCTCTAAGCCTGCAGGAAGTCAAACTGATATAAGGTGACCGGGGCCCCAGGCAAACAGAAACAGGCATTCACCACCCATCATGTTGCTAGTATAAACTACCTGGCATGAGCCAAGGCCCCAGGTATACAAAGACACTCACATCAGGTAGGCTTTTCCAAAAACAGAGGTGATCACCCAGGAGCCCGTGAAGGGCCAGCTTGAAAACCTTTGGAACACGCAGAGTTTGGACAACCCAGGCCTGCTGAGTTAACCTTTTATTTCACAAATCCCAGAGGTGGAGCTTAAAGCCAGGACGTAAGCATCGAGTCTGGCCTGTGCTAAATGAAATTACTCTGATCGGCTCCATGAATATACCCCACCCCCGAAACCAAATTCAAGCCCGTTTGTTGCAATTTACAGCCTCGGAAAGCTCTGTCTGGACTTCCCAGGTCAAGTGTGGCTGCATCAGCCAATTAATAGAAGAGTCAGGCTGAGCGCTCAAGTCTGGCTGCCTTGTCGTGCACGTGCTAGGGCCCTTTGTCAGCCGGGAGTTCAGAAGGCACAGAGAGGAGGGCTCAGGTGGGCCTGAACGCTAGCTTGTCTGGGTGAGTGAGTGTCTCTCAGCCTGATGTTTTTTTGTCCCCCATGTTTCAGAGAACCGTTAAGCACATTGTGGATAAGACCCATCTCTATGTGCTGTGTACTCCTGTTCCTGAGGAGTTTCTGGACCAGAATGTGGTGTATTTTCTCAGAAATACAAAAGGTATATTTCTAGTGTGTGTGCATGCGTGTGGGTGAGTATGCCCCTGGGTGTGTATCTGTGAGATTCTTAATTTTTACACTTTCTTGAGAATACAGCCTTTTTTTTCCCCAGGCCAGCCAATCCTCATTACTCGTGGGTTCCCTATTTGTGAATTCACCTACTTGCTCATACGTTTTCATAACCCCCAAATCAATCCTTGCCGAGCCTTGAGGTCATTCGTGGATGTGCACGGCATGGGGAAACATTTGACTTTTTTTTTTTAAGATTTTGTTTTTAAGAAATCTTTACACCCAACGTGGGGCTTGAACTCATGACCCTGAGATCAAGCGTTGCATGTTACAGTGATGAAGCCAGCCAGGCACCCCTTAATGGGGAAACATTTGAGTCACTGAATCTGTGTGTTCCTGGCTGAGGGTGGACTGTCCTTATTGTTATCTCTTTAGTGCCGTGGTTTTCACATTTTTTGGTACTTTTTGTTGGTGGTTTCACTGTTTAAAATGGCCTCAAGCATAGTCCTGGAGCACCGTCCAGTGTTTCTGAGTGCGAGAAGGCTGTGACGTTTCTCATGGAGGACACAGGTGTATTAGAGAAGCGTAGTTCAGGCGTGAGTTATAGCGTAGGCTGAGTTCAGTGTTAACGAATCAACCGTGTACATTAGATAAGTTGTCTTTAAACAGAAACACAAATAAAGCCAGGTTATATGTTGATGGCTGATGAAAATGTGACCAGAGGCTGCAGGAACTTAACCTCGGGTGTCCTGCAGGAGCAATGGCTGGGTATTCGTTAATTCCTTGTTCGAGGAGACTTCACGGAACAGAACTACCAGGAATAATGAGGACTGGCTGTGTGAATATATTCTTGGTTCTGTTGTAACAATTAAAGGGAGAGAGATGCAAAATGATGTGATCCTGAGTTGTAGGATGAGCTCTGGGGCTTTCTCCGTGTGGCCATGTGATTTAAGACAGAGGAGCTGCTTGGAGGCCAAGTTCATTCCTCGGGGTAACTTTTGGGCGGGATGTTCCCACTGTGCATTCCTGCTGCATTCTGGGAGCCACCTGGGCATTTCTGGTGACACCCCCGGCCTCCCAGTGGTTGCCACTCTCCTGTCTCTTCTGACCCCCGGCCCTTCCTCTTGCCTTATTTAATCCGGGCTGACTCCGCAGTCTTCCTGCCTGGGTTTCCCCCGTTTCTTCTGCCTTTGCCTCCGTGGAGGCGGTGCAAAGCTATGTTTTAGGACTCACAGTAAATTCCAGCGCAAACATTATGTGGCCTTCTTTTTTCTCTTTTGAACTTGGATGGCGTTTTTGGGCGCACAGGCCATGAGCAGGACAGCCGCGGCGTCCCCTCGGGCTTTATTACTGCTCACTCTCATCATCTTGTGTCTCTATGGTCGTCTTTCATTGAGCTCAGGCTCTCTTTCTTTCACATTCTGGGTTCTTACGTACTTTCCCTCTCAATTTGAGTAAAGAGGAGTTTGATATACAGAAGCGTAGTGAGGAGAGGATAAAGTCTACACAGATGTGGGTCCGAAGCCAGCGAAATGATTGCCTTGGTTGATGTATTTGTCGTGTTTCTGTTTTGTTTCCCAATGAGGTTGAGGGAAGGGCCCAAGGGACCTTCAGAATGTCTCCCGTGCTCATTGATGTTTGGGTGGAGTAAAGACGTGTAAAATAAAACCCAGCCGAACGGTTGGCTGTCACCAAATCTGTCTTTAAAAATACTCGTGACTCAGAAGGGACTCTGGCGATGAACTGGGGAGGCGTTGCTAGGAGTGGGGACCCAGGCAAAGCAAGGAGCCCAGCAAACATTTCTAGGAAACACGAGTGTGTCTATCCGTTGGTCTGGGTAGCTCTGTTGTGCTACTGATGGGAGCCTGGGGACCCCAGCACGTCAGGTTTCCCTCAGTGTCTCATGGGCCGAGGGATTTGTCTGACTAGACGTCAGCATCATTTTGAGTCTGTGCCTGGAACATTCCTGGGTTAGCTACTCAGGAAGAAGGAGCCGATTCGCCGGGTACTTGGGGGAGTTACCTGCCTGCCACCTCCCCACGTGACTTACCCTCTGTGTCTGTTCCCACGCAGAGATGATCTCCGAGGCTACAGACATGAAGGAAGCCATGGAGATCATGCCCGAGATGCTGGAGTACGGAATTATCAATTCTAACGTGCTTCCCTTTCTGAAGAATGTCATATGTCAGGTAACCGTGGACAAGGGAAGGGGTCTCAGCATTTTGTAAGATTCAGGCTGTCTGGTTCGTTTCCTCCACACATAAGGAATGTTCAGCAGCTCTTGCCTCCCAGGTGCCATTGTCCAAGTGGATCTCGGTGCTCCAGGAGCTGATACTGGGGGAAAGACATGAGACACAGATTCCTAAGCTGGAAAATATCAGGCAGTGACAAGTGGCATGAGTTCAATAAATCCTAGTAATGTGATAGAAACGGACTCCGTGCACACACGCATGTGTTTGTGTGTGCAGGGAGTGGTGGTAAGGGATGGCCTCACGGAGGAGGCAGTGTTTGATAGACAAACAATGGAAAAAAAAAAACACCTTGTGAACAGACTAATTCTCCTAATGATAAGTTCCTAGGGAAGTGTAATAGGGTGGGGCTCAGGGGGGTCAGGAAAGGCCCGTCTGAGGTTGTGGCATTGAATTGAGACCTGAATTAGGTAAAGGTGTTAGACATGTGAAGATCTGGGGGGGGGGGGGGGGAATTCCTGGGCAGAGAAGGGAGCATGTGCAAAGGTCCTGAGGCAGGAGCAGACATAGCCTGGTCCAGGAACAGAAGGAGGGCCAGTGTGGCTGGAGAGGAGTGGGGAAGGTTGGAAAGGGAGGTAGGTGTTCAGCAGGGGAATAATATGGTCTGGTTTGCATCATTCCTCTGGCTGTCGTGTGAAACTTAGACCGTGGGAGCGGGGGGCAGACGCTGAAGGGAAGAGAAGACCAGTATGAGGCCGTAGAAGAGTCTGTGGAGGGGGATGGTTGCCCAGGCAGGAGTTCAATCAGGGGAGGCAGTGGGAGGCAGGCAGTATCAAGAATATGTTTTACTGGGGAGAGGACATTTTGAACGTCACCATGAGTGTGCGGTTGGCAGAATCCAGACTGTGAAACCACAGGTCAGACGTTCTGGGCTCTTCAGTCAGTGGGAGGTACACGTACATTGTCTTAAACCATGGATCCAAGTTTCCGAAGAAAAGGCAAAACTACACACCAAAGCCCAGACTCACCCAACTAACTCACGGGCATTTTTTCCATCATTTTTATGTGGGTGAAGCTTTGTTATTATACTCAAGTGACTTCCTAAATGCATGCTTCTGTCCTCAGCTAAATGTCAAAAGGACTGTGTCCTCAGACCCTTCATTTTAGATCTTTATTTAAGTAATCTCTATGCCCCACGTGGGGCTCGAGCTTGCAACCCCAAGATCAAGAGTCGCACGCTCTACAGACTGAGCCAGCCAGGCGCCCCCATGCCCTTCTTTATTTTAACTCTCCCGTGAGCTAGCCTGGTGCTGAGCAGACTCTCTAACACCTGCTTCTACTCTTGTTTGTGCCGTAGTTTCAAATCCAGCCGCCTTGCAGCCGGTGGCAGCCGAAGAAATGCAGGATTATCTTCTGGGTTGTCACCTTGGGCTTGGGTCACATTCTTACCCTGGGATCATTTTAGGTCAAATATTTTCATCTCTCTCTCTCTAGGTCTGTGCTCTGGACTTGAGCAGTTTCTGCATTGTAGTTACGCTGTGCTGCGTCTGATAGAACATTCGACACCAGAGGCAGCGTGAGTGCGTGATCTTGAACACAATATTGTGTGATTTCCTTCAGGTTTTCATGCCGGCTTTGTCCTTCAATCAACACAAGGACGCCTCCCTGGGATTCACATCTTCAGAAATCTCTGACTCTTTTGAGTATGAAGTGGACCTACCCAACATGCCCGGGGAAGCCTATCACAGCATTCAGCTGATACGGGATGAATTTTTAATGAACATCCAGAAATTTGCGAACAGTATTCAAAGAACAATGCAGCAACTTGAAGGTGAGGCTTCCTTTTGCCCGTGTTGAGGGAAGCGTGATGGATTTCCTTTAAGAAGGCAATTTCAGGGTCCAGGAGTCTCTTGCTTTCATTTATAATTCTCCTCTTCCCTGCTCACCATACGAGCGACCCTGAGCTGGGAGGAAGACCCAGAGAGGAATGACAGAATCCTGTCCTCAAGGATCTTATAATCTGGCGCACAAGGAACTATGGCAGAATGGGAGCTTGGGAAAGATATTAGGGCCTTGAGGGGTTTGGAAGAGGGAGATCATGTGGGAGAAGCAGGGGGAAATCAAAGGAGACTTCCCGAAGGAGGTGGCATTTGACCACCTCTGAACGGACAGCAAAGCTTTAGTAGGTGGAGTTGGGGAGCAAGTACATTTCAGGCAGGGAGAATGGCCTGGACAAGAAAAGGAGTTGGAAAGAGTGGAGTTTCTGTGAACAGGGAAGGGTGGCTGGCTGGTCCTGGCTTAGTTAGCTTTGTGGGCAAGGCCAGAAGCTTGTAGATGGTGGGTCTGCAGCAGCTACTGTTGGATCTGCACCTCGTTACCGGGGGAGCATGGCATGGCGAGAGTCCCTGAGCCTGGGAACATGCATGTCAGGAATGGAGAACAGCAAGGTGGAGAGGCCGGCTGAGGGGGTTACACTGTGGAGAGTCCCAGCCCATGACAGCCAACACGGTGTGCATCAGCAAGGGCTAGCACGGTCTTCGAGATGGCATCGCTATTCTAGGAAGAGGAACTTTCCCCCTCTTGGAAGTAACCTTGAACATGCCCCACCGGCTAGAAATGTTCTCTGCTGGAAATGAGAAACACCCATAGAGATCCAAACTTTTGATAACATGCAACAGACATGTGTTTTTCAGATTCTATTTTAGAATTTTTTTTTTTTTTTTTTTACTATCTCCCCCCCCCGGCCCGCCGCCCCCCAAAATGATACTACTCTCTTGGTGTCTGTGTTTTTCCTTCACTGACATTTGTAGCCTTCTTTGGCCTGTCTGCCTAACCCCTCTCTCCCTGAGTTAGTGTAAAATAGCAGAAATGGGAAAAAAATGTTTCTTCTAATCTTGGATAGGATTTATGTGTCTTGTTTCTTTTTTTAAAGATGTCTTTATTTATTTGAGAGAGCGCATGAGTGAGGGAAGGGGCGGGAGGGGGAGAGAGAGGGAGAATCTCCAGCAAATTCCATGCGGAGCGCGGAGCCCAACACCGGGCTCGATCTCACGGCCCTGAGATCACGACCTGAGCCAAACCAAGAGTCGGATGCTCAACCGACTCGCCGCCCAGGCGCCCCTGTGTCTTGTTGCTGGTGTCAAAAAGCAGATGAGTGGGGCGCCTGGGTGGCTCAGTTGGTTAAGCGACTGCCTTTGGCTCAGGTCATGATCCTGGAGTCCCAGGATCGAGTCCCGCATCGGGCTCCCTGCTCGGCAGGGAGCCTGCTTCTCCCTCTGACCCTCCCCCCTCTCATGTGCTCTCTGTCTCTCTCATTCTCTCTGTCTCAAATAAATAAATAAAATCTTTAAAAAAAAAAAAAAAGATGAGTGAACACATTTTTGTGTTTTAGGTAAACTGCTAGAAGGAAATGCACTAAAATGTTATCAGCCAGTGTCGCTTACTCTAGGTTGTGAGAGTAAGATGGTTTTCTTTCTTTCTTTCCTATTTTCCTACAATCATGTATGATTTAGAAAAACCAGAAAAGCAGGTGATTTAATATTCTATAACCTGGGTCAGCAAGTTACAGCCCATGGGCCACATCCCACCTGCTGCTCGTTTTTGTGTGGCCTGTGGGCTAACAACTGTATTTATAGTTTCCAATGCTTAGATTTTAAATGATTATATAAGGACCTATATTCTGTCTTCAGCTTTGCCTCTTGGTCTGCAAAGCTGGAAATACTTACTCTCTGGTACTCGAGGAAGAACTTTGTCGGGGGCACCTGGCCAGCTCAGTCAATAGAGTGTGTGACTCTTGATCTCCGGGTTGTGAGTTCGAGCCCCAAGTTGGGTGTGGAGAGAACTTAAAAAAAAAAAAAAAACAAACTTTTTTTTTTTTTAAGATTTTTAAGTTTATTTGACAGAGACACAGTGGGAGAGCGAGAACACAAACGGGGGAGTGGGTGGGGGAGAAGCAGGCTTCCCACAGAGAAGGAAGCCCGATGCGGGGCTCGATCCCAGGACCCTGGGACCATGACCTGAGCCAAAGGCAGATGCCCAACGACTGAGCCACCCAGGTTCCCCTTACTTAAAAAATCTTAAAAAAAAAAACAAAACACCAAAAACCTCAAACTGTGCCAATCCCTATTTTATAATATCATCTCGAGGAAGAAATTTGTTTTTCTTTATGGGACATTTACGAATGGCTTTTTGTAAGTCATTGGCTGTCAGTTAAGAAAGCTCTTTTTGCCCTTTTTTCTTTATGATGCACAGGATTGCAAAGGTCAGGTTATCTGTTGTGGAGTGAATGTTTAATACAAGTATATTAATATGCTAAGAGCAAGTATACTTATATTAAATATATTAATAAATATGTCCACATATGTATATACGTTGCATTTTCTTGAAGTAATACGTAAGGTTTAAAAAAATTAAATGGTATTAACATACAGTGCCTTGAAAAACTGTCCCTGCCTCATTTTCCCTATCGGTCCATTCTGCTCCCTGCTGGTGACTTTAGTTCTTTAGCTGTTTTTTTCCTCCTTCCCTCCCTTCCTTCCTTTCTTATTTATTTATTATTTTTTAATTTTTAATTTAAAAAATTTTTTTAAAGATTTTATTTATTCATAAGAGGCAGAGAGAGAGAGAGAGAGAGGTAGGCTCCCCACTGAGCAGGGAGCCCAATGCGGGACTCGATCCCAGGACCCTGGGATCATGACCTGAGCCGAAGGCAGATGCTTAACCATCTGAGCCACCCAGGCACCCCTTTTCTTATTTTTTAAAAATATTTTATTTATTTGAGAGAGAGAACACAAGAGTGGGGTAAGAAGGAGAAGCAGGCTCCCCACTGAGCAGGGAGCCTGACATGGGACTCTATATCCCAGGACCCTGAGATCATGACCTGAGCTGAAGGCAGAGCTGCTTCACCGACCAAACCCCCCAGGCGCCCCTTTAGCTCTTTCTATTGATGACTACTGCCACGTCTCTAAAATATACGCTTACACTGCTGTTTCTTCTTAATCGTAGGCATTAGTATTATTTCCTGGCATGATGAGGATTTTGTCTCTCCCCTGCTGCAGCCAGCTCCCATCATACTTCCATGCCCTTCTTTTCGTTAAGTCACAAAATGGGTTTTGACGTTATTACGGTAACGGGAATACTGTTTACTTCAGAGCAGAATAGGATCGTTTGATGAGCTTTCCTTTTTTTTTTTTTTCTTTAAAGATTTTATTTATTTGACAGAGACGCAGTGAGAGAGGGAACGGAAGCAGGGGGAGTGGGAGAGGGAGAAGCAGGCTTCCCGTGGAGCAGGGAGCCCGATGCGGGGCTCGATCCCAGGACCCTGGGATCATGACCTGAGCCGAAGGCAGACGCTTAATGACTGAGCCACCCAGGCGCCCCAATGAGCTTTCCTTTTTTGTACACCTGCCCCTTCCTCCGCCAGCATTCCAAATTGCCATTCTTAAAGTATCTTATAAAAATATCTTGTACAGTCCTCTCTGGTTTTGTTTTTGCAAAAGCCCCTCCTCTTATTAGATGCCCCCCTGCCCCCCGGTGTCCTGTGTTTCCTGTTGCAACGCAGGCAGGGCACCCGCAGGGTGATGCATGACTGTGTCCCACATGCAGTGTTTCCTGGATCGCAGGTCTTCTCGTTCAGTTGGGTTCCTCCCTCACTGGGTGGGAATACATCCTTAAGTAACTTCCTTAGAAAAGGCACATGGGAAATAATTTTATGAGAACTTGCATGTCTGAAAATGACTTCATTCTATCTTCACAGTGGCTTTTGGCATATAAGTTGGAATTTAAAACAATTTTAGCACAGAATTTTGAATATAGTTTTTATTGTTTTCTAGCATCCAGTGTTTCCTAGGAGAAATTGGATTCCTTTTTTTTTTTTTTTTTTAAGGCAACCTGTTTTTTCCCCCTCTCCCCTTTATGTGAACTTTCTAAAGATTTTATTTATTTATTTGACAGAGACACAGTGAGAGAGGGAACACAAGCAGGGGGAGTGGGAGAGGGAGAATAGGCTTCCCACTGAGCAGGGAGCCCATGCGGGGCTCGATCCCAGGACCCTGGGATCAAGACCTGAGCCAAAGGCAGACCTGAGCCACTTAGGTGCCCCTGCTTTATGTGAACTTTTAATTTGTGTCTTTATCCCTAGTGTCTTTTTTTTTTTTTTTAAAGATTTTATTTTTTTATTAGAGAAACAGCATGAGAAGGGAGAGAGTCAGAGGGAGAAGCAGGCTCCCCACTGAGCTGGGAGCCCGATGTGGGACTCAATCCCGGGACTCTGGGATCATGACCTGAGCCGAAGGCAGTCACTTAACCAACTGAGCCACCCAGGCGCCCTCTCTAGTGTCTTGAAATGCTGTGATGAAGGACTTTTGTGTGGTCCTTTTCCTATTTATTTTGCTGAGCACTCTGTATTTTCAGCCTGAAGACCTAGCCTTGTAGTCTGAACACTTCATAATTTCCTCCACTATTTATCTCTGTTCTTTCTTGCTAACATTGGGCAAATGCTGTTGATGCTGTTTTGTTTTTTTTTTTAATCTTTTCTCGTCTTTCCCATGTCTTTGTCTTTGTAGTCAGATTTTCTGAGGAGTTCAACTTTTCCCCAACCTTTGACTGAACTTTTTCACATCAGCTGTCACATTTTTTAATTTTTAAGACCTCTTATTCCGTGATTGTCCCTTTTCCAAAGCGTTCATTCTGTTCTTGTTTGATACAAGCCATCTTGTCTCACCTCTCTGAGAGTCCTAATTGGGATTAAAAACAAATTCTTCTTTGCCTTGTCTCCGTTTCCTCTGAGGTCATTCCTTCTGATTTATCTTGGCCCGTCTATTTCATGCTGGAGGTTTTTTCAAATATCTGTTGAGCTCTGGGTTGTTTGTCTAATTTTTACTTATTATTTTTCTTAAAAAGTTTTATTTTTTAAAGTGATCTCTACATCCAAAGCTGGGTCTCCAACACACAACCCTGAGATCAAGAGCTGCACGCTCTTCCAACTGAGCCAGCCAGGCGAACCCTTGTTTAATTTTTTAAATTGAAGTTACAGGTTGTAAATTCAGGAACATCTTAAATAACTGGATCACTGTGACCCATCTTAACACTGTTAAAATGATCTACAATTTTTAGTTGCTTTCTAATGGAAGAGAATGAAGTATAGACGGATCAGGACGGGAGATGTAGCAGATCTTGCTGGACTGACGTCTAGGGAGAAGAGCTATCTGATTCACTTGAACATTGTTGTCTGTAATCATTTTTTCCCCAAACAAGTGGCTAACTGACCATTTCTATTCTATTAGGTGAGATCAAGTTAGAAATGCCATGCATCAGCCTCGAGAGAGAGGTGTCTGACCTGGCCGCTGACCCGGAAGCCATTGAAATTTTAGAGCAGTGTGTGATAAACTGGTTGAACCTGATATCTGCAGCTGTCGAGGGCCAACTGAAGAAGACTCCTCAGGTAACTCAGGCCATGCCTTTGCAGATTCCCTGACGGCTCACGCTGGCCCCCGGAGAAAGAGCCGGGAGTCTGGGGATCTGTTGGATGCAGCCTCTTGTCTTGCTGTTTTGTGACCTCCTTTAAGGATCAAAGCATACATACCCAAATGTCATCCTTGGGCTTTCTGATGTTTAGCGCGCTGCCAGATCATACCCTGGATTGATAAAGATAATACCGTGTATCAGTCAGGATGCTTGGGCTGCCAAAAACAGGAAGCGTAACTCAGCTGGCTTCAACAAGAGACAGTTTGTTGGCTCACATAATTGAAAAGTCCAGAGGCAGGGCTGGTTTCAGGTAGGGTTTGGTCTGGCTGCGTTTCCCTGGGAATCTCTCACCTCCGTTCCATCCTCCTCAGGCTGGTTTCCTTTATGGTGGCAACTTGTTACATCCCCATGTCATATTGCCTGGAGAAAGGCGGACTGTCTTTGGTCAGCCTTCCTAGCCAGAGTCCTGAGATCCACTCTGATCGGACCCTCCTAGGTCAAGTGCATGCACTGATTCCTATTTGGAGGAGCTGGAGAGACAAGCACAGTTATACACTCCACACCAGTGATGACTCTTTATGTGTTCCTGTCACCTCTCAGGGTAATGGTCCTCTGGCCGAAATTGAATTCTGGCGGGAAAGAAATGCAACGCTGAGTGCACTCCACGAACAGACGAAGCTTCCAGTAGTCAGGAGAGTCTTGGATGTGATCAAGGAGTCCGATTCCATGCTCGTGGCTAACCTGCAGCCGGTCTTAACTGAATTATTCAAGCTCCACATGGAGGCCTCAGACAACGTGCGGTTTCTGTCCACAGTGGAACGCCATTTCAAGGTACGCCGGGGGCCGGCGCTTTGGAAAGGCGGGGCCGTAAATTAGATCTTAAACGGATTGAGTTTCCTTTTTTAATTCAGCATTTAAACCACTGTGGTAGCATGCATATGACATTGAGTGTCTTAACTGCTTGCAAGCATGTAGCTCAGTGGCAGTAAATACACGGTGCTGGGCACCCAACCTCCTCTCCCGAAAGCAAGCATTTCATCACCCCCAACATAAACTCAGAACCCCTGAACCAACAATTCCCTCCTTCCGGCACCCCTGGTAACCTCAATTTCACTCTCTGTCTCTATGACTTTGCCCATTCTAGGTGTTTTCTGTAAGTAGGGTCGTTCATCTTTTATGCATAATAAAGGATCTCATTGTGATTTCGATTTACATTCCCTAAGAACTAATGAATGAGATTTAACACCTTGTCATGTGCTTCTATCTTTGATAAAATGTCTGTTTTAATCTTTTCCCCATTTTTGATGTGTCTTATTATTGATTTAGGAGTTAAAAAATTTTTTTTTGAAGATAAGTTCCTTATCAGATATGGGATTTGCAGTATCTCCATCTGTGGGCTTTTTCACTTTACTTTTTTTTCTTTTAAATCTTTATTCTTTTTAAAGATTTTTATTTGAGAGTGGAGGGGGGAGAGAGAGAGCACGAGCATGGGGGAGGGGCAGAGGGAGAGGGAGAAGCAGGCTTCCCTCTGAGCAGGGAGCCTGATGTGGGGCTCGATCCCAGGACTGGGATCATGACCTGAGCCGAAGGCAGACGCTTAACCAACTGAGTCACCCAGGCACCCCCCAAATGGCTTCTTTGCCCACACAGCTAGTGCCTGGGTGCTCCTGGGTCTCTCTCTCTCCACGCCGTATCTCATCCCCCAGAATTTCTCCACGTGGCTTGGATGTCTCCAAGCCTGGTGGCTTCCGGGTAACAGGGTAGTCACACTTCTTACAGGGCGCTGGCTTCCAAGAGCCCAGAAGCAGACCAGCTGAGGGCTATGCTCAGAAGGGGTACGGCATTACCTCTCCCATATTCTACTGGCTAAAGAAGTAACAGTCTGTGTGGATTTGAGGGGATGGAGAGGATGATGCCATCTCTTCATGGCGAGGGGGGCACAGTCAAGATGTTGTGACTGCATTTGGAAAATACAATCTGCCACATATACCATGTACTGGGTGTGTATGTGTATGCTCAGTAGGTACACATACGCGTTCTTTTTCTATTTCTTTTTCTCGCTCTATATCTCTCTATATACTCACACACACTCATACTTCATACATGTCTGCAAATTGCTTTATTTACTTTCATTGTAAATCTCCTGTCTCTTTCCATGTCAGTGCGTCCAGAGCTATTTCAGGCTTCTTTCGGTGGTGAAACACTTCCTCCTGTAATAAGTGTATTGAGTTTTTGAATTAGGAAGAGGGAAGCTTCCCGCGTACGTGTTGCTTTAGTAAGCTACTTGACCCCAAGGCTAAGGCTGCTTGCTCTCTCCGGTTAGAACATCACGCATGGATCCAGCTTCCACGTCATCTTGGAGACAATCCCCTCCATGATGAGTGCCCTGAGGATGGTGTGGATCATCTCCCGACACTACAACAAAGACGAAAGGATGATCCCACTCATGGAGCGGATTGCCTGGGAAATTGCCGAGAGAGTCTGCAAAGTGGTTAATCTGCGGACTTTGTTCAAGTAAGAAATCGTACGCCATGTTCTTCTTGAGATCTTAAACAGCTTTTGGGGCACCTGGCTGGCTTAGTCAGTGAAGCGTCCGACTCTTGATCTCCGCTCAGGTCTTGATCTCGGGGTCGTGAGTTGGAGCCCACGTTGGGTTCCACGCTGGGTGTAGCACCTACTTAAAAAAAGATCTTGAACAGCTTTATTGAAATTCACCCATTTAGAATGTACAATTCAGTGGCTCTTTGGGGGTAGTCAGAGTCATGTGTCCATCACCGTAATCGAAGGTAGAATATTTTTTTTTTTTTAAGATTTTACTTATTTGCGAGAGAGAGAATGAGAGAGAGCACATGAGAGGGAGGAGGGTCAGAGGGAGAAGCAGACTCCCTGCCGAGCAGGGAGCCCGATGCGGGACTGGATCCAGGGACTCCAGGATCATGACCTGAGCCGAAGGCAGTCGCTTAACCAACTGAGCCACCCAGGCGCCCTATTTTTTTCAATTAGAGAAGAAACCTCATACACTGTAGCGGTCACCTCTGGCCTCCCCGACCCACCCAGCCCTGGGCAACCACAGATCTACTTTCTATCTCGATGGATTTGCCTCTTCATACAGATGGAGTCATCCAACATGGGGTCTTTGATGACTGGCTCCTTTGACTCGGCATCACGTTTTCAAAGTTCACCCGTATTGGAGAAGGTGTCGGTACTTCCTTCCTTTTTATGGCCAAATAATACCCCGTTGTGTGGGATACATGGGTTGTTTTGTTTTAATTTTTAAATTTTTAAAATTTTTATTAAAAAAAATTTTTTTTTTAAAGATTTTATTTATTTGACAGAGACACAGCGAGAGAGGGAACACAAGCAGGGGGAGTGGGAGAGGGAGAGAAGCAGGCTTCCTGCCAAGCAGCGAGCCGGATGCAGGGCTCGATCCCAGGACTCCGGGATCATGACCTGAGCCGAAGGCAGACGCTTAACAACTGAGCCACCCAGGCGCCCCTGTTTTAATTTTTTTAAAAGATTTTATTTATCTTTTGACAGAGACGCAGCGAGAGAGGGAACACAAGCAGGGGGAATGGGAGAGGGAGAAGCAGGCTTCCCGCGGAGCAGGGAGCCCGATGTGGGGCTCGATCCCAGGACCCCGGGATCATGACCTGAGCCAAAACCAAGAGTCAGATGTTCAACCGACTGAGACACTCAGGCGCCCCATAGGTTATTTTAATCAGGACCTTCTTTCTTGTTATCCTGGGAGAGACTAAGTCCCACAGTCAGAGGGAAACTTACTTCTGGACCCCAGGCCCCTGAGAGTGGGAGAGCCTCTGGGATCAAATGTTGAAGGAGATGCAGATCTTCATTTTCTTAAAAAAAACAAAACCAAACAAAAAAAACTATACAGGTGAAATAGGTACCAAAACCTTGGTAGTATCTTTTCACTCTGGTGTTGCAACCTCCACTGTGGACTTCTGGCCTGGGGCCCGAGGCCGCCTGCTCACTTCCCAGCTCAGATGGAAAGCTCCCTGAGGGGGACTGTAGTTCCTGTGGGCTGGGTGGGCAGTTGCAGCGAGGGTCAGCCCGGGTGTGGCTTGCGATCGTGACCTTGCAGGTGTGTAAGGGCCTCACCCCCTTGCACACTGGGGCGGGGCAGCAGCTCCCCCGGGAAGCTCTCTGCTGCCCTTGGAGGGTGTGGCTCGGACCCACTGCAGCTCCGCCTTCCCCCTACCCCCCATCGCGGCCTCTCTCTTTCTGCGCAGAGAAAATCGAGCCAGCGCCCAGCACAAAATCTTGGAGGCCAGGAACACCCTCCACATGTGGAAAAAGGCCTATTTTGACACCAGGGCCAAGATCGAGGCTTCAGGGAGAGAAGCTCGGTGGGAGTTTGACCGAAAGCGGCTGTTTGAGAGAACGGATTACATGGCCACCATCTGCCAGGATCTCTGCGACATTTTGCAGGTGGGCAGGCTGGCGGACGTTTTCTCTGCTGCACATGAGGCTAGTTGGAGTTGGGACTTGCCTGATGGAAAACAGTTTGGCTTTTTGATGGCATACTCTCTGTGTGTTGTGGGTGTTGGGGGGGAGCCAGGAGACAGATGGGGTCTGGCAGGGGGAAGCACTTGAGAGAGCATTCAGAATGTACCAGAATATACCAGAGCCACACCAGACCTCTTGCACCTTTTCCTTGTCTTCTGCGACACCCCTCCTTCTCCTTGCTTTTGGCTGTGCTTTGACCTGTGGCCATTCCTTCTCAGTGTCTTTTGCAAAATCTTCCTCCTCTGTCTTCCCATTAAATGTTGGAATTTCTCGAAGTCCACTCCAAGACTTCTCTCCTGAAGCCAGCTCATGCTTGCCCATTGCTTCAGCTTCTACCCATCCACCAGTGACCCCCGTTTATCTGATCCCTCTCTCTCCTAAATGAATGTAAAACGGTATAGTGGATGAGTGGATGAATGATCCACAGTCCTTTGTCTCATGAAGGTCCATCCATTCATTCACTCTTAGTATTTGTTGAGAACTCATTTGTGCCAGGCACCTGCACTTGCTGCTAGAGAAACAGTGCGAGCACATCCAGGGCCAGCCACCTAACCCGCAGTGCTCAGTGCAAACAGACGTGGGACCCCTTGTTCAAAAAGCAGGGAAAAAAATGCTATTAAAAACATTGAAATATAAAGCTTTTCTCTCTCTCCTGACGTCTTTCGCCTTAGCGGGCTTTAGTTTTTATTTGCCACGACTATAGCAAAGTAAAGAGAGTAAAGGGAAATTAAACATTTAAATTATTCCATGAATTTTACCGTTCATCCTTAAATTGTGCAGTGTTGGCTTAAAATGCAAATGCAAGGGCATTTGGCTTGTGTGCAGAATCACAGTTTGTGCTCTGTCGCTGGGATGCGCAGACGGACGGTCTTGTTGCTGGAGCAGTGGCAACGTCCCACACAACTTTTTCTCTCACTTCTCGATGCACGCACATTCTGCCAAGCTTCTCTCCCCCGGCTTGCTGACGAGCGGGGGAAGGGCTGGAAGGGAAAGGAGAGTTCTTTGGGGTCTCTGCTGTTCGTCCTATGTCATCATTTTGGGGTGCGTAGCTGGTGAACACGGGGAAGTTACAGGAGCAGGAAACCATAGGGTCAGTTTCCTATTCAGGCGTGTTTCTCAGAACCGTGCATGGCCTCCTGAGTCTGAAGCAAAGTCTGGTTTGAAGGGAGAACATGGTCTCGTGGAGCAGCCGCGGTCCTCGAGTACTTGTTGATGCAACACGCTTACTTGTCCTGACTGTGAATGTCTCCGAACTGGCGTGTGCGGGGGGCCCACTGGAATCCTTTGCTTGTGGGGTTGTGGGGCATCACACGCTCTATGTGGGAAGGAGTAGGGGAAATGCAGATCCCAGTACCTGCTCATATGTGCGCATGGCTGTCCCATCAGACTTCATTTACAAAATACACCTGCAAAGATGAAATTATGAAGAATTTCAAGAAGGTTATAGCAGAGCCTTACACCCAGCATGGGGCCCTTCTGAGCCTGGAGCCCCGTGCACCTGCCTGGGTCCCACGTCTATGAAGCTGGCCCTGGCAAGCATGTCCCTAGCCTGTGGCTCCATGGAGCTTTCAGTCTGGTAGAAGAAAGATGGTAGACATAACAATCATACAGATACACAGCTGTGGCTGACGTTAAGTGCTCTGAAGAGTGCAGTCGAAGGGGCTCTGGAAGTGTGTACCGGGGCCTGACCTGTTCTAAGGGGTTGGATGTGATAAAGTGATCATCAATGATGAGGAGTAGCTAGCTAGGCAATTTGAACTGCAAGTACGAAGGCCCTGTGACAGGAGGGAACATGGGACTGAAAGAGGGCTAGGCTGTGCTACAAGGAGGAGTGGCGTGGGGCACAGTATGGGAAGGGGTTGGAGGAGAAGGTGGGAGTCTGAACATGTAGGCTTTGCAAACTGTGTCAGGATGTCTGGATCGTGTCCTACATGCAGTAGGCATAGTACCAGAGGTCTTAGACTGGGAAGAAGTTGCCTGTGTGACATGATTTTTTTTTTTTTTTTTTTTTTTAAGATTTATTGTTTGGGGGGTGCGGGCAGAGGGAGAGAATCTCCAGCAGTCTCCCCGCTGAGCGAGGAGCCTGACTTGGGGCTGGATCCCACGACCATGAGATCACGACCTGAGCCGAAATCAAGAATCAGACGCCCAACCAACATGATTCTTGCCCTCAGGCCAATCTAGATGCAATCCATTTGTAGTTAGAACATTCATGAGAAAACCAAAAGGCAACTTCTTTGTGTTTTGTTTGGGCAGGTTATGGAGGAATTTTACAATATATTTGGTCCCGAACTAAAGGCAGTGACAGGGGATCCCAAGCGCATCGATGATGTCCTGTGCAGGGTGGACAGCCTGGTCACCCCCATGGAAAACCTGGCCTTTGACCCCTTCAGCATCAAGTCTTCCCAGTACTGGAAATACGTGATGGATGACTTTAAGATTGAAGTTCTGGCAAGTAACTCATCGATTCATTTAATCTTGGAAGCTGATACCATGTTTTCTCCATGTTAAATTAGTTATTTAGTCATGCTTAGCATTTTTTTTAAGTTATAAAAAGTAATACTTGCTTATTTGTAAAAAGATATAACAAAAACAAAAACCCAGAAATGATGTGGAGGAGTATAGGTAGAAGTGAACATTCCTTAATCTCCTTTGTCCCCATTCCTATCCCTTGGTAGAATAAGGTTAAATCAAGCTGGACACAGTAGCATTTCTACAAAGGTAGGTATGGTGCATAATTGGAGAGGATGTAGGAGGGTGATGAATGAGACTTGATTTAGTAGACAGCAGGGAGCCATTGAAGGTTGTTGACCAGTGGGGTGAGGTAATCAGAATTATGGTTGAGAAAGGTTCTTCTGGTCACAGCATAGGCTGATTTGGGCTGGGGTATGACAGGAGGTGGGGAGATGATACGGGAGGTTGTGGCTTGGGGTGTGGAGGAGGCAGAGCCGTCAAAGAGGGACTGTACTGAGAATATAGTTTCACTCCACACTGTGTGATAGGATGGTGGATGGTTCATCATGCATACCTTTTCAGCTTCATGTGGGAAGTACATCAGTAGCATTCCCATTTATAACCCCAGAGCATCTTTTTATATGGACAACCCCAGACAGTTCTTCTTGGGTTTTCTAAACACTTCCATTAAAAAAAAAAGATTATTTGAGAGAGAGAGAGAGCACACGAGGAGGAGGAGGGACAGAGGGAGAAGGGAGCGAGAGAATCCTCTGGCAGACTCCCTGCTGAGCACGGAGCCTAATGTGGAGCTTGATCTCAGGACCCTGAAATCATGACCTGAGCCAAAATCGGGAGTCAGCCACTTAACCGACTGAGCCATCCAGGGGCCCCCAAACATTTCCATTTTAATTGTATCTAGTTTATTCTCAGCTTCTATTGTATTTAAGTGTTATTAGTTTTTAAATTGAAATTTTCATTGTCACTTTGTCAAGTAATACTAAAAGGCTATTAATAAGAAAAAGCAGCCCTATGCTTAACTCCTCTTCATTCCCATTCTTGCTGTCATTTTTCATAATTCTAGATTTTTTTGTTGTTTAATTTCCTATTTCCTAAAGAACATGCCAATGTGGTTACTTTCTGATTTATCAAATTTAATCAGTTTTAGACACCTATTAACTTTTCAGAGTAGATATAGACTTGCCTGTCCTATTCCTACCCCTATCGCTCTTTGCCTCTTTGTCATCTAACATAGTTTTATCATAACTTTTGGTTAAATTAATGGTTAGTGTTTACTCATTATGCCTGTGCAAATATTGTTCACTGCTGAGTCAAGAAGACCATCATAACCACACCACCTTTCTCGTACAACCCTTCATTTTTCCTAAAGTTAATCATTGCTTTTATTTTTATTTGCTTGGTTATTTACATACTTGTTATTCTTTTTCCCAACTGCTCTAACATTTCTGCCACATATCTAATGGGTTCCATCTGCTCAAAAATATCAGTGCTATTATTTTCCTAGAGGCCTTTGTCCCAGAGCTCTCTTTCTGCTCCAGTCTAGATTGTTGGCTCTTTAGACTTACTGCAAAGTAGTCACCCTAGGACTTCTTATCTCTTCTGATCTGTGTTGGATCCTGTTTTCTAGATTTCACATCTTCCTCTTGTGGCTCTTTGTTTTGCTGGCACATAATTTTTAGAAGCTTTCTAAGAAACTTTTCATGGGACATATATTTTTTCAGTCTTGTATGTGTGAATTCTGAAATAAAGTTATAGAATTTAAGGTTGAAGTAACTTTTTTCAGAAATTTGAAGGTATTCATTGATTTCTAGCTTCCAGTGTTATTAGAATTCTGATTTTTTTTTTTTTTGAGAGAGAGTGTGTGTGCATGCAAAGTTAGGGGGCAGAGGGAGAGAGAGAATCTTAAGCAGGCTTCATGCCCAGTGTGGAGCCCACTGTGGGACTCAGTCTCACGACCCTGAGATCATGACCTGAGCTGAAATCAAGAGTCAGATGCTTAACTGACTGAGTTACCCAGACGCTCCTGAATTCTGATGTTGCTCTGACTTAATTTTTCTAGAACCAACCTTCTGCTTTTTTTTTAGAGTGGGACAGGATGAGGGTACAGAGGAAGCAGAGTAGCCTGGTCATGCTGGGTAGAGAAGGGATCCTGTGTTTGCCTCTCAGCCTCCTGGTACCTGGTGTCTCCAAATGTTCAGCCTCCTGGAGTTTTCCTGGGGAGGAAATGGATTCCTACCTACTCCCCTGTTGCATCAGGTTGTAATTCTCTGCCTTCTGTAACGTTATTTATTTCCGTCTGCCTAAAACTCCTGAAGTATCTCTTCTTGCTGTTGTGTCCTCTCCCGTTTTCTTTGTTTATATGAGTTAACACTTAAAAAAATTTCCTTTTGGGGCGCTTGGGTGGCTCAGTCGTTAGGCGTCTGCCTTCGGCTCAGGTCATGATCCCAGAGTCCTGGGATCGAGTCCCACATCGGGCTCCCTGCTCAGCGGAAAGCCTGCTTCTCCCTCTCCCACTCCCCCTGCTTGTGTTCCCTCTCTCACTGTCTCTCTCTCTCTGTCAAATAAAAAAATCTTAAAAAACAACAACAGCAAATTTCCTTTTGACCATTTTGAACTGAATGAGGGGAGGGATCAGAAAGCCAATGCAGCCAATCTGCTATTTTTAATTGGACACCAGCTTCCACTAAAGCACAATGGAAATCCATATCAAATCACGAATTTCTTTTTTGCTTATTTCTTGCCACTTTGTTTTTGCAGGATAGTTATAGGGACATAAGGACTGGGGTTGTGGGGTTTTTTTTTGACCTTTTTTTGACCTTTTTTTTTGGTCAGGTTATTGAGAAAGAAGCAAAAAATTTTATTGATGAATCTTTCAAGACACTTCGGTCAGCTGAAGCAGCATTCGACATGCTTTTAAAATTTAAGCATATTCGTTCACGGGAAGCTATCAATCGACAAATGATGATGAAATTTAATGATATCCTTGCACAGTATTGCAAAGAGGTAACTGGTAGATCTATAGGTGCCATAGCAGTAAAAGGCACTTGGCAAAATGTGCAGAATTGAGTCATGCTCTTATCTGTCTCTCCCATCCAAATTCAGAGGAACTGTGGAATTTTCCCAAATAAGCATGTCACATACCACAGGTAACCAAAACAAAGTGGGTTGGTTGGTTTGTTTAGTGAAGAAATTTGGTAAGAATTTATCAAGTACAATATTATATAGCTCACACTGTGATGGGCTCTGTATGAGTTAGTAGTAGTAAGAATCACATCAATCATTGTGGAAGTCCTAGCTAACTATGTGTGTGTTTATATATTCAGAAAACTGTTCCTGGGGCTCACAAAATCCAAATATGGGGTTAGACAGACAGAGAGATGAACAAAACACAGATTCTGCCTTCGAAGAAGTCAGTATCTAGTGGGAGAAACAGACCAAAAAAATTGCTTATCATTTTATTCAGAGGATAAAGGATTTTATTCAGAGGATAAAATGAGAATATGCGATATAATCAGTTGGAGTGACATAAAGGGATAAAGTGATTTCCGAATGTGTAGTTTCCTCTTGCCGCTGGAACAAGGTACTACAAGCTTTGTGACTTCAAACCACACAGATTTGTTATCTTATATAGGATTTTGAAGGTCAGGAGTCTGCCATGGTCTCACTGGGTTGAAATCCAAGGGTCAGCAGGGCTGTATTCCTTTCTGGAGTCTCTAGGGAGAATCGATTTTCTTGTTGTTGTTTTTTTTCCCCCCCAGCTTTTAGAGATTCATGGCCCCCTTCCATCTTCAAAGCCAGCAATGGCTAGTCCCGTGTCCATAGCTCTGACCCTCTCCTCTGCCTCCCTCTTCCTCTTTTAAGGACCCCTATGATTACCTTGGGCCCACCCAGCTAATCCAGGGTTATTGCCCTATTATAAGGTCAGCTGCTTGGCAACCTTGAGTCCCCTTTTTCATATAATGTAACATAGCCACGGGTTCTGGGGGTCAGGACCATTACTGGGGGGCTACTAGTCTGTCTCCCACATCTGATTACCCACACAAGAGCGTGGAGCTCCTTTTAAAATGCAGGTCCAGCCCATGTGGTCCCGCAATTCCACTTTTGGGCATAGACCCTAAAGAAGTGAAAACAGAGTCTTGAAGAGATATTTGCACACCCGTGTTCAAAGCAGTACTGTTCACACTAGCCAAAATGTGCAAACAACCCAAATGTCTATTGATAGAGGAATGGATACACAAAATGTGGTCTCTCCATGCAAAGGAATATGATTCATCCTTAAAGATGAAGGACATTCTGACACCTGGATGAACCTGTAAGCATTCTGTTAAGTGAGATAGAAAACCCCACCTACTCTGATTCCACCTACACGAGGTGCGTAGAGGAGTCAAATTAGGAGACAGAAGGTAGAGTGGTTGAGTGCCAGTGGTCGGGGAGGAGGATGGGGAGTTAATGTTTCATGGGGACAGAGTCTCAGTTTGGGAAGGGTGAAACAGTTCTGGAGACGGATGGTGGCGCTGGTTATATGGTGGTGGGTGTGAATGTGCTTCATGCACTGAAATGCCCTTAAAGATGGGCATTTCATGCTATGCATATTTTACCATAATTTGAAAAAATCACATAAATCATTAAAAAAATCTCAGTGGTGCATGTGTGTGGGCACACACAGGCGCACAGTGCAGGCTTGGCCGCTGGTCATGCCTAGAACAGATTTCAGAATATCTAGTAAGTCACTGAAATGATTGTACCTAGTCTGTAGTAATAAGGCAATTTGGAGAACAAAGAAAAAACTACTGGGGTGTAAGAAAAAATAGTAAATGATAAGTAGCCGAGAGCATGATTCTGTATCTCATTTGATTTCTGACGTTCCAGCGTTCATTGCTCTAAAGACACCTCAAGTTCAGTCTTTCTTGGCTCACGTGCCGAAGCGTACCACTTACAGAGTACCTCTGCTTTTCAGATCGACATAGTTAATAAACTCTTTGTTCAGAACCTGGACAACCCACCGTTGTACAAGAATCACCCTCCAGTAGCAGGTGCAATCTACTGGGAACGGTCCCTGTTCTTTCGGATCAAGCACACCATCCTCAGGTTTCAGGAAGTGGAGGAAATACTGGACAGCGACCGAGGAAGAGAAGTATGTTGCTTTTGCTAGAGTCGTCCCCTTGTGTATTTCAGAGACCACGTAGGGTTGCCTGTTGGAGGAGCACATCCATCTCCCTGAACTTGATCTTCAGCTTCTCTGGAATACTGTCCCTCCCCGCACCCATGGGTTTTGTATGTTAGATCACTGGGGTTGACAAACCTTTCATTTAAATGTTCAGAGAGTAAATGTTTTAGGCATTTGCAGGTCGTACCCTGCCATGGTGTAGCAAGAAAGTAGCCGTAGAGAGTATGACAACGAGCAGGCATGGCCGTGTTCTAATAAAATTTCCTTTACTAGTGCCAAAATTCTGATTTCGTGTACTTTTCACATGTCACAAAGCACTGTTGTTCTTTTTGGGTTCCTGCTAATCATTTAAAAATGTAAAAGCTGTTCTTGGCTCTCGGGCTGGGGTCTGCTGATCTCTCCTAGTTGGTGTGGATTTCAAGCCATACCATCTTAAACACACCCTCCAAAATTTGTGAAAATCTGTACGCTTCCTTCTGCAAAATGTGCTCACAGATCATTTTTTTAAAAAGAGGACGATTGGGGGAAGAGCAAGAGAGAGAGAGAGAAAAGTGTTATTTCCAAGGGCAAACTGACAATTGCCTGAATTCTTTGACAGGTAAAACAAAAGTACTTGGAAGTGGGTAGGACAATGAAGGACTATGAGGACAGAAAGTACGAGCAGTGGAGAGAGGCCACGGAGCTGGTCCTGCCCACTCTTATGAAGAAGAGTCTGCTCACTAAGGTGTGTATTTCCAGATCCTTGCCCAGGTTAGGGCGGTCAGGGTAGATGATGGCGTCTGCCATTTTCTTGAGGTTTGGTGTGTTGCCATGCTTGCCGTTGATGGGTATTTCCAAAATCCAAGGCAAAGAAGGGCTGAGGCTGCCCGGGGAGGAGATGGAGGGAGCATCTCGTCATGGCTAGGAAACGTGCCGGAATCCAGCAGCCTTGTTCACTCCATGGGCAAGCGGCTCAATTCCGAGCCTCAGTTTCCCCATTTGTAAAATGAGTCGGATCAGAGGACCTCAACACACAAAGTGCTCGTTGAACCATGTGTGAAACAGCTGGCAGTTGACCTACGGGAAAATGCCATTTCCCGTGATTCACCCCTGTCCACGGCACTTGGGCTATACAGAGCCTGCTACACGGCAGATGCTCAGTAAAGAAATCCTCGGGGGGAGGAGAGACCTGGGCGTGGAGGCTTTAGAACTGTGGTCTCTGAAATCCTGCAGCAGGGACCAAAATGAGCGCAGAGGGCTGGATGGGGTTGGTAGGGAAGCCAGAATTCTGGATTTTTACATGCAGTTGACCAATTTGGGAATGTGAGTGACTAAATTAAATTCTTTAAACACTGTTCACTGAACAAAATATGTATTCGAGCTAGCTCCAGCCGGCTCCCCAGTCTGGCCCCATCTAGGGCCCTATGCTGATCTTTTTCAAATGTATGTGGACCTTGGGTTGTACGGGCTGCTTCTCGGACCACCCCTGCCATGCTTGTGAGACCTCTCTTCCACAGACTTCTTCTGTTGCTGACGAGATGGCCAACGCTGACAAGCGGTCTCTGTTTGCAATCAATTTTTCACCTGCTCTCAAGGAGATTATTAACGAAACAAAGTACTTGGAACAGCTAGGATTCTCTGTCCCTGAATTAGCAAGAAATGTTGCTCTCCAGGAGGACAAATTTCTTAGGTAAAAAAGATTCTTCTCTTAAATCAACAGTAAACTTATTGATCTCAGGTCCCCTTTATACATTCTTAAAAATTCATGCTAACCCTACCCCCTCCTGCTTGCTTTTTTCTGCATTTTATAGCCACCAGGATGAGAAATTAAAACTAAGCAATGTTTAAACTATGTATTCATCCATTTATCTAAAAGTAACGATAACAACTCCATTACGTGTTAACATAAATAAGTTTCTAATGAAAAGTAACCAATATTTTCCAAAAAAGAAGGTCAGTGGGAAGACTGGCATTATTTTCAATTTCTGCAAGTTTTTCTATCAAAGCTCTGGCCTGGGGGTGCCTGGGTGGCTCAGTCAGTAAAGTGTCTGACTCTCGGTCTTGGCTTGGGTCTTGGTCTCGGCTCGGGTCTCAATCTCAAGGTCGTGAGTTCGAGCCCCGTGTTGGGTTCCATGCTGGGCGGGGAGTCTGCTTAAAAAAAGAAAAAAAAAAAAAGACATAGCTTAAGCCTGGTTAATGGTCTTTTGTAACCTATCTAAAAGGTTAAGCTTTTTATGAGCTGCATTGTACGTCCTAGTATCAGTGACTTTCCTATGATGCACAGGTACACGGAAGGAGTACAGCGTATGTTGGATCATTATCACATGCTCATAGGAACGTTAAATGAGGCAGAGTCTCTTCTTCTCGACGATCATTCCCAGGAATTAATAAGAGTGTTTAGGTCTGGATATAAGAGGCTAAACTGGAACTCACTAGGTAACATAATTCATCTACCTATTTATTACCTTTTAGACTTCGGGATGCAAAAATAATTTTTTTTAGATTGTTTTAGTTGAATTATAATTTTTGTGTGTATGTAGATGTCGCTAACACCTGAGTTTTGAACATTAATCATTTATACTTGGTGGAACTTAGAATTAATCTCAAGGCTTTAGTTGGGACTGAAGACCAGATAGGATGCCATTTGGACACTCTGCTGACCCAACCCTTTGTCCTCCAAAAATAAAATGACTTTTACTTTTTTCCTAATATTTTTCTAATATTAAAATTTTAATTTTGGAATAATTTGTGGATTCACACCCAGTTGTAAGAATTAATACAGAGAGGTGCTGTGTATGCTTTACTCAGTGTCTCCCCCCAACGGTAACTTCTTGCAAAACTGTAGTACAACTCACACTCCAGACACATTGACATTGATACAGTTGAGATGCAGAGCGTTTCCACACTGCAGGGGGAACTCATGTCGCCCTTTTAAAGTCCTATCCACTTCACTCTCTTTCCTAGCCCCAAGCCCTGCAACCAGGAATCTGCTCTCCATGTCTATAATTTTGTGATTTCAAGAGTGTTATATAAATGAAATTGTACATAACCTTTTTGGGTTGGCTTTTCTCTGTTAGCATAATTCCCTGGAAGGTTGTCCAAGTTGTTACATGTATCAGTAGTGTGTTCCTTTGGCGGCTAGAATCCCATGGTATCGGTGTGCCCTAATTTAGCCATTCACCTGTTGAAGGATACCTGGATCGTTTCCAGGTTTGGCTATGGTGAGTAAACATTTGTGCTAGAAAAATATTTGTGTGTGGGGCTTTATGTGAACATGAGTTTCATTTCTCTGGGATAAATGCTCAGGAGTGCAATTTCTGGGTCCTATGCTACTTGCATGTTTAGGCTTTATTATTATTGTTGTTATTATTTGCCGTGGTGTTTTCCAGAGTGGCTGTGCCATTTTACATTTCCATCAGCAATGTATGTTCCATTTTTTTCTGGGTCTTGGCCAGCATTTTGGTATTGTCACTGTTTTTTAAATTGCATAGCTGTGTAATGGTCTCATTGTGCTTTTTATTTGCATTTCTGTATTGGCTAATGATGTTGAGCATGGTTTCATGTGCTTGTTTGCCTCTGTGTGTCTTCTTTGGTGAAATGTCTATGTCTTTTGCCCCTCTGCTAATTATACTGTTTGCTTTTTTACTTTGAGTTTTGAGAGTTCTTTATATATTATATATACTAGCCCCTTGTTGGATATGTGGTTTGCAAATATTTTCTCCCACTCCGTAGCTTGTGTTTTCATTGTCCTAACAGTGTCTTTTGCAGACTGAAAGTTTAAAATTTTGAGAACCGCATTTTATCAAGTTTTCTTTTTATGGATCATGCTTTTGGTGTCAAGTCTAAGGACTCTTTTTGCCTCAACCTACATCCCAAAGACTTTCTTCTATTTTTTTTCTAAATATGTTATAATTTTATATTTTACAGTTAAGTTTGTGATCAATCTTGAGTTAATTTTTTTGTACAAAGTGCGAGACTTAAGTTGAAATTTATTTCTCCTCCTCCTTCCTCCTTTTCTTCTTCCTTCTCTCCCCCTCCTCCAATTGCTTCAGCATCATTTATTGAAAAGGCTAACTTTTTCCATTAAATTGAATTGGCATCTTTGTTAAAAAAAAAAAAAAAGCTACATGGGCATATTTGTATGGGTCTGCTTGTGGGTTCTTTATTTTTTTTCCATTGATCTATGTGTCTGTTCCTCTGCTAGTATCACAGTCTTGATTACTGTAGCTATATGGTATAAGTCTTGAAATTGGCTAGGTTGATTCTTCTCATTTTTTTTCTTAAGCAAATTGTTTTGGCTGTTCTAGTTCTTTGCTTTTCCATATAAATTTTAGAATAATCTTGTCTATATCTACCAAAAAATGCTTGCTGGGAGTTATGTTAGCTCTGTATATAATTTGAGGAAAATTGATATCGGTACTATGTTGAGCTTTGCAATCCATGAATATGGTATATCTTTCCATTTATTTAGATCTTTGATTTCTTTCATTAGCACTGCGTAGTTTTCAACGTACAAGTTTTGTACATGTTTTGTTAGATTTATGTGGAAGTGGTTAATCTTTTGTTGAGTGGTTGTCAATGATACTGTGTTTTTAATTTTGGTGTCTACATGTTTATTGTTAGTTTATAGAGATACAATTAATTTTTTGTACACAGTCCCTTCTACCTCCATGGCCTTCTCTGATACTACCATGGCAGGCATGAGGAGCAGAGGGGCTGGGGTACCTCTTCACAGTATTAGGAAGGTGGAAGTCTAGGCCCCCCAACTGGTCCTTATTGGCAAGGGCTTGGGTGAGGTCACAGTTTTTTCTATGGTGTTTGGCTAGAGTAGAGCAGTTACTGTGTAAAATTTTCTGTCTTGCCAGGATGTCCCTTTCCTGGTGCTTTGGCTAGAGAGAGCAGGCTTTTTGGGGGCTTTGGCATTTATGGGTTGCCAACTTCTTAAGCTCAAAGTCTGAGATATAGAAGGAAAAGGAACCCAGGGAACTCATTCTTCAGGTCCCAAGGTCCCTAGCTGGTTGGCTTCTACTCTTTTCTTCTCTATTTTTTAGAGTTTTATATTTGTTTTATAGATAATGTGCAGGGTTCTTAACTATCTTTAGCAGGAGGAATAAGGAAAAGCATGTCTACTCCCTCTTCTTAGAAGTAGAAGTTCCCTCTACTTTTTAATTTAAATTTTTTTGAATATTTTATTTATTTGACAGAGAGAGGGTGCACACAAGCAGGCGAAACAGCAGGCAGAGGGAGGGGGAGAAACAGGCTCTCTGCAAGCAGGCAGCCTGATGTGGGGCTCGATCCCAGGACTCTGGGATCATGACCTGAGCCGAAAGCAGATGCTTAACCAACAGCCACCCAGGCACCTTCCCTTTACTTTTATTTATTTTTATTTATTTTTATTATGTTAGTCACCATACAGTACATCATTAGTTTTTGATGTAGTGTTCCAGGATTCATTATTTGCGTATAACACCCAGAGCTCATTACAACACGTGCCCTTTACTATTTTAAATAGGCAAGGCATTTTAAATCTTTTTTCCTTCTTTTCAAATATTCTCTCCTCTTTTCCTTGTCATTTCCTTCTCTTCTTCCCTTCTCCTTTGTATGGAGAACATGTATATTTGGACTTGGGCTCCAGAGTTAAACGTCCAGCTCTCCCCATGTGACTCAACCTTGTGGAGGCTCAGTGTCCTCATCTGTAAAGTCAGCATAATCTTAGTACCCAATCCACAGGATTGTTGTAAAAATTTGATGACATAGTAACATGTTTAGACCACTACCTGACAAATTACATGTTCTTAATCCAGGTTTACTATTCATGTTATTGCTGGCTACTTTTCTAAGCAACAGGCCAAAGGAGACTGGAGGCAGGTTAGGGTAGAGTGGAGGGTTCATGCTTCCATGGCAGTGGGAAGACAGCAGAGTTGGACCTTCTCTTTCTCCTCACAGTGCATTAGATGATGATTAGCTAAAATCTGAACAGAGAAAATTTATCATTTCTTGATTCTTTTTTTTTTTTTTTGAAGATTTTATTTATTTGAGAGCGAGAGAGTGAGTGAGAAAGAGCACAAACAGTGGGAAGGGACAAAGGGAGAGGGAGAAGCAGTCTCCCCACTGAGCAGGGAGCGCAATGTGGGGCTCGATCCCAGGACCCTGGGATCATGACCTGAGCCGAAGGTGGACGCCTCACCGACTGAACCACCCAGGCGTCCCTGGTTGATTCTGAGAACAGGGCTCCTTGTCCTGGTCCCTAAAAGTGCTAAGTGTTTGTTTGCCACCACAAAGACCCAAAGGGATGAGATGAGCAGGGTCTTTCCTGTGAAGGGATGCCAGTATTAACCTTCCAGATGTTGGTGGGCAGGGTATGGAAAGAAAGAGTTGAAAGCCAAATATCTTTTTCTCATTCTCCTTTTTTTCCCCAAAGGTATTGCTGACTACATAACTCGGTGCAAACAGGCCATTGGGAAATTTGAGTCCCTTGTCCACCAGATTCATAAGAATGCAGATGACATTTCTAACAGGCTTACGTTAATAGAGTCTATAAATCTCTTTAAATATCCGGCACCTAAAAGTGAGGAAGATCTCCCAGGTAGGTATGATTTCTTGTTTCTCTGATTACAGAAGAAATGAAAAGAACCTGTTGGTTATGATTGCCCGCATACTCACACACACATTTATTCCACGAACGGAATAAAACCATTCCTAAAGATTTCAGTCATTTACTTGAAAGGATCATGAGTAATTCTTGCTTTTTGCCATGTTTTATATATTGCTTAGACAGTTTTACAAATTCCTGAGTCTGTGAAAATCAGTAGTACTCTTGTCAATAACTTTGTAACAGTAAAGTAGATTGTGTTTTTATGGACTCACATTTACTTGTTTCAACAAGGTATTTTAAGTGGTCTTAGAGTAGTCAAAAAGCAATTTAAGAAAAGCAAGATTGCCCAGAGGTATAAACGTCATCTCTTGTATGTGGTCTGTTTTGGCATGCACAATGGGCATTCCCATGTTGTCGTTTATTTTTTGCTTAGGGCATGTCTTGACTTTTGGTATTGACTTATTTTCTGCTTTCAATCTCGGTTAGAGGCTGGTTTTGTATTTCTAAGAGATACAGCTAATGTTTGGATTGCTTTGCGAGTAATGTCCTTTCCTGCGTTCATGAAGAATGGTAACAGGTGTCTTGCTTTCTAGGCGTGAAGGAATTCTTTGAGCACATCGAACGAGAAAGGGCCAAAGATGTGGATCACATGGTCAGGTGGTATCTTACCATTGGGCCTCTACTGACCAAAGTCGAGGGTCTGGTCATCCACACCAACACGGGCAAGGCTCCCAAGCTGGCCTCCTATTATGAATACTGGGAACATAAAATTTATGAGGTCTTGACAAAGCTCATCCTGAAGTAAGTTAATCTTGTTGCTTGTCTTAAAGACAGGGTGCATAGATTAAAATAGTTTACATATATGAATAGTTAAAGAGGGAGTCACAAAATGCATAATAGAAATCATTTGGACAGTCTGCTTTCTGGTTTAAGGGTGACTTTCCATTTTGGCTCAACATTCAGAAAAGGAAATGATCCCTCTCCCCACTTCAACTATCTGAAAGACATACATGTGTCTCTCTCTTACAGAGAATTCCTGTTGCTCAGTATTACCCAAATCCTAGGTGATGCCCTCCCCTGTATTGAGAGAGGTTGAACTGAAGGACATATGAGCCAGTTACTCTCCCTGATGGTCTACAGTAAATCCCTGGCTGCTATGGGCATCACACATGTGTTGAATGCCTGTCATGTGGGCCAGCCTCACAACAGACAAGGCTCTCCTGACCCCCCTAGAGCTCTTAGCCCACAGCCCAGCACCTCAGCTAGGCCAGGTGAAAGCTGACTGCCTGGGCTTCATTGCATTGACTTAGGATCATTCTAGGAATGCAGCCTAGGAACTTCATCACTGGGACTGTTACCTCCATATTGTCAAAGGTGGTGTTCATTTCATCATGCAACCCCTTTGTGAAGAACCCCAGAAGAAATTTCTGCAGCATCCCTTCTGATCTTAGCCTCCTGAAAAAGTAGTTTTCTTTTTGTCCTTCATTTTTTTGTTGTTTTGTTTTTAAATGGTGTGGATTCTATGAATTGTTGACTGTACAGCTTTCCCTTTTCTCCTTGGCTGCTGGGAAACTCAGAATGAAATTTGTAGCCTAAATGCAGCAAGTGTTTAGGTATTTATGTTTGCATTGTCTCTTTCTTGACTACATATATATATTTAAATCTATCATATATGGGAGCTTACTCTGTACCGGCTCGTGTTACACTCTTTACAATCTCATCCCCATTTTTCAGACACAGACTGTAGGGAGAATAGGTGACTTGCCTAGGGCCACACACACATCTAGTAAGAAGAAGGGCTAGGATGTGAACCTGGGTCAGTTATCACTTCATTAAATATCTGTGATTAGTGTCTCCTTATTTTATCCCACTTTGATTTTAGGGTCTCTTACTGCAGTTATTTTTGTGAGCTGCTAAAATCTATTTTGGAACAAGACATTAATAAATAAAACACCTTTGGTTGTCTTGCTTCCTGGACCCAGTTTGACAAATTTCACTAAGTTGATCCTTTACAAAGATCTGTTTTCTACACATTTCATTTTTTTTATTGTTGCTTCTTAGATTCCTGCAGCAGCCCCTTACATAGGGCACCTCCTGCAGTGTTTCCCTTTCTAATATGCTATGTTTTCCCCTGATCCATCCATCCATCCATGCACTCATTCATTCATTCATTCATTCACAGGTTTCTTAGAGCCTGTACATGCCAGGCACTGGACCAGACAGGGCCCCTGTCCTTCTGGTGCTTCTCCATCCTCATAGGAGAGACACAAAACACAAGGAACCAGACATAACCAAGATGATTTCTGTGAAAGAAATAAGGCAGAATAGGGCTCCTGGGAGAAAACGGAGCAGCTGTTGTGACTGAGTAGTCGAGAAAGGCTTCCAGAGGCCGTGTTTGAGCTGAATCCTGAAGACAAGGAGTGAGCTACAAGAGGGAGGGACTTCCTGGGGGAAGACAAAGCCAGTGTGAAGACAGTTTTTCCTGAAACAGGTGGAACATTTTCTGGAAGTCATCACTGTTATTTAAGTGTCTTCCAACTACAAGATATTCACTTCCCAAAAGTAGAAATGAGCTATTGAAAAATGTAGGCCCAAACAGGGGCGCATAAGGAAACTCAGTGTACCCTGTCCCTTACCAACTCTGCATGTGGTAGTCCTCACAGTGGGCTTTCACATGTGACTTCGGTGACGCCGGCTCTTTCATTCGAGTGTTGGTTGTACTTCAGTCCAGTGAGCCCTGGGTCTCTTTTATTAACCCCTCCTAGGAATCTGCAGTCTTTTAATTCTCTAATCCTTGGGAATGTTCCATTGTTTCAAACGGACACCATTCTGACGGCTCCTGAGATCATCCTGCATCCCAATGCAAACGAGATCGACAAAATGTGCGTCCACTGCGTCCGAAATTGCGTGGAGATCACCAAGGTAAGGGTGGACACGTCTGTGTGGCTTCACAGGGGCTCGTTGCCACCGACAGCTGGCCCGCGAGCTTTGGGACTCGAGTCGCCGAGGTCATAAGAACACAGGCTCCACTCTGCCCCTTGTCCAGACTGTTGCACTCCTTCCAGGCTCTTCCTCTAGAGCTCTAGAGCCCAGGGTGCCCCACTCTGGCTTGATCCCAGCTCCCTTTTCTCCTCTCCATGCAGTCACGGCCAGTCCCATGGCTTTTAATGCCACCGCTCTGGGGATGACCACCCACATCCATCCCCAGCCCAGACCACTCTGCCATACACCAGGCTCTTCGAGTCACCTGCCTCCTGGATGGGTCCGTCCCCTCCGACCTGAGTCTTGGCATGTCCGGGGTGGAGTTCTTGCCTTCCCCATCTTGCAACTTGATCCTGCCCCAGGTTTTCCTCCTGCAGGAAACTGGCACCAACACAGTCGCCCAACTTGGAGCCAGAAACCTAGGAGCCAGCCTCGATTCCTCTGTTTCCTCCCATCTGCCCATATCCCGCCCCTTGGGGGCCTGGCTGACTCCCGTGCATCATCTCACACCTGGACCACTGCAGTAGCTTCCACAATCCGTTCTCCACCACGGGGGGCGGGTGGGGGGAGACAGAGTTATCTTTTTAAGGTACAAGTCATTTCATGTCACATCTCTTCTACAGAACCCCCGATGACTTCACATTGCATTAGAACATAATCTGAACCCCTTACTGTGGTCCTAATCTAGTACCTGCCTGCCTTATTTATTTTTAGAGAGAGACAGCATGTGTGTGAGTGGGGGGAAGGGCAGAGGGAGAAAGAGAATCCTAAGCAGACTCCCCGTTGAGCTCGATCTCATGACCCCGAGATCATGATCTGAGTAGAAATCAAGAGCGGGATGCTCAACCGACTGAGCCAGCCAGGTGCCCCACCTGCCTGCCTTTCTGATCCCCGTTGCTACCTGTCATGCTCCACCCCATTGTAGCTTAATTACACCCTCTCTTTGAGCTTCAGGGTTCCCATTTCATGACCGAAAGCAAAATAAGCAAAAGTTTTTAACTAGGAGCTTAGCGACCTCTTTATTAAGTGGAGAGGATGATAGAATCTGCCTTCTAGAGCTGTCAATGGGGTTACATTTTGTAACGCGTGCAGAGAGCTTAGCATCGTGCTTGGCAGTTCGTGGTTCCGAATGGACATTGCCTATGAGTCCTAGTGATAGCAGTCCGATTGGTCCTTCATGTTATTCCCATTTTACAGACGGCGAGGAGTTATGTGTAACACACTTATGCTTTGCTGTTATGCACCACACTTGATTAAAGGAAGAGGGAATCCTTTTTCTTTTTTTTTAAAGATTTTATTTGAAAGAGCACGAGCAAGCGCACGAGTTGGGGGGGAGGGGCAGAAGGAGAGGCAGAAGCAGGCTCCCCGCTGAGCAGGGAGCCCGACATGGGGTTCAATCCCAGGACCCTGGGATCATGACCTAAGCCGAAGGCAGACGTTTAACCGACTGAGCCACCCAGGCGCCCCAAGAAGAGGAAGTCTTGACTGTGCGGCAAGGGGTGTCAAATTCACAGATTTGTTCTGGGACCCAGGGGAGTCCCTTTTCCTGACTTTGTGTCTCTACCTGTAAATATGGAAACTGATGTTGTTCAGGAAGGAGTGGTTATTACTCTTTTACAAGTTAGCTTTTTTTCATAATAAGCCACTTTAAGTTTTAGAGGCTTAAAACAATAACTGTATTTCGCTCATGGTTCTGTGGGCTGGGTTCTGCTGAGAGGTTCTTCTGGTCCTGGCTGTGCTTGGTCACGTGTCTGATGATCGGCTGGCTATTGGCTGGGGTACTATGGTTCTCCTGCGTGTGGCTTGCCATCGACTAACCTAGCTCAAGGGCATTCATCTGCTGGTTGCACGATTTCAAGAGCATGAGAGGGGAAACCGTCAGGCCACAGGAGCCTTTGGCCTCAAACTGGCACAACACCATGTCTGCCCCTTTCCATCAGTCAAGTTACAGGCTAGGGCAGGGTGGGAAAATAGACCCCCCACACACACACACAATAGACAGTTTTGCCAATAGACTCAACCCTTGATGGGAGGAACAAAAATTGTGGTTATTTTTGCAATCTAGCACAATTTATTAATAAAGTGATTTCAGGAGTAGAATTCAGTGATTCATCACTTACATACACCACCCAGTGCTCATCACCATAGGTGCCCTCCTTAATGCCCATCGCCCATTTAGTTCATCCCCCACCCACCTCCCTCCATCAACCCTCAGTTTGTTCTCTATTGTTAAGAGTCTCTTATAGTTTGTTTCCCTCTCTCCTTTTTTCCCCGTTCCCGTATGTTCATCTGTTTTGTTTCTTAAATTCCACATAAGAGTGAAATTATATGGTATTTGTCTTTCTCTGATTGACTTATTTCGCTTAGCATTATATATTCTAGCTCCACCTATGGTACTGAAAATGGCAAGATTTCATTCTTTTTGATGGCTGAGTAATATTCCATTATATATATATATATATATATATATATATATATATATACACACACACACACATATATATGTATATATATGTATATATAAAGATATATATATACATATGTATATATAAAGATAATGTGATATATATATATATGTATCACATTATCCATTCATCAGTCGGTGGACATTTGGGCTCCATAGTTTGGCTAATGTTGATGATGTTGCTATAAACATCAGGATGTATGTACCCCTTTGAATCTATTTTTGTATCCTTTGGGTAAATACCTAGTAGGCAATTGCTCGATTGTGGGGTAGTTCTATTTTGAACTTTTGAGGACCCTCCATACTGCTCTCCAGACTGGCTGCACCAGTTTGCATTCTCACCAACAGTGCAGGAAGGTTCCCCTTTCTCTGCATCCTTGCCAACACCTGTTGTTCCTTGTGTTGTTAATTTTAGTCATTCTGACAGGTGTGAGGTGGTATCTCATCATGATTTTGATTTGCATTTCTCTGAAGATGAGTGACGTTGAGCATCTTTTCATGTGTCTGTTAGCCATCTGGATGTCGCCTTTGTCTGTTCATGCCTTCTGCCCACTTCTTAACTAGGTTATTTGTTTTTTGGGTGTTGAGTTTGATAAGTTCTTTATAGATTTTGGATACTAGCCCTTTATTAGATATGCCATTTGCAAATATCTTCTCCCATTCCATAGGGAAACCAATATTGCACTGTATGTTTAAAATTTAAATAAAAAAATTTAAAAATAAGTCAAACTCATAGAGGCAGAGAGTAGAATAGTGATTGCCATGGGCTAGGGAATGGGAGAAATGGGGAGTAACTACTAATAGGTAATTTAGTGGTAATGAGAAACTTCTAGAATGAGGTTATCGTGAGGGTTGTACAGCATTATGAATGTACTTAGTGTAACTGAATTATAAACATTCTAAATGGCCAAAATGGCAAATTTTCTGTCATGTGTTTTTTTTACCACAGTAAAAATGTGAAGGGGAAAAAAATAATAAAGTGATTTCCATTATTAGCAAGACTTATTCCTGAATATGAATATATACATAGGAAGCAAAATAAATACTGAAGTGCTGTCTTTTCCCCTGATTCTTCTTTTGCCAGCATTTTGTTCGATGGATGAACGGCAGCTGCATCGAATGCCCTCCTCAGAAGGGGGAGGAAGAAGAACTTGTTATAATCAGCTTTTACAATGATATTTCCCTGAACCCTCAGATAATTGAACAAGCTGTTATGATCCCCCAAAGTGTCCACAGGATTCTGATTAGTCTTATGAAGTACCTCCAAAAATGGAAGAGGTATCGACCTCTATGGAAATTGGACAAAGCCATTGTGATGGAGAAGTTCGCCGCCAAGAAACCTCCTTGTGTGGCATATGATGAAAAGTTGCAGTTCTATTCCAAGATAGCCTATGATGTCCTGCGCCACCCTTTAATTAAGGATGAGCACTGCATCAGGCTGCAGCTAGGGCCCCTGGCGAACACGGTGCAGGAAAATGCCAAGTCCTGGGTGACCTCACTTGGAAAGCTTCTCAATGAGTCAGCAAAGGAGGAGCTCTATAATCTCCATGAAGAGATGGAGGTAGTGGATCACTGGGTTTAATGAAACTGCCTCTCATGAAAGTCAGGTTTTTTCTAGGTTTATTTAGTGTCCTTGGACTTTTCTTTTCTAGAGGCTGGCCAAGAACCTGAAGAAGAGCCCTAGCACCCTTGAAGACCTTAAGTTTGTCCTTGCAACCATTGCAGAAATTAGAAGTAAATCTCTGGTCATGGAACTGAGATACAGGGATGTCCAGGAGCGATACCGCACCATGGCAATGTATAATGTCTTTGTGAGTGAACGATTTTTTTTTAATATTTTATTTATTTGACAGAGAGATAGAGAACACAAGTAGGCAGAGAAGCAGGCAGAGGGAGAGGGAGAAGCAGGCTCCCCGCAGAGGAGGGAGCCCAATGCGGGACTTGATCCCAGGACCCTGGGATCATTACCTGAGCCGAAGGCAGCCGCTTAACCGACTGAGCCACCCAGGCGCCCGAGTGAACGATTTTCTTAAGCATTTTACAGCTGGGTTGACTTATAAGACCTTTTTCAGACATACTTCTCAAATATGACTTTAATAAAATTTAAATGTAAAGCAACCCCACAGTTATTTAGAATAATGAAAGCAGAGATTATTTCTTGATCTTGCATGGCTCAAATATTTTTCGTAGATTGATCTGTAACTGCACACCATGTCGATTCTTTTTCTCCTTCTCCTCCTCCCCCTTTTTCTCCTCCTTCTCCTCTTCCTTCTTCTCCTCCTCCTCCTTCTCCTCCTCCTCCTTCTCCTCCTCCTCCTTCTCCTCCTCCTCCTCCTTCTCCTTTCCTCCTCCTCCTCCTCCTTTCCTCCTCCTCCCTCCTTTCTTCTTTTGGTGTTAACTTCCTCTAATAAATAAAAGGCTCTTGCAAAAATGATAAGAAGTGAGGGAGGGAGAATCAGAGAGGAGGTGTAAGACGATAAAAGAAACAGGTAGAGGATAATAATTCAATTGTCTTTATTTGGAGTCATTCAGGGTGCTTTCAAGGACCTTTAGAAGTCCATAGAGGAGTTTGGGGGGGGTGGCATCTCCGTGAAACTGCGTGCAAAATTTTGCATGCTGTGCATCCCATACACTCAAAAAGAATCAGCTGGAAAAACAGACTAGAAAGCAGCAGCAAGTAATTGTTATAAGTCTACATTTGCATAAAACTTGTATTTCAGCATTTATGTTGCTTGACTTCTTTGAACACCTTCACTGAGCAGTAGCCTGAAAAGCTAGAGATCCTTTCATCAGAAAAATGCACAGTATGCAAAATTTATATTTTTATAATTAAAAGTTCTCAATGGTGTCTTTGCTTTCCTTTATTAAGTAAAATTATTTAAAAGTCTGTGTCTTAGAACTCCATGATGGTCTGCTTATATTGTCTGTGTGTTTTGGTTTCCTTCAAGTCATTTTGCTCCTTACGTACCTGTTATTTCTGAGTGAGTTCTGGACAGTGTACATAACAAATCTGTAGAGAATTGGAGGCTCTAGATGTTGTTATATTTCATCACAGGAGATTTGTTTTTGCTTCTGACAGCACAGCTGGATGCATCAGCAAACTAAGATAACCTTGTTTTAATTAGAGATTGTTGATTTGAAGCTGGGTTTTAGTTTATGAAGGGCTTATCTCTCTAGGTTACCTCTCTTTCTATCTGTATTATCTACTTATTTTTAAATGTGATTTTATCCTGATGTTTGCATTATAAATATATAATTTTTTTCTAATTCAAGCAGTTTTCTCTTGGGTTCAAATGACCTAGTTATCAGAAGCAGAAATCCTTGGGAAGTAGCTTTGACCAGGATTTCATTTCCAAATGCAGACCATTTATTGTTTGTTCTGTTTTTTTTTTTTGAAATCTTTTTATTAGCCTTCTGATGCAGAGAAAGAACTGGTTGACAACATTGAAAGCATGTGGTCAAATCTGTTTAATGATTCAGTGAATGTGGAGCATGCTCTTGGGGGCATCAAGAGAACTTTCACAGAGGTACCTTTTAAATTTTTTACTTTCTGAGTAAAGATATTGACAAATATCCATTGGGATAAATTAATGCAATCCTGCCCCTCACAGATTACTCGAGGTGAAATATCAAACTATAGACAGCAGATAGAGGATTTTGCAAAGTGTTTTTATCGTGAAGGCCCTGGTTCTGTTGGTGATGATCTTGATAAAGGTAAGAATATTCCGTTGGACTTACTGAGGTACTTGAGTATGTTTTGCTTAAGAATTTTATGGGATGATGGAATGGAGCAGTGTTGTTTAAGATTTTATTTATTTATTTGACAGAGAGAGACACAGCAAGAGAGGGAACACAAGCAGGGGGAGTGGGAGAGGGAGAAGCAGGCTTCCCGCTGAGCAGGGAGCCCAATGTGGGGCTCGATCCCAGGACCCCGGGATCATGACCTGAGCTGAAGGCAGACGCTTAACGACTGAGCCACCCAGGCGCCCTGGAGCAGTAGTTCTTAACCTTGCCTGTACACTGGGTTCACCTGAGGATCCCAAAAGCCCACGGATGCCTGGGGCCCAGATTTGAATTGTCTGATCCCATTGTTTTGGAGGGTGGTCCGGATGCCATGGGGATTCTAACGTGCAGCCCAGGTTGAGGCCACTTAGAGGGATAAATGTGAAGGAGACAGAATTTTCTTTTTTTTTTTTTTTTAAAGATTTTATTTATTTATTTGAGAGAGAGAATGAGATACAGCATGAGAGGGGGGAGGGTCAGAGGGAGAAGCAGACTCCCCGCTGAGCAGGGAGCCCGATGTGGGACTCGATCCCGGGACTCCAGGATCATGACCTGAGCCGAAGGCAGTTGCTTAACCAACTGAGCCACCCAGGCGCCCCCAGAATTTTCTTTTTTTAAAGATTTTATTTATTTGAGAGAGAGAATGAGATAGCATGAGGGGGGGAGGGTCAGAGGGAGAAGCAGACTCCCTGCTGAGCATGGAGCCTGATGTGGGACTTGATCCCGGGACTCTGGGATCATGACCTGAGCCGAAGGCAGTTGCTTAACCCACTGAGCCACCCAGGCGCCCAGGAGACAGAATTTTCTAACTGGAGAATTTTGCGTATGTACCTGGCCCTCTGATTTCTGTTAGAATGACAGAGAAATAAAATTGTGGTAATTCCAGACATGTCTTCCCAGATGGCTTCTATGGATGGAATGATAGTTTATGTACATTGCCTGTGATTTCTTAATTTTGTGTACCTTGTATTTTTATGCACTCATTGATCTATGTCTTTACTTAATCACCAGGAGTAGAACTTTTAGCCACTTTTGAAAAAGAGCTCATGAAACATGAAAAGAACCGTCAGGAGTTGGCTAATGCTGAGAAACTTTTTGATCTTCCAATTACAATGTATCCAGAGCTGCTCAAAGTGCAGAAGGAAATGAATGGGCTGAGGACCATTTATGAGCTCTACGAAGGACTAAAGGTTAGTGTACCCCTCATTGAAGGCAGTGTGAGAACCGACTAGGCTCAGTGGATCGTGAGGCCACCATGATAAAGAGCCTGGGGCCAATTTTGTAGAAGCTCTCACTTTGGCTCTTGGGAAGAAGTGATGGGGAGCGATATTCAATGGCTTTAGGGTTTCCATTTGGGGAGAAAGGTGTGGAACTAGATGGTGGTGATGATTGCATAACATGGTGAATATACTTGATATCACTGAATCATACGTGTGTGAAAGTGCTTAAAATGGTAAATGTCAGGTGTATTTTGCCACAATAATAAAAAAGAACACACTCTTTGGTGCTTGGGGCTTGGTTAAGGAGTGGGGTGAACCATTTAGTTTGAAGTGGAAATTAAAAGCAGTTATTGGGGCACCTGGGTGGCTCAGTTGGTTAAACGTCTGCCTTCGGCTCAGGTTGTGATCCTGGGATCCAGCCCCGGGTTGGGCTCCCTGTTCAGCAGGGAGTCTGCTTCTCCCTCTCCCTCTGCCCCAATCTCATGCACGCTCTCCCTCACTCTCTCAAATAAATCAATAAAATCTTTTTTTTAAAAAAAGTAGCAACTATCATGACATTTGGATACCCTCTTGCATATATGCTCCCCATGCAAATTCATGCCATTCATTTATTCATCCCTCCATCTATTCCCTCTGCTCTGTACAGCCCAGTGCTGTGCTAGTTGGAGAATAGGGTCTGGAAAGGAGTTGCATCTGCCCATTCCATTTCTGCCCTCTTGAGCCCCACGAGAGTTTGACTGTTTTAATTTGTTCTCCCAAGACACAGAACCATCAGGCACCAAATAGATGGACCTTACTTCCTTTTCTTTCTTTCTATCTCACTATCTATCCTCTATCTATCTACCTAATCTATCTAAAGTAAACTCTGTGCCCAATATGGGGCTCAAAGTCATGACCGCAAGATCAAGAGTCACATGCTCTACTCACTGAGCCAGCCAGGCATCCCACCAAATAGAGTTGTTGGAGACTGGAAACCCCAGGATGTGGGGTTGGCAAGCTGGAGACCCAGGAGAGCTGATGGTGTAGTTCCGGCTCAGGTCTGAACTAAAAGGCAGGAGAAGACAGATGTCCCAGCCTGAAGACAGGCAGAGAGAGAGAGAGAGAGAGAGAGTTCTTACTCAGTCTTTTTCTCTCCAGTCCTTCAGTGGATTGGATGAGGCCACCCTCAGTGGGGAGGGAAATCTGCTTTACTTAGGCTACTGATTCCAATGTTAATCTTACCCAGAAACACCCTGGGGAACATTGTCCGGAATGATGTTTAACCAAATATCCACGCACCTGTGGCTCGGTCAAGTTCACACATAAAATTAACCGTCACCCTGACCCGCAAACAAATCACCATTGCTCTGATGTGTAATAGGAATACAGTAGACAGAGTGTTACAGAACCTGGACTGGATGGCCCGATGGAAGAACCAAGCGGCACCCGGAGATCTTGTAGGATTGGAGGTTTGTTTAACTCCGGCAGGCTCAGAGGAGAGTGGTCTCCAAAGGTCTGAGCCCCGAGCACAAACAAAGGGGCAATTTATCTACATCTACATCCGCATACTTGGCACTTCAGGCTTCTGAACGAAGCGGGCAGGGAGAAGAGCCTGGATTGGAGCTCGGGAAGCAGAGCAGAACAAAGGACCTGGAAGAGCCTCGGGGCAGGGGCTGGGACTCCTTTGCTGGCCATCTTAAGACACAGAATTCCCTTATCAAGAGCACCACGGGGCCCAGGGGAGGAAGGTGGTGGCTCAGGGAGGTGGCATTTGAGCAAGGCTCTGAACCAGGGGCAGGTTTTTTCCTGGTGCAGTCATTGGATTTAGGGCCCGTCCTACTTCATTCAGCATGACCTCCTCTTAATGAATTCCATCTGCAAATCCTGATCTCCATCTGCAAATCCTGATCTCCACATTCTGAGGTTCCAGGGGGATGTGAGTTCTAGTGGCGGTGGGGGGTTGGGGGTGGACACTCTTCAGCCCAGTACAGTGAGGAGTGGGGTACGTGGAGGAGAAGAACAAGAATTGAACTTGGGGCACTCCAATATCAAATACCACAAGAAGATGCCCCAAAAGGAAAGGAGAACGAGGAGGGGCCTCGGTGGTAGGAGGACAAACAGGTGAGTAGAATGTCTTGGAAGCCAAGTGAAAATAGCCTTTCCAGGCTGTCCAACTGCACCAAACACTGCATCAGATCAGGTAAGAGGTGGTGTGGAATGAACGCTGAATTTCACATCACAGAGGCCACTGTGATCTTGGAAACCTTTCGATGGAGTCGTAGCTGTGGAAGCCTGATTAGAGTGAGTCCGAGATATTTGCCCCAAAGAAAAGAAAGCATAAGTCCCTGCAAAGACGTTTACATCAATGTTCACAGCAGGTTTACTTGTAATAGCCCAAGACTAGAAACCCAGATATCCACCAAGTGAATGGGTAAGTGCCGTGCCACGTCCATCCCATGGAATGTGAGAAGGTGGTAGAAAGGATCGAACTATTGATGTACTGGGGCAACAAGATGGATGGGTCTCAAAATCATCTTGTTGGGATACCAAAGAGTACATCCTGTATGATTCCATCTGCATAAAATTCTAGAACATGCCAATGAATTTATCATGGCAGAAAGCAGGGCCATGTGTCTGGGGGTGGGAGGGGGGTTACAGAGAGGCAGGAGGAGACTTTTGAGAGCTGTGAACAAGTTCACGATCTCGACTGTGGTGATGGTCTCATGGGTGTGCACACATGCCTGAACTTAGCAAATTGGGCGTCTAAATATGTCCAGTTGTGTATGCCAGTTAATCCCCAATAAAGATGAAAAAAGAGAGAATGGGAAGAGAGGAATCAGAAACGCCAAATCTAGACAGCTTTCCCAATGTGTTTGCAAAGGGAAGCAGAGAAATGAGGAGGGGTTAGGTGGAAGGGATGTGGGGTCAGGATAATTTTTTTAAGATGGGAGAAATAACAATGGGAATTGTATAGTGATGGGAATGATCCAGTAAGGAGGAAACATGGTGATAAGTAGGTCATACGGGGAAGGCAGAGCATATGCGCTGTGTAGGCGTTGACACTTGAACAAATACCAAGGAGTGGATTTAACTGCAGTTGAGGTTTTTCAAACGTGTCAGTGAGAGAGGGGAGGGGAACGGAGGGTGGAGGGAAGAAAGACCCTTTAATGATGGACAGGCTGTACGTTTAGGTGTAAGAACTCCTAAGAAGTACTTTAGTTTCTTTCTGATTCATCTCTCATTAAATTTTTGCAAAAAGTTCATGATTCGTGAATGTCATCTCAAAATAATCAAAAAGGTATTTGAGCTTTTAATATCTTTTTAGAAGACAAAGAAAAAAAATGAAAAATTGTAAATGTCTTAATGTCATTTACATCTAAGTCAAAAAAATTACCATATGTATATTTCATCAATTAACACAATTTTCTGTTAAATACGTTTCGTGACTCGAAGCAACCCCATCGGAACCTCGATGTCACAGGTTGCAAATGCAGATTATCCAAGATGGTAAATTTTATGCAAGACAGTACTTTTTAAATCTCAGGAAATTCAGCACAAAATGCTGATTATGATAATCGGGCAGGATTATCTAAATTGTAAGTATTTTGTAATCTTAGCAGCATTATTTTGGCCAGGCCTTGAAAGAGTTGGAATTCCTTTGTTTGTGTTTTGAAGCCAGTAACCAATGCTTCCTTTTGTGAATCTGAGGTTTTTGTGGATAGATGGGCGATCCTGCTGGCAAAGAAGTGAGCGTGACCAAGGGTTGAGTACTGGCTCCCGCCTGTCAAAGGGGCCTTGTTGATGAGCCAATTTCTCACCCATTTCCAGGTTGCAAAAGAAGAATGGTCTCAGACCCTCTGGATCAACCTGAATGTTCAGTTCCTCCAGGAAGGAATCGAAGGTTTTCTCAAGTCCCTCAGAAAGCTACCCCGGCAGGTCCGAAACTTATCAGTGGCCTTCCATTTAGAAGCAAAAATGAAGGCGTTCAAAGACTCAATTCCTTTACTTCTTGACTTGAAGCATGAAGCACTGAGAGACAGGTTGGTTTTGTCCTGTTAGCCGTTGTGAAAGGGGGAGGAGTTTTAGTCTAAAAGGAGTCCTTGCTTAGATCTGATGACAAAGCCCAAGGTTGCAACAGCTCTGCCGAACTTGAAAGATGCAGGTCATATTTCTATGAAATTGTTTCCTTGTGAAGTTTCTAGACAATTACCAACCACAAGGATTCTATTTTTTTTTTTTTTTTTAAACCCTGCCAGATGTAAATGGGCATTGGTGGTTGCTTCATTCAAACAGTTAAAAAAAAAAATTAGGGGATCTAGATCAGCGCCATCCAGCAGATATACGGTATTTAAAGTATTTCTACTAGCTGCTTTGAAAAAGAAAACAGGTAAAAGTAATTTTAGTAATATATTTTAACTAACCCAGTCTACACAAAACATTATCGTTTCAACATGCAGTCACTATAAAACATTTCTCACAAGATATTTTATGCTCTTCTTAAAAAAATGAGTTGCAATCGGCCTGTAGTTTATGAGTACGACATCTTTAATTTGGACTTGGCACGCAGCGACAGGTGACTTGTGGAGACCATACTGGACAGAGCAGGTGTCCCTAGTTTTTCAATGGAACAGCAGTCCTGGGGGTGAGATGGAGGAGATTCACTCCTCATTCGTCTGGGATCAGCAGGACGTGTCCACACAGGGACAGGAAATAGTAGGAGCTTTGGGAGTCACGCTCTCCCTGCCATGCTCCTCTCTCCCTCCATCGTATCTCCCAGTGGGTGGGCAGAGAGTCATGGAATGCCATCAGAGGATGACGTCATTCTGCTCAGCAAGAAAGCATTTTCTAGCTGAAGTTCCCTGTTTTTTGATGCCATAACCCAGTGCTTCCCAAGCTTAGGTAACTTCTCACCATTTTTGTCATATCCCAGCCAAAATCATTTATATTGTCATGGCTTGATTTTTTTCCTATCAGCTTATTTTTTTTTTTTTACTTGAACATGTTCGGAGAAGAAACCCACACCACCACTGTAAATGGGAAACCAAAAGCTTTTGCCATAAATAGAAAACTTATAAAAATTTTTTTATATAAATTTGTATTTTATTTTTATAAAAATTATAAAAATAAAAACATTTCAAAAAGTTTAGCTCAAAACTGTTGCCTGTCGCTTAGTGGGAGGCCTACCCTGGACGAAGGGTGAATAACCGTGAGGAGGTGTTAAAGGCCCAGCAGCACCTAGCCGAGACTTTCTCCCCTTGATGTAATCAGAGGAGTGGAGGGAAACTGAAAAGGAAATCCCTTTCTCTCTGGTGACCTGGTGTTATTCATGCTGTGACACCCTTACTTCATACCAGCTCCTGGCCGAGGCCTGGGAATAGAGGAGGATGAATAGTAGATTCTCCTTCCTGACCATTTCTGGTTTGTGTGGGGTTGGTTTTTTTTTTTTTTGGTGGATTTTATTTATTTATTTGACAGAGAGAGACACAGCAAAAGAGGGAACACAAGCAGGGGGAGTGGGAGAGGGAGAAGCAGGCTTCCTGTGGAGCAGGGAGCCCGACGCAGGGCTCGATCCCAGGACCCTGGGACCATGACCTGAGCCAAAGGCAGACACTTAACAACTGAGCCACCCAGGCACCCCTGGTGGATTTTTTTTAAAAGGATCTTATTTATTCATTTTAGAGTGTGTGAGTGGGGGGAGGAGCAGAGGGAGAGAGAATCTCAAGCAGACTCCGTGCTGAGCTCAGAGCCCGACAAGGGCTCAATCCCACAACCCCGAGATCATGACCTGAGCCGAAATCAAGAATCAGATGCTCAACCACCGAGTCACCCAGGTGCCCCTTTTTTGGCTGGATTTTTACAATAAAGTCAGTGATCCAGTGCTTACTGCTTATATGCTGGATACGTGGCATTCTGCTGGTCTAGCACTTAGCCTCTTTATTATCTTCATTCCATATAAATGGAACCATAAAAAAGGGCCAACCCACAGGCCAAATGTGAACCTTAAAAGAAGGCCGGATTGGGTCAAGAGCAGAGCGGCTGGATGTGTCTGTGTGCACAGAGGCCTGTCCTCACCCTCCCATCTACAGCAGACCCCCCTTTTTTAAAATTTAATTTATTTATTTGACACAGAGCGAGCGAGCGAGCAAGCACAAGAAGGAGGAGTGGGAGAGGGAGAAGCAGGCTCCCTGGTGAGCGGGGAGCCCAATGCGGGGCTCAGTCCCAGGACCCTGAGATTATGACCTGAGCCAAACGCCAGATGCTTAACAGACTGAGCCACCCAGGCACCCCAGAAGCAAACTCATTTTAAAAATGCTTTCTTTGCAGGGTGTTTGGCTTCAGGGGCATTATAAATGTTGATGGGAATAGAGATGACACCACTTTAGTATTTACCTTCTATCTTTCTCATTTTTGAAAAAGCTGTGCACAAAAGGCATAAAATTTAAGCACCACCACATGATAGTGGAAGGTCATCCTCCCTCTTATCCTTGACTACAAGTCTTGGGAGAATCCCAGAGTCAATCACTTTATCAGTTTTCCCTCCACCTGTCCAGACAGTCTGTGCCAATTCAAGCCTGTTCACCTACTTACATATGTACATGTATATGCAGAGATCCATCCCTCTCATTTTTAAAAAATATTTTATTTATTTATTTGACAGAGACAGGCACCGCAAGAGAGGGAACACAAGCAGGGAGAGTGGGAGAGGGAGAAGCAGGCTTTCTGAGGAGCAGGGAGCCCAATGCGGGGCTCGATCCCAGGATCCTGGGATCATGACCTGAGCTGAAGGCAGATGCTTCACCGACTGAGCCCCCCCCCCCCCCCCCCGCCAGGCGCCCCTACAGCAGACCCCTTATTACTGTCTCTGTACTCTGTGGTTTTCTCATGGCACTCAAAGCAGTATGTGATTATTTAATATATAGATCTGTTGTATCGTGTCCTGGCTGTACCCCTGCGTAGGTGGTGGAGTCCCCGCGGGCAGGAGCGTGGCCCTTGGTCGCTTGCCCCTGCCGCAGCTAGCCTACTGCCTGGAGCAGAGGAAAGAGCATGATAAATATTTACCAAATACACGGCAGCTCACGACTTACACCAGGGTCTCAGCCAGGCTGAGTGAGCCGACAGCGGTCGAGATCCCTGGTCCACAGACTACATGACAGAAGTAGGTTCCAAAAAGTTCAAAGCCGTATATTTTCTTAGATGGCTGTGAAGACTAGCCATCTAAGAGCGTATCTTGCTAGAGGTGGTTTCCTGGGTTTGATTCTGGAAGCCAGTGGGATTTTTGGAAAACTTTGGAAACGTGATCCCAGGGATGTCCTCATTTATAATGGGATTTGTCCTGTGATGTAAGCAGGAATAATTAAATTCATCACTAAATCCAGGAAGCCTAAAGGTTTTAATGTGGATGCACTTTCAGGCACTGGAAAGAGCTCATGGAAAAAACAGGCGTATTTTTTGAAATGACAGAGACGTTCACCTTGGAAAACATGTTTGCTATGGAACTTCACAAACACACGGATGTTCTCGATGAGATCGTAATGGCCGCTGTCAAGGAGATAGCCATCGAGAAAGTAAGACTGCTTTTAGTTACCAAACAGTTGAGAAAAGAAAGAGAATTATTTTTACTTTATTTTAATTTCAGTGTAGTTAGCATGCGGTGTTATATTAGTTTCAGAGAATTATGATTATTTCAAAAGATTTTATTTATTAGAGTGCGCATGCTCGAGTACAAGTTGTGAGGGAGGGGCAAAGGGAGAGGGAGAAGCAGATACCCCGCTGAGAAGGGAGCTGGACTTGGGGCTCCATCCCAGGACCCTGGGATCATGACCTGAGCCAAAGGCAGTTGCTTAACCGGAAACTTTTGTTATAGCACTTGTTGTATTTGAGTAATAAAGAATTGTTTGCTCTAGAAATTCTAGGATTTCTGCCTTGGTTAAATTTTTTATTGTTCTAGATTATCGTTTCACTTCCAATGCATTTATTAAGTGTATTTATTAAATGGATGTATATGGTAGAAAACTGAGAAAATAAATCACTTGTAACTCTACCACCTGAAGATAATTAGTAATATTTCAGTGTATGTCCTTTAATACTTAGAAGTGTGTAGACACGGGCCTGCACATACACACACACACACACAGACATACACACGTATAGTCCCACACAAACAGGTATAAAGGCACATCCATGCATAAGCCCATACACATACATGCACACACATACATGTGCATAAATGCACATACCACATACACGGATGTATGCAGTACACACATGTATGCATCGCATACACACAATACACACAAATATTGATACAACTGGTTTTTGAAAATGCAATCATCAATAGGTATATAAATTTGTAATCTGATTTTCTCGCTTAATGGCAAACCCAGGGGCAGGATCATGTGTGCAGGGAGGCAGACCAGGAAATTTAGAGCCTGGTTCTGGTGCCGAGTGACCTGGCCAAGCTGCTTCACTTCTCTGAGCACCCAGCTGGCATCTCTATAGGATGCGGGTAGTAATCCTTACTTCCCTAGGGTGCTTTGGGGACAGAAGGCGGTCCTGTAGGGACTGTGCTTACCGGGCACATAGCCAGTGCTTGGTCAGGGATGTTGGGGTCGCCATGACAGAATCTCCGCTTACTTGGAAAACTGACCAAGGCTCTGGGTCGAGTAGCTGACCGAAGGCAAGCTCAGAAGGTTGCTATTGAGTTGGAGTTCTGTTTTTTTCGATGTCTGTGCCCGAACCACTCTTTTTATCTTCCTGAGCAGGCGGTGAAGGAAATCCTGGATACGTGGGAAAGTATGAAGTTTACCGTGATCAAATATTTCAAAGGCACACAGGAGCGAGGCTACATCTTGGGGTCTGTTGACGAAATCATCCAGTGCCTTGATGACAACACTGTCAACCTGCAAAGCATCTCGGGAAGCAGATTTGTGGGGCCTTTTCTGCAGACTGTTCACAAATGGGAGAAAACGCTTTCTCTGATAGGGGAAGTCATTGAGGTGAGAGAAAAGCCAGAGAGCACTTTTATACGAGAATATTTTGTGCTCAGACCCTGATGCTTTTCTGGCTTGATTTATTGTAGGGTTTGTGTGTGCATGATTAGAAGAGTCAGTCTGAGTTTTTATTTCAATGAATGCGTTTTTAACTTCCATGATTCTTAATTGGGTCTCTTTCATACGACCCTATTCTTGTTATATACTGTCCTGTTCTTGTCAGGATATGTTCATCTCCTTTAGCACATGGAAGAATTTAAACATATTTAAAGCCCTTTTCACATTTCTCCATATTTATTCTTTTCTCAGGTCCGAGTTTTCCTCTGTGTGTTGTGTGTATATGTATGTATGTATGTACCGGGACTGTCTTTCCTGGTAGTGGGTTTTTCTCGGTGGGATCTATTTATTTTTAAAGTCAATCTTACATAAAATGTTTCTGCCTGTGCTTGCTTCACTTTGTCATGTGTTTCTGCAGTTTCTCCAAGTCGGGTAGGCGGCTTGGGGCTTGCTTCTTGTTGTGGGAAGTGCTAGTCCAGACTTCTCTGAGCGGCCCAGGCTCATCTCACCATTTTTGTGTGTTGCCTCTTTTCTCTCCCCAGACCACAGGCAAGTGCCTTGTTCCAGGCACAAACTTGAGTTTTGGCTGGGATGATACCGGCCCTGGTTCACTGGCTGGGGAGGTGGCCCAGGCCCTCACTCCTCTCAAGCATGGGCTTCCTTCGCTTGCTTGTTTTGGTCCATTACTTTTTGTTAGGTAGGATATAGCACTGTTTTATTTTTCTTCATTATTTAAACATTTTTTTAAATGGATGTGAAATTTACATAACATTAATCATTTTATTTTTATTTTTATTTTTTTTATTTATTTATTTGACAGAGAGATAGAAGAGCACAAGCAGAGGGAGTGGCAGAGGGAGAGGGAGAAGCAGGCTCTGCACTGAGCAGGGAACCCGATGTGGGACTCGATCCCATTTTATTTTTAAGAAGATTTATTTATTTATTTATTTATTTAATTTATTTTTTTTAAAGATTTTATTTATTTATTTGACAGAGACATAGCGAGAGAGGGAACACAAGCAGGGGGAGTAGGAGAGGGAGAAGCAGGCCTCCCCGCGGAGCAGGGAGCCCGATGCGGGGTTCGATCCCAGGACCCTGGGATCATGACCTGAGCCGAAGGCAGACGCCTAACGACTGAGCCACCCAGGCGCCCCTATTTATTTATTTTAGAGATGAGGGGAGGGGCAGAGGGAGATGGGGAGAGAGAGAATCTCAAGCAGACTCCCCGCTGAGCACAGAGCCTGACACGGGGCTCAATCTCATGACCCTGAGATCACAACCTGAGCTGAAACCAAGAGCTGGATGCTAAACTGACTAAGCCACCCAGGTGGCCCTGTTTGGGCTTTTTTTTTTTTTTTTTTTTTTTTACATGATCTGTCTTTTGTTCCTCTGGGTAACACGCCCCCACCCCTGCTTACAACTAGAAGCTTCTTCCTTGCCTTGGGCTGGTGTGGAGAGTTTGCTTTTGCTTTTGTGTGGGGCTTGGTATCTTAAAATATTTAGCTATGCTTTCTTCATCATTCTTGTATATTTGGGAGTGTGTGTACTCTGTCGTTTGCCTGGGGAGACTTCTGATCTGAGCTGACGTTCATCTGTCCTGTGTTAGGGTGGGAGTTTGCCCTCCATACCTCAAGGTATCTGTGCTGATGTTCACATTGTGCATTTCCAGATTTGGATGTTGGTTCAGAGAAAATGGATGTATCTTGAAAGCATTTTTATCGGTGGCGATATCAGGTCACAACTTCCTGATGAGGCGAAGAAGTTTGACAACATCGACAGAATATTTAAAAGGGCAAGTGATTGGCTTCTGTTTTAGTCATGAAAGGACAGTGATTTGAGATACGTTTACTTATGTTTCTGCAGGTCGTATTTTGTCTGTTAAGTAGCTTCTGATTTTTTTTTAAGTTTATTACTTTTTAAGTAATCTTTATGCCCAACATGGGGCTCGAACTCACGACCCTGAGATCAAGCGTCACATGCTCTTCCAGCTGAGCCAGACAGGTGCCCCTAATTCTGAATTTTTTAAATCATTACCTATGACCTTCATCTGTTCAGTAAAAATTTGTGTTTGGTTTCAAGCCGCTGGCACATGGCACTGAAACTTTTTTATATTGATTTTTTTTTTTAAAGATTTTATTTATTTATCTGAGAGAGAGAATGGGAGACAGAGAGCATGAGAGGGGGAGGATCAGAGGGAGAAAGCAGACTCCCCGCTGAGCAGGGAGCCCGATGCGGGACTCGATCCAGGGACTCCAGGATCATGACCTGAGCCGAAGGCAGTTGCTTAACCAACTGAGCCACCCAGGCGCCCCTTGATGTTTTATTATAAAGGTAATACTTGCTTAAAAAACTTGGAAAATGTAGAAAGGTAGAAAAAAAAAATGTATCTTCCGGAGTTCTGTCACCTTGATGTGACCACTTTAGTATGCTGTTTATTTCTTTTGTCTTTCTTTTCTGTGCACATGGGTTTAAAAACACAACGATAATGATATTCTGCATAATTTCCTCCTAATTTTCTTTTGATATTATGAGAAAGGTATTTTGTATTTTGACACTCGAGAGAAGATTCTGATAGCTTTATAAAACGTTCCAGTGAGTGGCTTGACATTACTTTAGTTGATTGTTGTAACGAGACATATTGTTCCAAGAGGAATTCTTTGCGTTCATCAGTAATTTGCAGGCCTGTGCTTCTGCCTTTTCCACATTTAGGATGAATATCTTATGAGAGGCTGGTGGAAAGTAAATTGCCAGTGAAGGAGAAGCACCCATTTTAAAGTCCTTCCCAGAAAGGGTTGTGCCCGTCTTTGCCGCCCCTAGCCATTAGTGGGGTGAGGGTCTTAACCCAGAGCCACCTGCCCTTGAAGCTGGGTGCCTTGCTGCTCAGTGTTGCTACACGCTCTCTAGTTAGGAGCGGCCGGTTCACATTTGGGTCTCTCTTATCCATTAGAGTTGATAGTATTTCCTTATTCATTTGCATAACCTATTTTTTTTTTTAAAGATTTTATTTATTCATTTGAGAGAGAATGAGATAGAAAGAGCATGAGAGGGAGGAGGGTCAGAGGGAGAAGCAGACTCCCCGCTGAGCAGGGAGTCCGATGCGGGACTCGATCCCGGGACTCTGGGATCATGACCTGAGCCGAAGGCAGTCGCTTAACCAACTGAGCCACTCAGGCGCCCTATTTTTTTAAACTTAAATCACACAATGGATATTTATTATAGAAGAATTGAGAAACTAAAAAAAAAAGCAAAGAAAGGAAAAAAATACCTATAATCCCACACCCCAGATAACCGTTTTGACAGGTCAATATCTATCTTTCCAGAATTTGTTTATTCCTGTATAAACATATAAATAAGTATTATAAGTAAATACTCCGCAAAATAAGATCATTCTTGCCCATGGGATCATTTAAAAAAATTGAATGTCTTTGGCATGTATTTCAATAAGTAAACGTGGAAACGATCACTTTCAGCCAACGATTGACCCAGTTTCCTGTTGGATGTTGGGGATATTTCCCTAACTGCCCCCTCCATGTGCCACCATGAAGGGTGCCGGAGGGACCGTCCCGGGACATGCACGTGGTCCAGAGTGGAGCTTCTGGGTTCATTCATCCCGCAAAGGGTGACTGGGGGCCTTCCATGTACAGACACTGTTGTCGACCCAAGGGACACATCAGTGAGCCAGAGAGATTAAAAATTGCTTACCCCAGCAGCTGACCTTCTAGTGGGAGGCTGGAAAACATTAACGTCAGAAATAAGTAAATTGTCTATAGTACGCTAGGAGGTGCTGGGGACATCCGCCTCGGCCCGCAGAAGGCTGTGGTTTGGGTGCGTGTTGGTTTTGCGCTTCCCTGGCCCGACGGCTCTCCTCTCGCCCTCGTCCAGATCATGGGTGAGGCCTTGAAGGACCCCGTGATCAAGAGATGCTGCGAGGCCCCGAACCGCCTGGCTGACTTGCAGCACGTCAGCGAGGGCCTCGAGAAATGCCAGAAGAGCTTAAATGACTACTTAGACTCCAAGAGAAACGCTTTCCCGAGGTTCTTCTTCATTTCTGACGACGAGCTGCTCAGCATCCTGGGCAACAGCGACCCTCTCTGTGTCCAGGAGCACATGATCAAGGTGGGCTCCCGCGGCCCTGCACCCCCCACCCCGGGAGCGGCTGCCCACGCTCTGTCCCGGGGCTTGTTCCATCCTAGGTCTCTGCGCGGTCGGCTCAGCCCCGAGGCTAGGAAATGCTGCCTGGCCTTTATCGGAAACAAAAATCTGATGAAATCCACTCAGTCTGAAACTGTACAAAGATTCCATTGTTATTTGTTGCTCTTTTTGTAAAGTCCAAAAACATTATTTTTTGGAGAAACTAAAAGGAACCCAGTAATACACAAAGACTAATATAATAAGCAAAGGGTGATGATGCAGGATGGGGTTTCAGCATGTGGACTGATTGCCTTGTTCAAATCCTGACCACACAAATTTGCTGTGTGACTTTTGGCAAGTTACTTAACCTCTCTGGGCATCGGTTTCCCCTCCCCTCCCCTCCCCTTTCCTTCCCTTCCCGATTTTATTTATTTGAGAGAGCCAGCACAGAGAGGGAGAAGCAGACTCCCCGCTGAGCAGAGAGCCTGGCATGGGCTCTATCCCAGGACCCTGAGATCATGACCTGAGCCAAAGGCAGCTGCTTAATTGGCTGAGCCACCCACGTGCCCCTGGGCATCGGTTTCTTATCTGTAAATAAGGATAACCCGGAGAGTTACCTGCTTCGGTGGAGTTGTCATTAAGAGTCAATGAGCTTGTATTTGTAAAATACTTAGTGCCTGCCTTATGATGTTGGCTAAATAACCTTATCCATCACCCAGAATTGACTGGTAACCAACTTGTTTCCAGTTAATCCTATTTGCTTCCTCTCTCCCTCCCTCTCCCCCCTTCCCTTCTCTCGCCCTCTCTTTGTCAAACAAAGCTGTAGAGATAAAGTTGCCACACTCTTTGCCCCCTCTCCCTGTCACAGCTCTCCCTCCCTTTTTGGGAGGCAGCCACAATCACGAGTTGGTTTGTGAGTCCTTCCAGCTTTGCATACTTGGACATACGCGTATCCATGAACAATATTGACCAACAAGAAACAACAGACAGTACCGTCTCTGGGGATAGACAGCCAGAGCACGGCCAGAATGAATCTTCGATCAGCGGGTCAAAGCTCTATATTTTGTAACAGCCTAGGCCAGGGGTTCCCAGACTTGGCAGTGTCGGTAGTTGGCCAGATAACGCTTTGCTCTGTGTGTGTACATGTGTGTGTCAGGGGCCTGGGCCGTTCTGTGTGCCGTGGGACACTCAGCAGCATCCCTGGCCTCTACCCACTCGAAGCCAGGAGCATCGCTCTCTAGTTAAGACAACCAAAAATGTCTCCTGACATTGCCTAGTGTCCCCCCTGGGGGCAGGACCATTTGTGGTTTTGAATCGGTGTTGTAGAATAATTCCTTTATTCCAAATAAACAGAGCATGTGGGATCAAGTACAGAACTCCACAGTTTCCCTTTAGTTAATGCTGATTTCCTTCTTACACTAGAATTCATGTCTTGGGTCGTATGTGTTCCTTTCTCAAAGGGGAGTTTTATATTTTGTTCTGCTTTCATAAACAAATATTTGACTGTTATAGAAAAATGCGTGTTAGAAGTACATTTACTGGTAGCCCCTTTTGCAAACCTCTGGTTTTATCTTTTAAAGCCTATTGCCTTTCCCTTCTCCTCTCTGACTGGCAGAGTGCCTTGTCTTATATCCTGAGTCCTAAAAGACTCATTTTTCTGAATAGCATTCTGATCAATATCGCTGATGATGGGCAATGGAAGGCAAGTGTTTTATGTGCCGGCGGCCTTTCTCGCATGTTGTTTGATTTGACCTTCCAACCTCATCTTGGACGTGTCGTAATTATGTCTGTTCCAGGCCAAGAGAGGAGCAGCAGATTGCCCCAGGTCACCCAGTTGGGCCGTGGGGGATCCAAGCACACGTCTCACTTGTCAGCCCCATGGTGTTGAATCACCAGGCTGTTCTGTGTCTCCTCTGTCCACATACCTCTCCCTCCCCGCATATACTCTCTAGAACCTGGTGCCGCCACCCAGCATCCGTGTCACAGGGTGGATGTCCCGCTGTATTGCAGATGTTCGACAACATCGCTCTGCTGAGGTTTCACGATGGGGAGAATGGAGAAAAGCTGGTGTCCGCCATGATCTCAGCAGAAGGAGAGGTCATGGAGTTCCGCAAGATCATCCGGGCGGAGGGGCGCGTGGAGGACTGGATGACCGCCGTGTTGAACGAAATGCGGAGGACCAACCGGCTGATCACCAAAGAGGCTATCTTTAGATATTGTGAAGACAGAAGCAGGTAGGGTCGCGACTGGGAATGCGTGTCACTTTCTCATATGAATAGTCCTAGTGGATGATTTAACACTAAGGGCTTGGAGTAGATCAAGCGACATCCCGAATGAAGTTTTCTTCTCTTGCGGTAGTTAAGTTGGCCCGTGCATTGTCTGTCTTTAAAGGCCCACCTAGTTCAGGACTTCTCAAAGGGTGGTGGCATCTGGACCAACAGCATTAGGGCCCCAGGGAGCTTGTTAGAAACGCAAATGCCTGGGCCCGCCCCCAAATCTGCCCCATCAGAAACTCTGGGGGTGGGCCATCTGTGTATTTCATAAGCCCCTCCCCAGGGATTCTGAGCCAACCACTGACCTGGTGACCCAACAGAAACCAGGTGTTCGGGAGGGTCAATCTGTGTATGGGTTAAGGAGTGAAGTCATTCCTAAAATATTTAACGATCTCAATCATGCCTTGACTTTTGTGGCCCGAGAAGCATCTAGGCACCGAGCTGAGCCTGCTTCTTGCTGCGAGGAGAGCTGACTTTAATATGCACCTGAACACAAAGTATATAAAGCATCTTTGGATAACGAGTTCCATTAGATTCAAGCGGGATTCCCAGGAATATATTCGGCAGGGCCTTTATGCACACATAAAACCTCCATTATTATTTTAAGAATGCTATCCTTTCGATTTTATACACTGCCTTTTTGATTTATGGACTGAAAACATCTAGTTAAGTACCTTTATTAGAGAATAGCATTTTATTTGTATGATTATGATCCTTTATTTTTTTTAGGTACTGTAAGAATTGGCTTATATCCTTAGGTAATCAGGTATATATAGATCTGCCCAGTGGTATGCTGGTACACTGGCTTTCTGAAAAAGGGGAAAAAAAACCCCTTTGATTTAGAGAGTTCATCAGTGTTCATGGTGTCAATACTCCCATCACAGCTGATTTCAAAGCTAAGTGGTATAATGGTAAGTGGTTTGAACATCAGCCTACAAAATTCTTGAATATTTGACAATGAACTCTCGTGAACTGGTAGGAGGTGGCTCTAGCATATTATCAGTTATATTCATTGATTGAGCTAATATTTATCGGGCTCCTGCTCCGAGCTAATCACTGTGCTAGATGCTCTTACAAAGCTGAGCTAGACAGAAATCACCAGCCTCCAGAAATAGTGATCACTGAGTATTCTGAAGTCTCCTTAATGCTCCCAGATCAGATGAATTTTACACCAACATTAGTTTTAGCTACATTATAACTACCACTTTGCCAGGGCATTGTTGTGTGTCACAGGGTGTGGTTGGTGGGAGACGGGATAAGGGAAAGCACCCCCAAGTCTCTGCGCCACCCCTCTCCTCCCCAAATGCCCCTCCGCCTCACGTGGGAGCTGTTGTTTCTAACGAAAGGGTGTGTAGTTGAAATGAATGTATTGGTTTGTTTGAACAGACATGTTTTGGTATCACTGAGAAGACAAGCCCAGGGGTATGCAGCCCCAGAAAGCACCCACTATCCTGCAAAACACCATCATGTTCCTCTTAGCTCTGCCCTGAGTCACTTTATTTTCTCTGGTCAAGTTTGCTTCTGCCCTCCTGATTTCTAACTTCCTAGGCCCCTCATCACCTTCATTATATCTTTCTAGTGTGTAGGGATCATAACTATAAATACTATATAGGTTTTTAGAGGCGCCAGACAACCTTAAAACAAGATGGCAAAGCCTAATCTTTCCATTGTTTTAAATATTCTTAATTTATTTTGCCATTCATGTGTGTCATCAAGGTAAAGACTAGTAATTTACAGTCACTTTCCATGGATTGGAACTTACAGCTCTGGGTCCATTATTTTTAAAGTGCGATTTGGAAAAAAAATGTGCCCTAAATATATTTCAAGGCACTTACCGACTTTGGAAATTCGTATCTCTGTAGAGGAAATCCAAGCAGCCAATAAACATATGAAAAGAGGAGAGCTGTTGTTAGTCATTGGGGATCTGCAAATTAGCTTAGAATAAGATACTGTTTTCCCCCTGCCTTTTAGATTGGCAAAAAAAAAAAAAAAAAAAAAAAAAAAAAAAATCAAAAGAGTGATAATACCTAGTGCTGGAGAGCATGTGGTGAGAAGGGCAGTGCTATGCATTGTTGGTGGGGTAAGGATTGCTTCAACCTTTAAAAGTAATTTGACCATTTCTATTAAACTACCCAAAGAATGCACTATACTTTGGCCTGGTTGTTTTGCTTTTGGGGTTCTGTTCTGTAAGTCTAGAAGCAGCTCCGACTCATCAGGTTAGATGCAGAGCAGTGTTTGTCCACCTCAACACTACTGACGTCTGAGGCTGGAGAATGCTTTGCTGTGGGGGACTCTGGTGCCTTGTAGGATGGTTAGCACCATCCTCAGACCCTGTCACCCGCTAGATGCCAGTAACACCCCTACCTCCAGTTGTGACAACTGAAAATGTCTCCGGACATCGCCAAATGGTGTAGAGGGATGTTTATTGCAGTATTATTTGTGTTGGTGAAGGAACTAGAAGCAGCTTAACTAGACACCAGTAAGGTAATGTTTGAGTACACTGCAGGACTCTCAAGCTCTGGAATATCATGCGGCTTTTATAAAGATTGGGTTAGACTACATCCATTGACCTAGAGGCTTACCTCTTAGAATTCTTAAATGGGACAAGCAAGGTGCAGAGTACCCTGTATCGTCTGGTGCCATTTTTGGAGGAACAACCACCACAGCCCCATCTCCCTGTACATCTGTATAACTTTGGTCAGGTGTGCAAGGGAGAGAAAAGAGTAGTGAGCAACACCCAGGAAGCTCTAACTTAGGCAAATGGGTGAGGTGGTCAGAGATGATTAAATTTTTTGTTGGAATTTAAAAATGTAGAAATTCTTATCATATGCCCATAATATTAAGTCACTCTGCAAACCTGTCCAGGCATATTTTAAAAGGGATCTAGCATCTTTCTACATCATCACCTCTAACTTTCTTGTGTGTGCGTGTCCTTGGTCTGGTGTTTTCCTATCCAGCTGGAAGACTTATGGTCATTCGCTTACCTAGAGCCCTCACTTTGCCTCCTCAGTTCCAGATCAAAGAAATTACATTCTTACGGGGACTGTCATCTGGTGCCAGTCCCTGGAAAAAGATCTCGAACAGGTGTGCATTTTCCTTTAGGGTCAACTGGATGCTCCTGTACCAAGGGATGGTGGTGCTGGCCGCCTGCCAGGTGTGGTGGACCTGGGAGGTGGAGGATGTCTTCCACAAAGTACAGGAAGGGGAGAAGCAGGCCATGAAGGACTATGGCAAGAAAATGCACCAGCAGATTGATGAGTTGGTCACTCGGATCACCATGCCCTTGAGCAAAAACGACAGAAAGAAATTGAACACGGTCCTCATCATCGACGTGCATGCCAGAGATATAGTTGATTCTTTCATAAGAGGCAGGTAGGGACCTCTGGGGGCCCCGGCGTGTCACAGTGCATCCTCCACCGGGCTTGGCCTCGCCGTTTCTCCGACCTCTTCTCCCTCCTCTCCCCTTCCAGCATTCTCGAGGCCCGGGAGTTCGAATGGGAAAGTCAGCTGCGGTTCTACTGGGACCGGGAACCTGACGAGCTGAACATTCGTCAGTGCACGGGCACCTTCAGCTACGGCTATGAGTTCATGGGTCTGAACGGGAGGTTGGTCATCACGCCGCTCACCGACCGGATTTACCTGACTCTCACTCAGGTGATCGGCCGCCCGGACTACGGGGTTACCAGCTGCCTGTGGCTATGGGTTGTTCTCGAAGTGTGATTAGGGCGACTGCAGATACCATACTGGGTTGACCAGTGTTCCTCCCTCCCAATTCATGTCCACTCGGAACCTCACGATGTGACCTTCTTTGGAAATAGGGTCTTTGTTTAACTAGGGAAGGATTGGGAACATCCTGGATTAAGGCCCTAGATCCGATGACTGGTGTCCTCGTGAAAAGAGGAGAGGATGCAGAGAGACAGGAAAGGTGATGTTAAGACAGAGGCAGGGATTGGAGTGAGGTGGCCACTGGCCAAGGAATGCTTGTAGCCACCAGAGCAAAGAACCCCCTAGGAGCTTTGGAGGGAGTGCGGCCCTGCCAATACCCCGATTTCAGACTCCTGGCCCTCAGTGCTGTGAACAAATACATTTCTGTTGTTTTCAGCACCCCCGCCCTCACCCCCAACGTGGTGGTAATTTGCTAGGGCAGCCCCAGGAAACCAATGCTGGCAGCAAGGGACATCATTGTTCAAAATCTGTAAACGAGTTTGAACTCGGAACAGGACCTTCTTGCCACCTTTTGGGATTGGGCTGTTGCCGGTTCAGGCGGCCCCTAAAATCACTCTCAGGTTTAATAATTTGCTGAAAGGGCTCACAGAACTCAGAAAGGCCATCGCAGTCCTGGTTGTGGTTTAGTATAGCCAGAGGGTGCAGGTCAAACCCCACAGCAGGAGACGGCTGGGGCTGGGAGCTGTGCTTCCGTCTGGCAGAGTCGGCGTGCGGACAGCATTCGCTCTCACAGCAGCTCCGCGTGGCCACGGGCAGCGAGTGTCGCCAAGTGGGGAAGCTCGTACGTGGTGTCTAGGCTTTCAGCTGGGGACTGGTCGTGTAGGAATGGCCGATTGCTTGCATGGCTGACTTGAGTTTCCAGCTTCTCCAGAGGTCAGGCTGATACCATGCGGCCCAGAGTCACAGTTCTCAGGGCATTCCATGGGCTCTGAGGTCAACTCCTAGAATTTGGAGACACAGGGCCAGACCTTTCCTTGGGCTCATCCTTTACGGCACAGATGCACCTGTGTGCTCGAGTCTCGCCTCAGCTCTGGGAACTGCTAGGGCCTCGTCCTCGGAGGAGGCACCCGTTCCAGCATGTCGCTTAGTCACTGGTCCCTCTATCACGGCGTGGGGGCGGCCAGCAGAGGTCAATGGAAAAACAGAAAAGAAATGTAAAAGATAGTGACTATCAGGACAGGTGAGTGTGAGCGTGTCCATTGCCACATGTATACTACACATATGTTGTCACAGTGCTTTGGGAAGCAGCACCTGTTTCCTTGTGTGAATCAGACAACACAGGTTTTGCATTTGGCTCATCAACAGGCCCTGTCCATGTATCTGGGAGGGGCCCCTGCTGGCCCAGCAGGTACTGGCAAGACCGAGACCACCAAGGATCTGGCCAAAGCCCTGGGCTTGCTCTGTGTCGTGACCAACTGCGGAGAAGGCATGGATTACAAGGTACGGTGGAGAGCTGAACGCGGGACGTGGGAGGAAGGCATTGCACCCCACACTCCTCCATGAAAAGACGGGGCGACAGCTGGAAGAATGGAGCAGAAAAAAATCTTTGACCCTCAGTCTCAGAGCTTATACGTGTCTGCTTGTTAGCAGCATGCAGAGCAAACGTTGTAAACTGAAATGCCACCAGAGCCGCGTAGGTAATGTAAATGAGGACTGCAGCACGGGGAGACAGGGAGGGAGGTGAGGAGCCAGGCGAGGGCCACGGCCGGCTGGAGGGCACTGCTGTGGCCCCAGGGGGCGCCACTCTCTAGCTGCGGTTAATCGCTACCACTTAGCGAAAATGGACCCCCGGCTGCTAGATTTTCCAGTATTTCAAGAGAAGCCAGGACTCTGGAGTTTTCCATGAAAATCCTTAATCTGTAAACTGTGAATAGGAGAGCTGGCCCAGGAGGGTCCTGGAAGTCTTGCCAGAAAGATCCATTAGTGGGGCGGTTGGCCTGCTGCCTCTACCAACCTGATGTTCACTGTTTTAATTTAGGGACTCTATCTGTAAATGTATCGCGTGCGATTTTAAAGGTAAAAATTGCCCTTGTGCTTTTTTTTTCTTTTATGCTAGGCCATTGGGAAGATTTTCTCTGGCCTCGCCCAGTGTGGGGCTTGGGGCTGCTTTGATGAGTTTAATCGAATCGATGCCTCTGTGCTGTCAGTCATCTCCTCTCAGATTCAGACGATCCGAAATGCTCTGATCCATCAGCTAACCACGTTCCAGGTGGGCGCGAGCATGCAGCCTGACCCGATCACATTCTCCGGGGTGGAAGCTTTGCCGTGTGACTTTAGAAACATCAGATGAAGATTTGACAGATTTTTGCTTTCAAATTGAGATGGTTGGGTTTCCCCAAAATTATCAGCCTCTTTGAGAATTAGGAACTGCAATATTCTAGAACTTTGAACGAATTCCAGTAGTAGAAGAAGTAGTAGCTACCGATGGGTAAGGCAGTGTTCTCAAGTAAGTGGTGGACAGAGCCCCCATTAAAGAAAAATATATTCTTGGTCACTTCCCAAGTTCGAGAAAAAAGCAGTCTTCAAGATTAATGGTCTGATCAAAATGTCTTTCAATAGATGTTATCACACAAACACAAAATTTTGCCTTCCTACCTCGTCAAGTTAGAGGATTTTTAAGGTTTGTTTGTTATCAAAACGAAAAGGCAGATGTGAAAAATTTTTGAGCATCCACCAATCTCTGCCCATCCAAGGATGCGTTTGTAGACCTGAGTTGGTAAGTCTGTATTAAGTTACAGCTGATGAGGCTGGATCAGAATTTGGAGAAACATGATCTTATTACATAATTTAGATAGCCCAGAAGTGGGTTCTCTGACCAAAGGGACCAGAGTGGCTGGGCCACGTCCCTGCACCGGGCCTCCTGGGATCCTAATGTGCTCCGCTGTTCCCCCTGTGACCCTGTGTTCCCAGCATTCTGTCATCCACATGCCACTCGCCCTGCAGACACACCAGGCTCTGTCACACCAAATGTGTTCCTGTCTGCCTGAAATTGTCCTTCCTTCCTTTGTGCCTGAAAACGCCTATATATTGTCTAGGGTCCTACAGAGCCTCATCAAGAAGTTCAGGGCACAAATTTGGCTTGGGCTGGTGAGGATTCACTTGTGGGTACTTCTGTGGCCCTGGCATCCCGCCTGCTTTTCTCCCAGATCTCAGTGAGGCTCACTGTCAAGAGATTATGTAAACTTGATCCTGTTAAACATTTTCAGGATTCCCATAAAGGCTTTGGATGCATTTTCTTTTAATTGGTTCTTCTGAAATATTTTAGGGCCAAGCTTACTGCTTCTGAGGGAGGGAAATTGAACCTGAAGTGCATTCAGGTTTGTAGAACCTGTGTGTTTTTTTTTTTAAGACTTTATTTATTTGTCAGAGAGAGAGAGCACAAGCAGAGGGAGTCAGAGGCAGAGGGAGAAGCGGGCTCCCTGCTGAGCAAGGAGACCAATGTGGGGCTCGATCCCAGAACCCTGGGATCATGACCTGAGCTGAAGGCAGATGCTTAACCGACTGAGCCACCCAGACATCCCTAGAAGCTGTTTTTTAAAGAGCAGGCCTGTCTGTCCAGAAGGCAATCTGGGCCCCACATGGATATCAGGGAGTGGGTGAGGGCGGTCTCAGCGTGGGCTTGGGAGACAAGACAGTGGCTTCCTTCCTCGGGGCCGCATTAGCTCCCGAGGCAATCTGTGCTTCATAAAAACACAGTTTTCTGTCTTTGTCTATGTGGTGGACCAGTGAAAGAAATAAAATAGTAAAATCTTAGAGAAAAAGTTGAAACAGGTGAAACTGGACCGGAGGCTAAAGAAACTCAAAGTATAGGGGCATCTGGGGCATCCCCAGACTGCACTCTTTGCCAGCTTCAGCCACTTCTCAAGTGTGCAGAGCCTGGATTCAGATCAGGGTTGGGGGGAGGTCAAGGCTTGCCGCCTAGAACACTCAGGTCATAAGCATGAGGACTCCATGTTTAATGCCTGGAAACGGAAGGGAGTCAAAGGGTGGCCTCTGCCTTATACCTGTGAAGACAGACGGTCCCGTGGCTCTCCCAGCCCCCTCTCCCCGGTGGTGGGCCTGCTGGCCTTGTAACCGTCTTCCTTTCCTATCATCCTCCAGTTTGAAGGGCAGGAGATCTCCCTGGACTCGAGAATGGGCATCTTCATCACCATGAACCCGGGCTACGCGGGCCGCACGGAGCTGCCGGAGTCGGTGAAGGCCCTCTTCAGGCCCGTGGTGGTGATCGCGCCTGACCTGCAGCAGATCTGCGAGATCATGCTCTTCTCGGAGGGCTTCCTCTGGGCCAAGGTGCGGCCTCGTTAGCGCCCGGCCCGGCCATCCCAGGAGCCTGGCTCCACTCTCAGACGGGGCACTTGGGAAGTTTGCATTCTGTGTGGCTTAGTTTGTTTGTTTGTTTGTTTTTTTGCTTTGCCTCTCTCCTCCTCCTGGTCTCTTTTTAAAATTGTAAGTCTTATTTTTGAGTAATTTGACTCACAAGAAGTGGCAAAAATAGGGGTGCCTGGATGGCTCAGTCGTTAAGCGTCTGCCTTCGGCTCAGGTCACGATCCCAGAGTCCTGGGATCGAGTCCCACATCGGGCTCCCTGCTCGGCGGGGAGCCTGCTTCTCCCTCTCCCATTCCCCCTGCTTGTGTTCCCTCTCTCGCTGTGTCTCTCTCTGTCAAATAAATAAATAAAATCTTAAAAAAAAAAAGTGGCAAAAATAGTGCAGAGTTCCACGTGGCCCTCCCCCAGTGAGGACATCTTATACCCCCTAAGGCAGGTTGTCAAAACCGGGGAAGTGACGAGGGCACAGTGCTGTTAGCTCAGGTATAGCCTTTACCCGGATTCCATCAGGCTTTACATCCTCTCTCTCTCTCTCTCTGGTATGTATGTAGAGTTCTAGAACATTTTGTCGCGTGTGTGGCATAACCACCTCCACACTCCCGATCCAGAGCTGGGCCATCACCACAAAGAAAGCCCCTCCTGTCATCCCCTGGTAACACACCCTCTGCCCGCGCTGACTCCTGGCAACCACCTGTCATTCTTTGTCGTGACAGTCGGTCGCTTCGAGAATGTTCTGTGCATGGAATCATACGTATGTAACCCTCTTTGATGGGCTTCTTTCACTTAGCCTCATGCCGTGAGAATAGGTGGCTTTTAAAACACGCAGGCGCACACAAACACACATGCACACAATCTCCTTTATCATCTTAGAAAATATGTATAGGGGCGCCTGGGTGGCTCAGTTGGTTAAGCGACTGCCTTCGGCTCAGGTCATGATCCTGGAGTCCCGGGATCGAGTCCCACATCAGGCTCCCTGCTCGGCAGGGAGTCTGCTTCTCCCTCTGACCCTCCTCCCTCTCATGCTCTCTGTCTCTCATTCTCTCTGTCTCAAGTAAATAAATAAAATCTTAAAAAAAAAAAAAAAAAAGAAAATATGTATAAAAAAGTATGCACCTGTATTTTCCCAGAAGCTTCTGGAAAATATGCAAAATAGCAAATATTTTCAACACAAAGGGTTGTGAGGTTTCTTTTGTGTAATTTTTTTTTAAAAAGGCTCTTACTGCTCGCATGTTGTCCGGATTTTGAACAGGAGTGTTGGGATCTCTGGTTCTTAGTCCCCACGCCATCCTTAGGGAGCAGCAGGCTTTGAATACTTGAGGTAGTCGTCTGCATCAGTGGCTACATCAGTAGTCTATGAGTGGCTGATTCGTCTTGAAAAATGAGTTACAGGAGAAGCTTTTTTTTTATAAAAAAGATTTTATTTATTTATTTGAGAGAGACTGAGAGCAAGAGAGAGAGAGAGCATGCGTGAGCAGGAGTTGAGGGGAGGGACAGAGGGAAAGGGAGAAGCAGACTCCCTACTGAGCAGGGAGCCCGATGCGGGGCTCAGTCCCAGGACCCCAGGATCATGACCTGAGCTGAAGGCAGTCGCTTAACCGACTGAGCCACCCAGGCGCCCCCAGGAGATTTAATAATATGTTCAGGTCCAAATAAACAGGAAGCATATCTTCAGAGTGTGATTGCTAGGATTTAAAAAGTTGGACGGGTTCTATTCTTTAAGCCAGTGAAGATCTTCCTCAGCTTTCAAAGACAGTCCTCAAAGTTTGGTAAGACCTGCATTCTCTGAAATTAGTGCCTAATTTGTCATCGTTGAAAACGAAGGCCCCACCCTAAGGTATTGCTCTAGGAGGCAGTGCTCCACCTGAACACCTTTATGTCCATTTTCTTTGTGGAATGGTGTTCTGTTGCTTTCGGGTCATTTTCTTTCTTTGCTTTTCATTGTCTTTGATCACAAAAGACCCTGGCCAAAAAGATGACCGTCCTTTATAAGCTGGCCCGGGAGCAACTCTCCAAGCAACATCACTATGATTTTGGACTGAGAGCCCTGAAGTCCGTGTTGGTAATGGCTGGAGAGCTGAAGAGAGGCTCTTCTGACCTTAGAGAGGTAGGGGGCCACGCATGCGGGCATCCTCCGGGGCTTCCTCCAGTTCTCCCGCACCGAACAAACACTGGGGTGAGAGGATGGGCTACAGTATGGTCCCCACTGGAAAGTTTTAGTCTTCGCTGTCACTTCATTTGGTTGCTGGCCTTAACTGAGTCTCTTATAATTTATTATTATTTTTTCTAATTTGACTAATTATCATAGGCCAAGTTGAAGGTCTTCACAGCACCAAAGTGTCTGCAGGAAGGTGGGGTGGAGGGGTGGGGACAAACCCCGTTCTCAGGAAGACATGAGCCTAAGTTTGCGGTGTTTTTTCTGCTTTGCAATAAAAGCATGAGACTTCCTCTAAAGCAGACATCAGCCATGGCTGTTTTGTGGGCAGCAGGCTCCCATGTTTCTCCAGCGACTACACTTGCAGTGCTGTAGGTCTTATATTTTATATACAGTTTCGTTTTATATTTCATAAGTGGATTTCTAGACTAGTCCCTGGGTCTTTCGGAAATATCTTTGAAGACGTCTCTTCCGTTCCATCCAGGATGTGGTGCTGATGAGGGCCCTTCGAGACATGAATCTGCCCAAGTTCGTATTTGAGGACGTCCCTCTTTTCCTTGGTTTGATTTCTGACCTGTTTCCTGGACTAGACTGCCCGCGCGTCCGCTACCCCGATTTTAACGATGCCGTGGAGCGGGTGCTGGAGGAGAGTGGCTACATTGTCCTACCTGTCCAGGTAAGTTGGTGTGCAAATGAGTCCACAGGCGGCATCTGGGTCCTTTCCATTTGAAAAAAATTAGATGTGGTAAAACACACCTAACATTTACCATCTTAAGCATTTCTCTCTCTCTCTCTCTTTTTTTTTTGTGGTGAAGTACCCATAACGAAAATTTTCATCTTACCCATTTTTCATACAGTTTAGCAGTGTTAAGTATATTAATATTGCTGTGAAACAGATCTCCACAACTTCTCCATCCTGCAAAACTGACACTCTGTCCCCATTAACCAACAACTCCGCATCCCCCTCCCTAGTCCCTGGCACCCACCCGTTCTGTCTCCATGAATCTGACTCCTCTGGGGACCTCATGTAAGTGGCATCTTGCGGCATGCATCCTTTCGTGACTGGCTTATTTCAGCATGTTCTCATGGCTCATCCATAGTGTGGCAGATATCAGAATCACCTTTCTTTTTGAGGCTGAGTCCTATTCCACGGTATGTACCTACCACCCTCCAGGTGTTTTTGGTATAATGTGATAAGTATTTCGTTTTGGGGTCCCACCATCTCGTGTTCTCTCCCCACCCCAAACTTTTTCTTTTTTCCAGAGTCACACTTACAAGAAAAATTAAATTAGATGTTACTGATAAGATTTTGATCGTCTGAAGTCTGTAAGGTTGTATATGTTGTCAGTAAGCCATAAATTATTGCCGGAGTGTTCTGCTGAGGGTGTAAATGCCTAAGGCTGCAGGACCAGAGTGGCCGCCTCTGGTCAGGCTGTCTCAGGGCGTCAGGCTCCCCAGAAGCCTCGGGCTGCGGCAGCAGGTACCAGCCACAGATGAGAGAGCTCTCTGCACCTTTCCTGACCCTGACGTTTTCTTCTGGATGTGGTTGTTTAGGAAGGGAATGTGAAATGGCGTAGCAGCTATGGAAAAATAGTCTAGCAGAGTCCCAAGACGTTAACGGTAGAGTTACCATATGCCCCAGAATCCCACTCCTGTGTACCTACCCAGGGGAAATGAAAACATAGGTCCATGTAAGAACTTTCACACAAATGTTCGTAGCACCATTATTCGTAAGAGCCCAGAAATAGAAACAATGCAGATGTTCACCCATGGATGAATAAACCTATCCACTGTGGATAGGTTCGTATTTATTGTGGATGCAATCTATCCACACAGTGGAATAGTACCCAGCCACAAAGAAGAAGTCAGTCCTGACCCACGCCGCAACGTGGATGGACCGTGAGAACATGCGAAGTGAGAGTAGCCAGACACGAAGGCCTGCATATACCGTGGGAGTGGTGTCAGCAGCTGGGGGGTGGGGATGAATGAATGCAGTTTTGGGGGTGATGAAAATGTTCTAAAATTGAATGTGGTAATGCTGCACATACTAAGACCCAATGAACTGCACACTTAAATGGGTGAATTGTGTGGTATGTGATTTATAACTCAACAAAGCTGTTTAAACAAAAAAAAAAAGATGTGTTTACTCCTGCCAATGGTTGCCCCACAGGTGGATAAAGTGGTTCAGATGTTCGAGACCATGTTAACCCGCCACACGACCATGGTGGTGGGGCCCACCGGAGGGGGCAAGTCCGTGGTCATTAATGCTCTGTGTCAGGCCCAGACCAAGTGAGTATGACCCCGAGGGGAGGGCCTGGTTGCCAGGGTGGTGTCCCGGTCAGGATGGTAGTGGTATCACCTAACCCCACTTTGCTTTCTCAATTCCTGGGAGGTAAAATTTGTCATAAAACACTGCCTTTTAAAAAATTTTTTATTTATTTATTTATTCAATGTATTTAGAGAGTTGGGGGAGGGGGGGACGGAATCTCAAGCAGACTCGTGCTGAGCGTGGACCCTGATGTGGGGCTCGATCTCACGACTCTGAGATCATGACCTGAACTGAAATCAAGTCAGATGCTTAACTGACTGAGCCACCCAGGTGCTGCAAACACTGCATTTTTTTAAAATTACAAAAGCAAAAAGTTCATTCATGTTTGAAACTACATATAGCTACCAAAAGAAGACATTTTTAATCCAGGTGTAATCCAGTTAGAAAGGAACACAAAACATTTTTAATGCATTGGACGTATGGCCACCAATTACTTTCATGACCCAATCATCTTCAGAATTGCATACAATACAAAAAGAGAGAAGAGGGGCACCCATTACACAGGGTCAATATTCAATCCTGAGTACTGAAATCTGAACACATCAGTGTCCTAAACACCATGTTAGACTCAGAGCGTCTCTACTTGTTTCATTGCTGATTTGCTAGTTTAGAAGGCAAAACAGTGACCCTTTCGTGCATCAGACTATGACTGGGTTTATCTGTGAGAGGAGTGTTTCACAAACAGCCTTATAAGGATATTTTGAAAATTAACTTAAGTTGTATTTTCTTGGTGTTCAGGTTGCTCCTTCCAAGTAAATCAGGACACTCACCATTATGCAATACTATTATGGTATCAGAGTGGCCAAAAACAGAGTGTCCTCTCTCCAAAGGCCTTATTATCGCCAGCCCAGTGGGAGCATTGCTGGTCCAAGGGAAAGGGACCTCACACTCCTAATACAGAATATTCTGAAGACCTGTAGTGAATGTAGTGCCTATCCTTATACTGAGTTGGTTCTTCTGACTTCTCACTTTTCTCTTAAGCAAGAACTAGCTTCCACAAAGACTTCATGCTAATATTCCAGCAAAAATCTAAATCAAGCCTTATAATCTTTGTGACTAACATTTCTAGATAGTCTATAAAGCTAATGAGTAAGTGTCATTTTTTTTTTTCTTATTTCTTCTTACGTTTCTTATGAGAAAACCAGTGGACAGTGGCTTACTGATTTTAAATGGGTGTGCCATAGCCATCCTGCCTTCTATTCTTTTTTTTAATATTTTACTTATTCACGAGAGACAGACAGAGGCAGAGGGAGAAGCAGGCTCCCTGCTAAGCAGGGAGCCTGATGTGGGCTCGATCCCAGGACCCTGAGATCATGACCTGAGCCAAAGGCAGATGCTTAACCCTGAGATCATGACCTGAGCCATCCAGGTACCCCTGCCTTTTATTCTTTAATTAATTCATCATAGGTAATTGATAGAACTTCATTTACATGTGTGTATTTACATGTCACCATTATTTTTATTTACTTATTTAGTTAATTATGAACTACTGTTTTTGTGTAGTCTGGTTTTCTGTAGATGAATTAATCCCATAATGTTACAGGAATTTATAGGCATTATGGTGGCAAATGCCCTGTCTACACGATTTATAAAGTCAGCAACACAGAGCAGATATCCTGTAAATATGAGGGATTGAACATTAGTAGTCCAAGGGTGTGTTATGTTGTCCTGGATGACTATTATCTCCTATAAGCTAATTAAGAAATATTTACATAAATTGTCATAGGCATGAACATATAACTTAGCCTCTCGATGCCCTCAAAAGGCAAAGCTGTGTTTTTAGTTCAGACCTTACTTGTGTTGGGGCCACATTTTCGGTGAAACATGGTTCCCTTGCATTTAGTGTAAGCCATTAACAGTAAGTGGGAAGCCCAGCGGAGAGTTTGTGTGGGTTGTGTTGTGTTTTATTTTACTTAAATTCGATTAGCCAACATATAGTAGTACATCATTAGTTTCAGATGTGTGGATTGCATTTTAATTCTGGATTGGATCTAAAACATCAAATCCCCACACAGGTGGCCCAGACTGTTTTCCTAATGCGTTTAGGCCACCTGGACCACAGCTGAAGCCTCTCCTTTGATTTAGGCTTGGGCTGATGACAAAGTTGTACATCCTGAATCCCAAAGCCATGAGTGTCATAGAGCTCTATGGCATCCTGGACCCCACTACCCGAGACTGGACAGATGGAGTGCTGTCAAACATCTTCAGGGAGATCAACAGGCCAACAGATAAGAAGGAGCGAAAGTGAGTACCTTTGTGAGTAGGAGAGAGCCTGGGTTAGTTCATGTTAATTATCTAAATGTTACGGGTAAAAAAGACAATGTACGGTATTGCAGTTTCATGCATGGATGCCCACAGACCTAGAGTCAGATGTTGAGGGCCCTGTTCACAAAGTACCGGGTGGGATCTTAGTTCTCTATGTGTTATCTCTGTCTCCTTGACTGTGAGGATACTCTCCCCTCTGTAAGGGTACTTGTCATTGGAGAAGGCCCCACCTGGATAATCTAAGATGCTGTCATCTTGAGATCTTTAATTACATCAGCAAAGACCCCCCTGTCCCCCCAAATAAGGTCTCATCACAAGTTCTGGATGGACATATCTTTTGGGGGCCACCATTCAACCCATTGCACATGGGTATATAAAATATTTCCCTTTTCTCTTAACCTTACCATGAGAAAACTTGGTGTAAAAACCAGTGATAAATAGCCATTGCTATTCAGTCTCAGTTTCAAGAAAAAAATGAGATCGTGGTACTGTCTGTCTCCATGGACAGCTGCTACTGAGCTTCTGCAGATTGTTCCTATGCCAGAATGCAGGTCTGTGTTGTCAGCCCTCCAGTCTGCAAGAGAAGCAAGACATCCAGATTTTTGTGTGAAGTTTCTTAATTCTTAATTTCTCAATTCAATGTTGCTGACTGACTCAAACAGTTTTTGTAAGATTATTTATTTGAGGGAGAGAGAGTGCACGAGTGGAGGGGCAGAGGGAGAGAATCTCCAAGCATAGTCCCTGCTGAGCACCGAGCCCGAAGTGGGACCTGAGCCCATGACCCATGAGATCATGACCTGAGCAGAACCTAAAAGTTGGACGCTCAACTGAACAAGCCACACAGGGGCCTGGACTCAATTTTTATGTTGTTGTTGTTGTTTTTCCATTTGATTTTATGCGTCAAAGCTCTGGACCAAGTTGGGTGCTCTGTCACAGGTCCTGGGACAAAACTCCAGGAAAAAGACATCAGCATGAATGGGGAGGTTCATGAACTTTACATAAAGCAAAGGCTTTTAAACATGCAGTCTAGTTGTTTATAGCTGTAGACATGACTGGTTTTCTTTATTTCTCCAGGTTGGAGATTTACAGTATGCCTCTTCCAAAGCTTGGCTTACTTTTCTTTGCTACAGGTATATTTTATTTGATGGTGATGTAGATGCTCTGTGGGTGGAAAACATGAATTCTGTGATGGATGACAACAAACTGTTGACGTTGGCCAATGGTGAGCGCATTCGGCTTCAAGCACACTGTGCTCTGCTCTTTGAGGCAAGTAGTGATGAAAAATAAATTTTAATATGTCTTTTAATTAAAAATTTAAATGTTCATTAAATTGGTAGTAAATATAGATGACTAAAGAAAACCCAAACAATGCAGAAGAGTTTTTATGATGAGTACAACTCAGTACTCCCCCTACTCCTCTTATCCCTCTTTATTGAATCCCAGAAGTAACTACTTTTCACTCTTGCATTACTTCTGATCATTATCCTAGTTTCAGTAAATAACACACTTAGCATGCTGTTCCTTCCTTCCAGTCTATGCTATGACTGCTATGAGAGTTCATCTCTCATGCCACTAGCTTACTCCCCTCCTCAGAATACTATATTGCTAAATCAGTTAAATCAGTAAACAGTATTTGCATTATTATGTATATGGAAATATTTACTGTAGAGCCAACTAGTATACTGTTATTTTTACTTTCTTTTAGAGTCTTTTTTTAAAATCTGGAGTTTGTAGTTGCCTTCTTTTTTCTCTCACACTATTTGCCTTTACCTTTTCTTCATTTGTTTGAAATTTTCAAACTTTTTATCGTATCTTTTGAACCTGTTTCACAGTGGTGGCCCTGAGACTTGCTTTCACTTTGGCTTAGTGTCAATGCTGTTTTTAACTTGGCCTGCAAAATTTGTCGATGCATGAATATTTGTGCATATCATTCTTATTGGTTGACTGAACTGTGTTTTTTCATAGAGAGATAAGTGTGTTATATTTATAGTTTAGGTGCATACATATTAAGTTTTATACTACCCAATCTCAACTATGTTTTAAAAAAGTGAAGAAAAAAGACTGAGAGGAAAATACTCCAAAACAATGTTTGTTTCTTGGTGTTGGGATTTTGGATAACTTATTTTCTCCTCTATAGTTTTCTATTTTTGTCAGGTAGTCTAAAGTATATTAATTTTCACGTTAATTTATAGGTAAAGAAAACTTAAAAAGGTGCTACATCAGAATGTATAATCTTCCCATGATAAACTTAAGTGTTCAGTTAGAAGCCTCATGAAAGCTGTGTTAATCTGGGTATGACATGGGTTTTATGCAGTTGAAAAAACTTTACATAAAGCAAAGGCTTTTAAACATGCAGTCTAGTTGTTTATAGCTGTAGACATGACTGGTTTTCTTTATTTCTCCAGGTTGGAGATTTACAGTATGCCTCTCCTGCAACTGTGTCTCGATGTGGAATGGTTTATGTGGATCCTAAAAACTTGAAATATCAACCATTCTGGAAAAAATGGGTTAATGAAATACAGAACAAGGTGGAAATTATTTCTAAAATGAACTTAAAAGTTATTAGTACTAGTGGTTAGTTGGATAAACATAATCCAGAGGGATGTTTGTAGTTAAAGCCATGACCTTGACCTTGATCTGTTTATGATCTTAAGCACTTAGTGTTATTAATAAATTGGATGAAAACATGGAAGATACACTTAGGAGATTTCCAGATAATTCCATAACTGATGGGATAGGTAATGATTTTGATAATATAGATCAGGGGCTGATAATTTTTTCCGTAAAGGGATAGAGAATAAATATTTTAAGGTCTGTGGGCCATATGGTTTCTTTTGCAACTACTGAACTATGCCATTGTGGCCTGAAAGCAGCCACTGTAGGTGAATGGGCATATCTATGTACCAATAAAACTTTATTTACATAAACAGGTGGTGGGCCAGATTTGGCTTGCGGGTTGTAGTTGGCAAATCCTGGTCCAGCCAGGCCCAGCTATTAAGAGACTTGTCTCTAGAGGGGCTGGGCCCAGCTTTTACTTAATTGGATGAATGTTGTATGTGAAGGACCTAGCTTGTCATGTAATTGAGTTCTGATGGTTTTAGTTAACTTCAAACTCTGTCATGTGTCACGTGACTGCTAAAACCTGTATCATTGTACAAAAGGCTTCATTAAAAAGTGCAGAGTGGGAGCCTGGGTGGCTCAGTCAAGCGTCTGCCTTTGGCTCAGGTCATGATCCCAGGGTCCTGGGATCGAGCCTCACATCAGGCTCCCTGCTCAGTGGGGAGTCTCTTTCTCCCTCTGTCCCTCCCCCTGCTTGTGCTCTTGTTCTTTCTCTCTCAGATAAATAAAAAAAAAATCTTAAAAAAAAAAAAAGTGCAGAGATAGGTGTGACAGTCATGTGAAGGTTGTGAGGCCCACACACATGTGAAGATTTGACCACACCCAGGACACCATGACCATATTCTCAAAGTATCGCTAGAAGGACCATTAGGCTGATGGTGAATTGGAAACCGGGACATAATTATCCCACAGAAGAGAAGACCAAGGGGAGCATGATAGGACCATGGGAGGCATTGCTGTAAGGGAGAGAGGGCTGTCTAATGGCCCATGCAATCTCTGGTGGTCCTCAATGCCTTGATAGGGAGAGGGGCCTTCTGCTGCTTTGCACTCTCTGCAAGATGACTATGGCCATGTAACTTGAATTCAAAGATAATCAGCCCCATTGCTGTCAAATGGGATCTGCTTTCCTCCCTCCCTCCCCGGTGGTGGGGTAGACTCTATGGCAGTGAAATGAAATGCTTCACGATGAAAGTGCACTATAGGGGACAAATCTCTACAAATATAAGGCACTATTACCAGAGTTTACTCACCTGTCAAATTTATCATTCATCAGAAGACCTTTCTCATCCCTCTTTTGCCAAGATAAGCTTTCCACTAGCTTCCATTTAAATAAAGGAATCCTTGAAAATGCATTGGAATTCTGCTCTTTTATAGGTAGAGCAGGGCAATTTAGAGAGTCTCTTTGAGAAATACGTGCCCTATCTCATCGATGTGATAGTAGAAGGGATAGTGGATGGAAGACAAGGCGAGAAGCTGAAGACAATAGTCCCTCAGACAGACCTAAATATGGTAAGAAACTATCTCTGTTAGCAAAGAGAAATTCTTCCCTAAAGGTGGACCCACGGTCCAGGGGAAGCAGAGATGCTAGGGGGGTGAACTGTAACATTGCAGGTTACTGACAAGGAAGACACAGCTCTTCCTTCAGGGACCCTGTGCAGGACAAGATGCCAGGCTCCATCTGATTGAACCAATATGGTGGGTCATAAGTTCCCATCACTCTGGGACCTGGGATCCCAGGATTTAGGACCAGAACTGACCCTGGGGTGGGGGGAGTACAATATATGGGCTGATCGGGGATTTTCCTGTGCACTAGGTAACCCAGTTAACCAAGATGTTGGATGCACTACTAGAAGGAGAAATAGAGGACCCCGACCTTCTGGAGTGCTATTTCTTAGAGGCTCTGTACTGTTCTCTGGGCGCTTCTCTGCTCGAGGATGGAAGGATTAAATTTGATGAATGTATTAAACGACTTGCTTCTTTGCCTTCTGCCGATACGGAAGGAGAATGGGCCAATCCCGGGGAATTGCCAAGTAAGAACTGAATGCAACCTGTTTTCCTGCTCAGAATGCTTTTGGGGAGGTTTTTAGAGGAAGTGACCTTGCTTTTCCACGTGTTTGCCTGTATGGGTTTTGCAGCTCGTTTGCTTCTGTGGACAAACATGCAATGGTCAGAGCCCCTGGTGTATCCTCAGAAGTTCTGATGCATGAGCTGGAGCCCCGGTGGCTTTTCATGTTGACTAAACTTTTTTCCTCTGAGGCTAGGCACTTGCTGCCTTCCCTTTGTTTAAGTTTTTAAAATTTGTCACACTTTGCCTGACTTTGAGTTTCTTCTCCTTTGGACTTATCTTTTTTTTTTTTTTTAAACCGCCTCTCTAAATTTCCACGACTTAATTCAGCTGCTGTCTTCCCAAGTATTTGAACAGAAGGTGATCAAGTGAGGATCGGTAGGTCATTCCTAGGAGATCCTCATATTAAAGTTTTAGGTTTGTGAAAAAATGCGCATGCTCCAAGAACTATATTTGGTGAAAGCATGCCTTTTTCAAGAACTATACATAACACTAGGATCCGTCTTTGTCTGTTTCTTGATGATATTTGAATATGACTTGGCCCGTAGACATCTTTCCAAGTCGTAGTCTATCCTCATTACCTCGGGTGTTCTTTTGAACGCATAGAGTAAAATGGTCTCAGGTCTTTCTAATGGAGACCACTGAGCAAATTAAAGATGTTTTTCAAGTCCCCGCCCTCTTGGGTGGCAGTTTGCTCAGACTTTCCCAGCTCGGCAAGCCTCCTTTGGGTGAGTGCTTCCCAACTCTGCATGCCACGCGGGCTTCGTGTGGCAGTCATCAGCAAGCCCCTCACTCGGGGGCCCTAGTGTGCTCTCGTTTTGGGGACCTGAGTGGCCCTGTGGACACCTCATTTCCAGATGCCTTCTGCCCTCAACCCCAGCAATGGGTCCCCTGACCTCATTCATGCTAGCTCAAAACACCCGGCACTGTGTCTGCATCGTCTATGTATATTGGCCTCCGTGACTCCAGCCATACCTGTCCATCTGGGCCTCGCGGGGACTGCCACCCACCTCTCTTCTTGTCCCCTCTCTAGCCCAACCCTGTGCTCCTTGCTTTTCTCTTCGCGTCCTTCACTGTTGGTCTATTACCCTCTCTTGTCCCAACCCCTGGCCCCCTTGCCCTGTTGTCCTTTCTGAAATCCCCGTGAGGAGCCCTGAATCTGTCTTCTGTGCTTCTCCAGGGCTGAGTGACACAGAAAACCACGAATTCAGACTGCTGCCTCCGTAAATGGAGTCTCGGCCTTGAACTCTCCCGTCCTCACGGGTAGCCTCCCTTTCTTCCCCCCAGACCACCTGACCCTCTCCCCTCGCTCTGCAGAAGATCGTTCTTGCTTCCACAGGAAAAATGGAAGGCATCAGATTCCCCCAGACTTGTTCCGCTCCCCATCTCCCTGCTCAGGGAGGAGGTGGCCCCGGCCACAGAGGCTGCCCTGCACTTTGGGGCTTGCCCTCCTGCTGCTCAGGGGCCCGCTTCCTCGCTGGGCTCCTCTTGAGCTATCTCTCCCGTCTCTCCCCTACTGACCCCATCCCAGCCACTCCTGGACCTGCTCAGGTGACACCTTCCTAATCCTGTCTCCTTCTAGAGACGTCTCTCTGCCTCTTTCCTTTTAAGGCCATGCATCCTTCAAAGGCTGGCTGCAAGCTCTGTCCTCTCATCCCTCTCGCTTCTCAACCCACAGCCACCACCTCCTCGCCCCACAGCTGAAATGTGCTTCCAGCAAGCATCCCCCCTGCCCTCTCTGCCAGAGCCCATGGGCCTTCTTGCCCTCGCTGTCCTGACCTTGCCCCAGCGTCCAGTGCGGCTGACCACGCCCTGCCCTCTTGAAATGTTCTTCCTCTGCCCTGCGGGCCACTCCTGCCCGTCTCCTTCCTCCGCCCCTTCCTCACATTGGGGTTCAGTCCTCCAGCCTCCTTTTGTGCTTCATGTCCTCACGGAGTGCTGGCCATGTGCCCACATCTTCTGACTGCCAGTCTCCTTCCCTTCTGTGCCTTCTCCTGGTTCCCTAACTCAGTTCTGTTGAAATCTGTCTATGATCATCATCTATCAATCACCTGTCTGCCTGCCTTGCACACTGGTGACCTTGATACTTTTTCCCCCACAACCTGTCATTTCTGTCACCCCCACCCCTGCCATCTCTCGTGAGCTCCTGTCACCTGTGCCCCGGGCAAGGCAGGGGCCTCACGAACAGATCTCCCAGTCTCTCCTTACCTCCTCCAGATGTGTTTCCCTCTACAGTCCTACTGGTCATTGCATATGCAGATCTGACCACATCTCCCCCAAGAGGCTAATGTCAGTGGCTCCCCAGGACCCACAGGGTGGAGAACCAGCATCTGGAATGGTCAACCGGGTTCTTCATGCAACAGCCCTGCGGCCCTTCTAGCTTGACTTCGCCTGCTCCCTCTTGCACTACCCACTCACTCCTTTCTTTTCCTCCAGCCACCAGCCATGCTCTCTTCTCCCTCTGACAGAGCCTCCCGGTGGCCCCCAGGGCTCTCAGCTCAGGACTGCCCACCTTTCAGGTCTCAGATTGGATGGCATTTCCTTTGGGAAAGGTTCCCCCAGTGCTAGCTGTAAGAGTTGGCATTGCTGGGGCCTACGGGGGCCCCAGAAGTCTGTCTGGGAGGAGGTGCCCGAGGGAGATTTCCTTAGAGCTGAGTTTGCAGAGCACCCTGTGAGTGGTGTTCAGGTACAAAGAGGTTTGTGCTCTGGGGAGGCCCGGGGCATCCCATGCTCCCTGTGGCACCCGGTGCTGCCCCTTCCTGGTTAGACGCCCTCACGCGGTGCCCGTGCACCTGGGCTTGCCCTGTAGCAGAACATAGCACCACCCACCGCGGGCCCACCAACACCTGGCAGCCTAGGGACCGGGCCTGTCTGCCTCTCTCTCGTGTTCTCAGGGAAGGGACTCAGCGGCTCTCCGCCCAGTGGACGGGAACGTTCATTGGGATACTCAGTTAAGTTGCCGTCCAGGGAACAGGGAGCATTAGCTCAACTCTATCATGTGCCAAAGCTGATTCTGAAGTTCCAGGTCTAGGACTGAAGTGAAATCAGGCCACTGTTTACCGCAGGTCACCTTCCAACCTTGTATGACTTTCATTTTGATTCCACGCGGAAGAAATGGATACCGTGGAATCAATTAGTTCCTGACTATGTGCACAGCCCCAAGAGGAAATTCATCGACATCCTGGGTAAGTGAGAAGCAAACCCCGTTCTTGGTTTAACCGCGTGGGGCTCTCGTTCCGTGAGGCAGGAGCACGGGTCCGGTGGCCTCTGTGGCCCTCCCAAGGCCCACTCAGTGTGCGGGCTGGCCCCGGAAGGAATGAAGGACGAGAGAAAGAGGAACGAGCGAGGTTGCAGCGTGCAACCTCGGGGTTGCGTGCCGTGGATGTTTCTGTGTCGAGCTGTATTTTGAATGCGCCCCTCTGGCTATTTAGGTAATAGTGGCTGATAGAGGGAGACGTACCCAGTTCCTCAGGAGCCGGTCAGGATTAAAAACGACCAGTGGGTAGGACTGAGCCAGACCCGGCTTCATCTTCGGAGCAAGTCGTTGGTCAGGAAACCAGGCCCTGCAGAGAGGTGACTGATGTAAGCCACGGAGACGCTGAGTTTTTAATATCCTGATATCCAGCAGAACTGGATATCAAAAACCCATTTGGGTATTCTAAATCTGGCTGTGGCAGTGATAGGAATGTGTCCAACTCACCAAACTAGACCCTTGACGTGGGTGGATTTCATGGTGTGTAGGTTATATCTCCGTAAAGCTATTAAAGATAAATGGTTGGGGTAAGGAGATTCTCCTAAGCAGATCGCACCCACCCGTGCGTTTTCAAGGTCACATCTTGGGTTTTCGCTGATGCTTTTTGTGGGTTGTTTGGGATTCCGTGGAGCTCTGTGTTGCCACCTGCCCATCCGCTGGCGTTTCCGGGATGCTCCCATGCCTAACATGTTCCTCAGTTCATACAGTGGATACAACACGCATGACGTGGATGCTGGAACAGATGGTCAAGATCAAGCAGCCTGTTATTTTGGTCGGTGAATCTGGCACCTCCAAGACAGCCACTACCCAGAACTTCCTCAAAAATCTGAATGAAGAGATCAATGTAAGTCATTGTACTCATTTGTTACCTACGGCTGTGTAACAAACAACCCCAACGTGTAGCAAGTGCAACCGACGCTCCGTATCTCACCGTTTCTGTGGGTCAGGAATCTCGGAGTGGCTCCGCTGGGTGGTTTGAGCTCAGACTCTCTGCTGAGATCACTGGCCAGCCGTTGGCCGAGGCTGTAGTCATGTGAAGGCCTGACGGGGGCCGGAGGGCCCTCTTCCAAGATGGCAGGCCTCAGTTTCCCCACTGTGTAGACCTTTCCAAGGGCTGCTGGATGGCCTCTTGATGGGGCCGCTGGCTTCTGCCAGAGCCAGTGTCCAAGACGGATGGCAAATCAGATACTGCACTGTCTTTGATGACCTAGGAAATCACCTACCTTCACTTCTGCCACCTTCTGTGGGTCACACAGAGATCACGGTGAATCACCTTGATAGAGTGTGGGAGGGGCCTATGCAGGTGAATACCTGGAGGTGAAGATGAGTGGGGGTCATCTTAGAGGCTGGCCGTCGCATTACTCATCACCATTTTGTGGTTTTTGCCTTCCTCCAGCCCTGTGTTATACGTGGGAGGGTCTGACCGTGTCTGTGCCACAGGGGCAGGCAACAGCCAACTTGCAGTCAGATCTGGAGAGACTCATAGTCAGTGGGGGAGAACCCCTGAAACACGAGAGTGCAGAATGTGCCAGGGCACCACCAAATGTTAGGAACAAGGAGGGTAGTTCTCCTTTCTAGACTTAGAGTTGCCCTACGTGGGCTGCCTGCTCATCATTTCAACTGCCCTGGCTTTAAACAATTTTTATTTAGTGTTTTAATAACTGAGGAAAGACTCTCTCTCCTCCAAGGAGCTGCTTGTGAGTTTCAGGATATCCAGCTCATATGTACTTGCCCCAGATCCACTCTGACTCAGGTTTTTGTTAATATTCACTCATCATTTCTGGAACCTCCTTCTGGAACCTCCAAGGGGAGCAAAGTTTCCTTCAGCTTTCCTCCCTGACTCTCTTACTTAGGCTTGTTCCCAGGAAACCAGAGGGCCCTCTGGGGCAGGGAGTGGGCAGCCGGGCTCTGTGCGATGGGCGTCGTGTGATGTGGGCAGGACTGGGCCGACCTGCCTGTGAGTGCTCAAGCCCACTCACACACCGGCGCATGAAAACATGGTTTACTTAGCTCTCAGGATGTCATTGTGGAGGGCACAGGCGGGAGGTTTCCAGCCCGAGGGACCTGCACGTTTGTGGAGTCAGGCAAACAATAGTGACATTCAGAAACCCCCACCACGATGCCCTTTCCCCTGGGATTCAGCAGCCAATGCTTCTCGGCCCAACAGGCACATCTGATCACATTCATTATAACGAGATGCACATTCGCCTTTGCCACGTTCAGCTCCTGTGCACCTGCCCCTGTGGGCCCCTTAGAGGGCAGGGTGATCTACAGCAGTGGTTCTCAAAGGGTGGTCCCTCGGCCAGGAGTATTGCCTGAAAACTTGCTTACACTGTCCTAGACCTATTGAATTGGAAACTCTGAGGATGGGGCCCTTGGGGCTGCGTCGCACCAAGCCCTCCAGGTGACCCGGGGCATAATTAAGTCTGAGAACCACTGACCAATGAACTCTCACTGCTCTAAGAAGCACAGTGAGAGGCCTGGGTACGTCCCGTGTGTGAGGATGTGCACTCCACACAGGGATCCGGGGGCCTCCCTCACCTTTCTCTCAGCAGCTAGTTCTAAAGATGCTCTCTCAGACCTATTTATTAAGATGCAGCAGGCACGCTAGTCACTTATGGTTGAATACTACTTTGTCATATTGCAAACACCTCTGTGGATTTCATTTCCTGTGATTAAATCACCCTATGAAGTAGTCCAAGCAGATGCTTTATAATCGTCTTACAGATGAGAAAAATGAAGCTCTAAAAGGTTGAACCTCTCTTTGGATGTCCCCTAGCCAGAACTGGGCAGAACTAAGATCCCCCCCTACCCAGTCCCCATTGTGCCCAAGTCCCATGTGCTGCCACTCATTATTGCCCTGTATCACCTGCCAAAAGGAAAGAATGGAGGACAGACACATGTTGGGTTATAAAAAAGTTCAGATACTAGTGAATTTCCAAAATTGATGGTAGCTCATGGTCCAGCATTTCCCTCTGGTACTGTGAAGACACGACCACCTTCTGGAATGATCCTTCTCTGTTGCAGATTGTGTTAATTGTCAACTTCTCCTCCCGCACCACATCAATGGATATCCAAAGAAATTTGGAAGCAAATGTGGAAAAACGAACCAAAGACACGTATGGCCCACCCATGGGAAAACGCCTCCTGGTGTTCATGGACGACATGAATATGCCAAAGGTAGCCTTAGGTTGTGGAGCAGGGAGCGGTGGCCAAGGCTGTGTTCTTGTGTTTGTGTTGCGTATGTGTATGGAGTCTGGGAGTGTGAGAACACATGTCTTCATTCTTCGTAACACCTGCAGGGTGCTGGTTATGGGGAGCCAGCTCAGGAGACAACGTTACCGGAATGCTCTTCTTACGCAGAGGGACTTTTGCTTACTGATGGCTTTCCTTGCTTTCTTAAAGGAGTAAAGTAAGCAGCAGGCAGCCTCCAAACTCTTTACAGCATGTGGTTGAGTAAGTGATTTCCAATGCGCTTAGATGATAATATTGTTCTCAGTCCCACATACTTGGGAAGCATACGGCAGACACTTCCCAAGGATTCCTCTGGATTTACCAAGGAAGAGAAACTTCAGCATGCATGAGGAGAGTGTTTCTGGGGCCAGAGCCTGAGTGGTGTGAATCTATCTTAGTACTGAAATTTAAGTTTATGTAATTCCTGCAGCATGTTTTTTTCCTCTGAAAATCTATCTTCCACATAGACTGTGTGCAGAGCCAGGATCCATCCATCCATCCATCCAACCATCCATCCTTCCATTTATCTATCCATTCATCTATCCACACACTCATCCATCTGTTCATGCACCTGTTCATCTATCCATGCACACACCCATACACCTTTTTATCCATCCATGCATACATCCAGTTAACATATATTTATTGAGCACCTCTTATGGGTCTGGTGCTGAGCAGTGATGAACAAAACATAAGTAGTCCCTGCTCTCATGGAGCTTATGAGACGGATTTTAAAAAATTACAAATGAATATATAGCCGCAAACCTTGAGAAGCCCTGTGGAACGAAAACCACGGTGCTCAGAGAGTAAGAGAAGAGACAAGAATTAGTTCAGATGGTCAGCAAAGGCATCCCTGAGTTCTCTTTTACGGTACTACTGTTATCTCTTTTCTTTAAAAACTAAATCAAGGTGGATGAATATGGCACACAACAGCCAGTCGCCTTGCTGAAGCTGCTGTTGGAAAGAGGCTACTTATATGACCGTGGGAAGGAGCTGAACTGTAAAAGCATTCGGGACCTTGGCTTTATTGCTGCGATGGGAAAAGCTGGAGGAGGCCGCAATGAAGTTGATCCGAGATTTATTTCACTGTTCAATGTCTTCAATGTACCATTTCCTTCAGAGGAGTCTTTGCATTTAATTTATTCCTCCATCCTGAAAGGCCACACCTCGGTAACTTGCTTTTAGTTAGCTGTCTAAACTAGAGGGCCTTGTGTTGGGGAGAAGTCAACTTAGGCATTAGGCACAGAAGGCACGAGGCCCACGGTCCTTTTGGGGGGGTCCATGAAAATGTTCTGATTCCTTTCAAAACCAGAAGAAAAAAATGAATATAGTCTAGCCTGGATTATATTCATCTTTATACCAGTACAGTCGTAAAAAATAAAGTAATATATTTTTATGGTGGAAGAGGCCCAGAAGGCAAGAGTGTCTTGGGTCCACAGAAGTCATGATGTGGCCCTGAGCTGCATGTGCCACATCGAGTTGCAGCAGTGACTCAACTAGGGGACCAGGACCGGGAATCAGACCCCATTCTGCTCCCTGGGCACGTTCCTTGAGCTCTCCTAGACCTGGTTCTCATCTGGAAAGGGGATAATGATGGTATCCACGTCACTGAGTTTCTGGGAGCATGAAAGGAGAAAAATGCACGTGAAATGTGCGGCACAGTGTCTAGGACATAGCAGATACTCATTAGATACTAGTTACTGCTCTCAGTATGATGATTTAACTTGGCCACCACCTCCTGCAAAATGGAACCCATTCATTTAAACGATGACCTTTTGGTCCTGGCATTTCCCTCCTACAGTGAGGTCTGTGCACACAAAGTCTTCAGGGGCAGGAAAGATAAAGGCGTGGAATGGTGAGGTGTGATCGGTAGGAACTGGGGGCACCTGGGATGTTCACGCCTTACCTTAAACTATTCACTTTCAAAACTGGGAGGTCTGCACTAGTCAAATGCAAACCAAAGGCTGCTTTGGGTTTTGGTTTCACATCATGTTGACTTGCCAGTTAATGTGAAAATTTAGGGAAACAAAGCAAATCAGATGATAAGTTTCTTTGACCTTTTAATTTTTTTCTTTTTTTTTTTTAAGAGAGCGAGAGAAGAATGGGGGGTGGTGGGAGGGGCAGAGGGAGAGAGAATCTTAAGGAGGCTCCATGCTCAGTGCAGAGTCTGACGCAGGGCTTGATTTCACGACCCTGAGATCATGAACTGAGCCGAAATTGAGTCAGATGCTCAACCAACTGAGCCACGGAGGCGCCCCTACATATCTCCTCTTTAAAAATTATGGTAAAATTCACATGGTGTAGAATTAGTTATTTTAACCATTTTAAAGTACACAGTTTGGGGCGCCTGGGTGGCTCAGTCATTAAGCGTCTGCCTTCGGCTCAGATCATGATCTCAGGGTCTTGGGATCGAGCCCCACATTGGGCTCCCTGCTCGGCAGGAAGCCTGCTTCTCCCTTTCCCACTCCCCCTGCTTGTGTTCCCTCTCTCTGTGTGTCTTTCTCTGTCAAATAAATAAATAAAATATTTAAAAATAAAGTATGCAGTTTATTGGTATTGAGTACATTCACAATGTTGTACAACCATCACCACTATCTAATTCCAAAATATCTTTGTCACCCCAAAAGCGGTCACACTATCTCATCCTTCAGCCCCTGGCAATTGCTAATCTGCATTCTGTCTCTGTGGATTTCCCTCTTCTGGACATTTCATATAAACGAAATCATATACTATGTGGTCTTCTGTGACTGGCCTCTTTCATTAGCCTTATGTTTTCAAGGTTCATCCGTGTGGTAGTTTATGTGTTAATACTTTGCTCCTTGATATGGCCAAATAATATGCTGCTGTATGGATAGACCACATTGGCTTATCCATTCATCCATTGATAGACACTTCATTTTTTTAGGTGTTTCATGAAAGCATCATGGCTGTGAGTGACAAGCTGACTTTCTGCACATTGGCGCTTTACAAAACCATTGTTCAGGACCTGCCTCCCACTCCATCTAAGTTCCATTACATCTTTAATCTTCGGGATCTCTCGAGAGTTTTTAATGGTTTTGTCCTCACGAATCCAGAGCGGTGAGTTTGTTTTGTCTCACTAACATGTGGCCCATTGGTATGATGATGCTTTTTCTTACTTTTTTATGACAGAGGACTTGTCAATGAACTTGATGAATCAATGTATCCCTTATTCACCCACTTTTTGTTTGTTAAGAGAAGAGTTAAATGCATGGTTAGGGCCTGATGACTTATAAGCCCTTGACTTAAAGACAGGTGGAATCAAGAAAGGCAGATGTGTGGACACGTGGACAAGTGGATTTAGCCCTTCCGTGGGACTGCTCTACTGATCATTTGTTCCTAGTTCTAAAATTGCCTTTTGCTCAGGCACTGAATTGTTTGCAGTTGCTAATTGGTTACATTATGTGTGTCTTTGGGAGAAGGAAGCACAGGGGACAGAAAGGATTTAAGTCTGGGTATAGACATTTTCTTGTTAAAGCTAGACTTGTGTATTTATGTTAATGTATACTTTATGCGGATTTGCAAGCATAGTCCGATTTTGTGGATTCACGTTGAGTCCACAAAATTTTGAAAAGTGAGTTAGTTGAGGGCTTTCCACGTACCCAAACTTATTCTCAGGTACCCTTGAAGGGTTTGGAATGATAGTTCAGGAGAAGACAGCTCCAGGTATATAGCAGGGGGTGAGGGCTCTTTGTCAGAAACCAGAGAAAATTCTGGAACTGGGGCCAGATGGAGCTGGTTCTTAAGCGGCCAGTGGCCTTGATGCTGATTTTAAATCCATATATCCCAGCAAATAGGAGCCGGGTCAGGTATACATTTTATGTCACTTATGTCATTTACAGATAATGTTCTTTTTCTTCCTGACCAGAGGATAAATTGTAGATGGTGATTTTATGGTCTTTACACTTAATTTGTTAGTTTCCTTTAAATTTCATTAATGTGAGACCAGGGGGAGAAAAGGACTATAGAGAAGTTGTCCTTTTCTGTGCCCTGTGTATCCATCTGAAAATAGTGGCATGTGGCGCCTCTCTCTCTAGATGACTTCGAGACTGATTTTGCCCCTTCCATCATGTAGGTTCCAGACAGTGACCCAGATGGTGAGAGTCTGGAGAAACGAGTGTCTGAGGGTCTTCCACGACCGATTAATCAATGAAACAGACAAGCAACTGGTCAGTACCTCAAAATAGACCAGCAAATTCAACTCTGGGTGAAATAAACAAGTGTAGTAACCCCCCTCTCCCACCATGTATTTTTTTTTATATAGTTCACCAATGGAGAAAAATATACTAACAACAGAAGTTGACGGATAAAGGAGGGTGGGTTATTAAGTACCTTGTAGCAACTGGAAAAAAGGAATTACCTCAGATAATCTTAGCGTATGTTCTTTTTCTGACAAGTTTTAGCACATCTATGTTGTTGAGTCTGGGTCCTTAAGTGGTTTTCTGTCGAAAGGTGCAAGACCACATAAGAGACTTAGTTATGGAACATTTTAACGATGATGTGGAGGTGGTGATGCGGGATCCCATCCTGTTTGGAGACTTCCGGATGGCCTTGCAGGAAGAGGAAACACGCATTTATGAAGACATCCAGGATTATGAGGCAGCCAAGGCTTTGTTTCAGGTGTGGATGGGGGTGATCTTCTCCATGCGCTCACGTTTCCTGGGAGCGCTTCTCAGGGGAACCAAGCACTGCACGGGTACTCAGGAGGCAGAGCTGAGAAGAATACCCATGACGCTGTCTCAAGGTTCAGAATGTAGGCTCGTGTCCAGTCCGGTGATCACCACGTCCGGCGGTGCACGGAATGACCTGAGGAATGTGTTAAATGCACGGGCCCCTGGCCTCGCCCTTCTGAATTTCCCTTCTTCAAGCCCATGAAAGGTCCCGGGGTTCAAATGCACAGCCAGGTTTGGGAACTACTCAGCTGACTCTCTGATACTCATTTTCATTTTAACTCATGACTTGAGCCCTGTAATGAGCTTTGGCTCACTGCTGGCTGATCACAAACCAGCAGATCAAAACCTTAGCTGTCAACACTAGATTTAGTCCCATAAACCCAGATGATTTCATTATTTCAACCACTATAGATTATTGAAAAGAAAACCAATCCTCTGTTCTTAATTCCCCCTGGACAAAAGGAAATAGTCTGTCTCTTAAAATCCAGTGATCCTTTTCAATTTTTTTTTTTAATTCAGGAAATTCTTGAGGAGTATAATGAAAGCAACACCAAAATGAACTTAGTTCTCTTTGATGATGCTCTGGAGCACCTAACCCGTGTGCATCGCATCATCCGGATGGACCGTGGCCACGCCCTGCTGGTCGGGGTTGGAGGCTCTGGGAAGCAGTCTCTTGCCAGGCTGGCCGCCTTCACAGCCGGCTGCGAGGTGAGTCAACCTCCCCTCCCAGAAATAAGTTTGTTAAACCAATTTCAGCCATTGGTAGTTCATGCAAATATTGGAATAATCTATAACAGATCATAACATGATGTTTTCATGGAGTGTAGAGTTGCTTTTTTTTTCTTGTTATTATTTTAACTGAATGTCCAAAGAATCTAACTTTTGTATTATCTTTGGAGTGGAGACTATGTCAAATCAAATTTGAGAGTCAAACATGAGCAAGTCTTGTGGTTTGTGGTGTGTATTCATGTGGAGGAGGGATTGGCCCAAACCTCCGTGGACCCAGCATTCGGGTCAGCAACTTGCTTCCTGGCCGTTGTATCTGCACGACCAGCCCACACAGTTCTGGGCCATTCTTAGAATCTCTTTAAAAAAAAAAAAACGAAAAAAAACCCCCAAAGCAATAGCTTTATTGAGATATAATTCACTGGTCATACAATTCACCCATGTGCAATTCAGGGCTTTCCAGTATATTCACAGATCCACACAACCATCACTGTAGTGTATTTGAGGACATTTTTGTCACCTCCAAAAGACATCCCATGCCCCTTAGCTTTCTGCCCTTCACCCAGCCCTAAAAAAAAACACTAATCTACTTTCTGTCTCTGTGGACTTCCCTGTCCTGGACTCTCCTGTGAATAGAATCATAGAGGATGTGGTCTTTTGTGATAGCTTCTCTCACTTAGCGTAGTAATGTTTTCAAGCTCCCTCCACGGATCAGTACTTCATTCCTCTTTATGGCTGAATCGTGTTCTGTTGTCTGGATTGACCACATTCTGTTTACCCCTTCACCCGTTAATGGCCATGTGGGTTGTTTCCACCCTTTGGCCGCTGTGAACGGCGCTGCTCTGAACATTCACATACAAGTCTGTGTGTCAACATGTGTTTTTGTGTCTCTTGGGTAGATACCTAGCGGTGGAATTGCCGGGCCATATGGCAGTTTCATGTTTAATCACTTGAGAAACTGCCAGATTGTTTTCCAAAGCGACCGTACCATTCTCCAGTCCCACCAGCACTGCGTTGGGGTTCCTGTTTCTCCACACCATTCTCAGAATCTTCCAGTGAGCTCCCGCCATGCCCACTGGCAGTTCACTCCCGGGGGCCTCTCCAAGTGGAGATGTGTAACATGCAGGGAGGCTGAATTTTGGAGAAGAGTCATCTCTACAAATCACTTGTTTATTTTTGATTTCGTTGCTTATGCTTTAGTGTCATATCTAAAGAGTCATTGCCAAGACCCATGCATGACAATGTGGGTTTTTTTTTTTAAAGATTTTATTTATTTATTTGAGAGAGAGAATGAGATAGAGCATGAGAGGGGGAGGGGCAGAGGGAGAAGCAGACTCCCTGCCGAGCAGGGAGCCCGATGCGGGACTCGATCCCGGGACTCCAGGATCATGACCTGAGCCGAAGGCAGTCGCTTAACCAACTGAGCCACCCAGGCGCCCGGATGTGGGTTTTTTTTTAAGCAAAGGTTAAATATGGGTGATGAGGACAGTGGCATTATGTCCTTCATCTTGCTTGGTTTGTTCATTTAAATGCCTTAACAACCAATAGCAGCCACAACAAAGGATTATCCTGATTTATGCTACTGGTAATATCCATTTTCCCCTGTTCTTGCCACCGCTGGATACTGTCATTCTGATATTTGCCAATATTATAGGTGAAATATAGTATAGTTTAAATAAGCATTTCTTTCTTCAAATTCATAGTGAAATCTGAATATCTTTTTATATGCTCATTGGATATTTGTCTTTTCTCTTTTGTGAGCTGCCTTTTTATGCACTTACTGATTTGTGAGAACTCTTTATATAGAAGAGCAGTCAGGGTTAGTTGAATGAATCTAGCTTGCAGTATTTCACAAATATTGACCTTTTGTTTAAAACATTTCTAGAAAAGTGAAAAAACAAATTTGGTTGATTTATCTTTAAAATCTGATACAATGTGTGAGCAAGGGGCGCCTGGGTGACTCAGTCGGTTGAGCAGCTGACTCTTGGTCTCGGCTCAGGTGGTGATCTCAGGGTCGTGGGATCGAGCCCATGTATGCTCTGTGCTCAGCGGGGTGTCTGCTTGGGATTCTCTCCCTCTCCCCTTGCTTGCTTTTTTTCTCTCTCTCAAATAAATAGATCTTAAAAAAAAATGTGACCAAAATGTCATTGTTTTATAATTGTACCTTTTTCTAGACAAGTTGATTTTTTTCTGTTGATGGGTCTGGGTAAATCAGACATAACTTTCCTCTGAGGTAGTGGTTGTGCGTCTTGGCCTCGGGGAATGGCAGAGAGAGGGTGCCCGAGGGACCGAGGAGGAGGATGAAGGCGAGCTGGGCTGTCGCTGTGCCCTGCCCGGGAAGTGGAGGGGAGGCTGGGGGGTGGTGGGCAGGATCCCAGCGAGCGGTTCATGCCAAGTGGAGTTAGGAACTGTGGTGGGGAAGCAGAGAAGCTGCACCCGGGGAGGATGGATAGGGTCTGCAGGTGTCAGATGGAACCGGAGACCAAATATTTGGCTGAACGTCATCCGTGTTGCCTTGAGCGTGTGTGTGTGTGTGTGTGTGTGTGTGTGTGTGTGTGTGAGAGAGAGAGAGAGAGAGAGAGAGAGAGAGAGAGAGACAATGTGAAGGTCTGTGCGACCACGTGAGTGTAAGTGTGGAAGTGCACCGAGTGCTGTGCAAGGACACGTGAGTGGAACAGAGGGTGCGTGTGCCCCCGTGCGTGGGTGTGAATTGGGGTCAAGGGGAGGCTAGGTCCTGGGGACATTCGAGTTCCTGTAAGTCTTCTGAGCTGTTTCGGAGCTGACAGTGGGCTGCTTGCAGTTAACACGTGTATGCCCCCGGGGCCAAGGGAAATGAAGGGAAAAGAGGTGACTGAAATTTGTGTCCTCGTTTACATTTATGTCTATTTTGTGTGTAGTAAGATTTTTAAATTTAAGAATTTGAAATGGCTTCTTCCTTAGTTGCCCTACACATCTTCCCACGATCTCTCTCATTTTCGATGAACTCTGAACGAGACTGTGCCCACACGTTATGGTTGTGCTTGTGTGTGTGTACGTTTCGTTTTCCCTTGTCCTTCGTGGCTTGGCCCATCCTCTGCTTCCTGCCCCCCACCCCGTCCCCGTTCCCGGCTGTCCCCCTGCCCTGTGACTCAAACGATTCGTTTAATGACCGAAGGTGTCCTTTTCTCGGCCGTACTCACGTGATCCCACCTGCACAGACCTGTGTCCCCCGCACACACTGTCACGCCTACACGTGTGTGCACACACAGCATATATCTGTCACCGCTCGTCTGACGCAAAGGGATGTCCGAGTTTCCTTTGTCCTGCGTTTCCCACTCAGCAGCATTTGTGAAGATGGCCCGGGGCGTCTGCTTTCGCTGTCACTCGTGTCCCCGAGACGGCTGCACAGCCTGCCCCTCTCCCCCCCGCCGTTGGCCGGTGGTCTCACCGCTGCTGTGCTCTTTGTCGGCAGGTATTTGAGATCCTTCTGACCCGAGGCTATTCTGAGAACAACTTCCGGGAAGACCTGAAGAACCTTTACCTCAAACTCGGGATCGAGAACAAAATGATGATCTTCCTGTTCACGGACGCCCACGTGGCCGAGGAGGGCTTCCTGGAGCTCATCAACAACATGCTGACGTCAGGTGCTGGGTGGCTGCTCCCGCGAGGGACGTGCTGGCTGGTTACAAGGGCAGGTGGAGGGGCCACTCGGCGCACACCTGGTGGGTCACATAGAGCAGATTAGAGGTCACTGTCTGGGCAATGATGTGGCCTAGGCTTATGTTTTCACGGGTCCCTGCCCCGTGGGGTCTAGGCAAGAGGGAGGTGAGAACGGGAGAGGGTGGCCGGTGACCTGGGTCTGGACGGTGCTGGGCGGGGGCTGGGGGCGGTGGGAATGGAGAGAAGTGGGTGGATTCAGGGCGCCTGGGTGGCTCAGTTGGTTAAGCGGCTGCCTTCGGCTCAGGTCATGATCCTGGAGTCCCGGGATCGAGTCCCGCATCAGGCTCCCTGCTCAGCAGAGAGTCTGCTTCTCCCCCTGACCCTCCCCCACTCTCATGCTCTCTCTATCTCATTCTCTCTCTCAAATAAATAAATAAAGTCTTTAAAAAAAAAAAAAAAGAAGTGGGTGGATTCACGAGCTAGTTTGGAGGTGGAGCCAACAGGACTTGTACAGATCGGATGAGGGCAAGTAAGGGAGAGCGCACCCAGGAGGCTCCCAGTTTCTGGCCGGAGCGAGTGATGAGTGGTCCCATTGCTAGGAGGGGGAAGACCAGCTGGGGGCTTGTGCCGCTCAGGATGTGTGGAGTGTGTTACACTTACAAGAAATCCAAACAGAACATCACAGAGTGTATTAGCTAGCACGCTAGGGCTGCTGTAACAAATGACCATGGAATGGGTGGTTGAAAACCAGAGATATTTAGGGCGCCTGGTGGGCTCGGTCGGGGGAACGTGCAACTCTTGATCACAGGGTTGTGAGTTCGAGTCCCATGTTAGGGGTAGAGATCACTTAAAAAAAAATCTAAAACCACTAACATTTGTTGTCTCACAGTCTGGAGGTCCCACACCATGGTGTCGGCAGGGGTGGTTCCTTCTGGGACTCTGGGGGAGACTGTCCCAGGCCTCTCTCCAGCTTCTGCTGGTCTCTGTGATTCCTTGGCTTGTGACGCCTCGCCCGGGTTTTGCCTTCCCGCTCTCCCTGTGTGTGCATGTCTGTCTCTGCATCCACATTTCCCCTTCTTATAATAAGGACACCAGTTGTATTGGCTTAAGACCTACCTCAATGACCTCATTTTAACTTGATGACTTCTGAAAAGACCCTGTTTCCAAGTGAGGTCACATTTTGAGGTCTTGGGGACTTCAACATCTCTTTTTGGGGGCAACACAACCCCTGGCAGATGGGTGGTTGGATTACAGGGGTCTGGCTCTCAGAATAGGGGCCCAGGGCGGAGATGTCAATTTTAGCATCACTGGCGTGTGGTTCCCCAAGCCTTGGGGATGGATGGAAGCATCTGGGGGGAGAGTTCGAGAAATCAGGTGAGCCCAGGACTGGGTTCAGGGAGAAGAGGCGGAGTGAGCCAGAGGCTGAGATGGTAGGAGGAGAACCTGGAGCGAGTTCCTGTATTTCTTGCAGACTACACGGCTATGATCTAATTACAGCAGAAGGACGTGAAGCATCATCAGCAAAGGGGAAGAGGTACACGGGGGGGATGTCTGGGGAAACAGGCACAGGCTTCCAGAACCCTCTTGCAGGGCAGTCACACAGGACACGTTTAAGTCCTTTCCCTCTGATTGTGACACCCCATGTGAAGGGTCGTCTCCCAGGGAAGCCCATTAGGGATTCAGCACCCAGGGGGTTCACTGGGGGCTGGTCATGTAGGCACCTGCTGCCTGGCATGACCAAGATTCCAGATTTCCAGAGGGGAAGCAGGTGGTCAGCATAGACCACACTGTTTGTAGGTGAGCCACTTGGATGGATGAACGGTGGTGGGAACCCTCCCCAAGTCCAAGTTCCCGGACGCCGGCCAGGGGCCAACCCTGTACGCAGGCCTTTGTAAGGAGTGCAGCCCCAGGCCTGCTGTGTCAGCTTCGTTCTGTATGGGAACCTATCAGATATTAAATAAGAATGTGTGGTACTAATTTGAAATGGCATAGATATAGTTAAGACAATACCCCACCTAGTGAAAATCTGGCTGCTTTCTTGTCGTCAGGGGGCTCTCTCAGCACCTTCCCATTTACTTCATTATTCCAGAATTCTCATTAGGCCTGAACCGCTGTGTTGATTCCTGGCCTCTCCCACATCACGCTTTCTCATTTGTCTCTGAAACCTGTCCCTTCCCTCGCGTCCCCTTTACCATCCATCAGAGCCAGACCCTCATCATGTCTGACCTCGACTCTTCACACACATCCCTACCTTGATCAACTCAAACCCTGCCGTCCGAGCACATCACCAGCTCCCTTTCTCGGACGCTTTCGGTGCTCTGGGTCTCCACAGACTGACTTCTATTTCTGCAGCCCGAGTTCCTCTGCCCTCCTTCTGTGCCGTCCTGCCTCTGCTTCTTGCCCATGCTGTTCGTCCTGCCTGCCACACTCTCTCTCTGCCGCTCTCTTTAGCGGCCTCCGTGGTTGCACATGATGGAAACTCAACTCCGATTGGCTTACAGGAAATTAAAGAGAAATGGGGCAGTCAGTATTGATTCACAAGACTGAAAAAGTCCCGGGGCATGGTTGGATTCAGGGGCTCGAAAGAGATCAGTCACTAATTCGTCTCTCCCCCGCCCTGTCTTGGCATTACCATTGTTCTCTTGTCTTCGCATTTTTGAATTTTCCCAAAGTAACTAAAAAACAAAACAACAACAACAAAAAACCCACAAATGGATACTAGGAGCTCCAGGCTTGCATGCTCTTTGCTCAGCCTGGGTGAACGAGACTCTCTTTCCCAGATGTTGCGGCCGGAGTCCCCAACAGGGCTCTGATCGGCTGGCTCGGATCACATGCCCACCTCTGAGCCCATCCCTTCGGCGGTCGGCGCAGGGGTTCTGATGGGGCAGACCACCCAAACCACAGGCAGGTGTAGAGTGGAGAAGTGATTCTCCTCCAGTCTAGTGCAAGTTCCCCGATTTTGGCTCCTGTGCGGCGCAGGGTCCCCCTCCCCTGAGAAGCCTCCTCCACGGCGGCAGCTTCGAGGCTCCTGAGCGCCCGGGGCGTCTGCAGGCCGGGCTACGCACAGCGCATTTAGCACACGCTTCCTCGGGTTGGCATCGGACTTTGCACATGTGGGTTTCAGGCTCGTGAACAGGCGGGGACGTGTCAGCCCCATTTTCCGTATCTGTAAACCAGCCCCTTGCAGGGCTGGGGTGTATTTCTGTGAAGGCTGAGAGTGTTGCGGGGGGCCTCACTTAACAGCACCCCACGCGGTCTAGGCTGTTTATTTTCTGAAGGCCTTACCCCCGGCAGCAGTTTCTCACTGACGACATCAGCGGCTCTCCTGGGCTCTCCTCTCCGAGGCTGGTTGGCAGCACCCTCGGCCTCTACCTGCTCCCTGCCATTAGCCCCAACACACCCATCAGCTGGGGCAACGAAACATGTCTCCGGACGTTGCCAATGTCTCTTAGGGGGCACACTTGTCCCTGGTTGGGTACCCCCGCTCTGACGCTCACGATCACCCTCCCAGGTAAGCGGGAAGCATTTATTCCTCCCATTTCGCCAATGAGGAGATTGAGGCTCAAAGGGATTGACACACGGCGTGTGAGCCTCAGGGCTCAGAGTCAGGGCCCAACCCTGCTCCTTGGCCTTGGCATTCTCCGCTCCTCCAGGGATGCTGTGCTTCTGTCATTTCGGGGCCTAGAGAAATGATGACCCCGGGGCTGAAAAACCCAACGTGTCTTTGTTTTCCAGGTATCGTGCCGGCGCTTTTCCCAGAAGAGGAGAAGGAGACGATCCTCAGTCAGATCGGACCAGAAGCCCTGAAGCAAGGGACGGGCCTGGCCAAGGAGTCCGTGTGGCAGTACTTCGTGAACAAGAGCGCAAACAACCTGCACATCGTCCTGGGCATGTCGCCGGTCGGGGACACCCTGAGGACCCGGTGCAGGAATTTCCCAGGTGCCCCTGAGCTGAGCATGCACAGCCATTCCCGCTCCCCCTCCCACCCCCCCGGCAGGGCGTTCCCGGCAAAGCAAAACATGGCCTGGGCCCTGGGCTGGAATGTGGGCCCCGCTCTGCCCCTCACAATGGCCAGCAGGCTCTCGGGCTGGGCGCTGTCTTCCCACACCAGGAAATGCTCCCAGGCCCCGGTGTGCGGCCCATAGTGAGCTCTCTGCTCTCCTCTGTTTGGACCGTCCTGCCAGCCTCGCAGAAGGTGCAGTCCTAGACCTCTAGAGCAGAGGTTGTGAAGTGGGGGGTGATTTTACTGGGCCCCTCTCAGGGACATTTGTCAATGCCTGGAGACATTTTCGCTTGTCGCATTGGGTGTGTCAGGGAGCGTGCTACCGACATCCAGTTGATAGAGGCCAGGGTGCTGCTGGACGTTCCACGCTGCTCAGACAGTCCTGCCGCAGAGGACCATCCGGCCCAATGTCAGTCACGCTGAGGTTGAGAAACTCTGCTTTGGGTGAATTAGCCTTGGACACGTCTAGCTCTTTCACCAATGTGCTGGGTGCTGAAGAGCGTGTCACTGTCCTCGAGCGTCTTAGGGTTGCAGACTGATCATCTCTTTTGTCTCTCCTTCTTCTCAAGGTCTTGTAAATAACACTGGTATCGATTGGTTCATGCCCTGGCCTTCTCAAGCCTTGCACGCGGTCGCTAAGTCATTTTTAGGTACGTGACTGCTAATGGGGGGGCCGTGTTAATGGTATAACAAAATAACTTGTTATTGCTTTTCTGACTTGGAATTTTGGTCCAGTAGATCCCTTCACCATTCACCCCCATGGCCGTGAATGGTTTTGAAGTTTGTCAGTGTGTTTTTGGCTTATACTGTGTTTTAATCTAAAGATTTCAGGGGGCTGGGGGTGCCTAGGTGGCTCAGTCAGTTCAGCGTCTGACTCTTAATTTTGGCTCAGGTCATGATCTCAGGGTCCTGGGCTCTGAGCCCTCCATTGGGCTCCATGCTCAGTAGGGAGTCTGCTTGAGATTCTCTCTCTCCCTCTCCCCATCTCCCTGCTTGTGTGTGCTCTCTCTCTCTCTCTCAATAAATCTTTTTTTTTTTTTTTAAAGATTTTATTTATTCATTTGAGACATAGAGATAGAGAGCGAGCATGAGTAGGGAGATGGGCAGAGGCAGAGGGAGAAGCGGGCTTGGAGCCTGATGCGGGGCTCGATCCCAGGACCCTGGGATCATGACCTGAGCCGAAGGCAGCTGCTTAACCATCTGAGCCACCCAGGCGCCCCTAAATAAATAAATCTTTAAAAAATAAAGGGATTTCAGGGGACTTACAATTTAAGATAAAACTGACCAGTTATCATCCGAAGTAGGGACTGACACATCATGGCCTTTGGGCCAAATGTGGCCAATGGCTTGTTTTGGTAAACAAAATGTGATTGGGGCACTGACTCATTTGTCAACGAACATGATGTCTATGGCTGCTTTTAAACTTCAGACTGCAGGGTTGAGGAATTATAGCAGAGACCATAAGGCCCACGAGGGCCGAATATTTACTGTTTAGCTCTTTACAGTAGAAGTGTGCCTGATCCCTGACTCAAAGGATGCCCAAAGGACCTTTTAGTAGGCCAATTGATGATCAGTCAGCGCTGAATTTGCTCAGAAGTTTCAAACACTTAAGTCCTTGGTTATTAATTTTAATCTTCGAAATAAGAAAGGAAGTTCTTCATCTTTAGGGAAAAGCTTCATCTTTAGGGAAAAGCTTTCTTTATCTGGACCTAACTTGAGCAGATTCACGGCAAATGACACTGGGTGGCCTTGTCAATAGTTTCTACCTTCTACATATGTGTTCAGTAAATAAATCATTTGTCCCTTTACACAGGGAGCACTCATAATTTGAATCAACATGCAGGGGCTAAGAAAATGGCTCTGTACTGACAATATAGCTCGGGGATCAGCAGACTTTTTCTGTAAAGGACCAGATGGTAAATATTTTCGGCCTCGTGGGTCATGCAGGCTCGGTTGCAACTACTCATGTCTGCCACTGAATCACAAAGGCAGCCGCGGATAGTACGTACGTGAGCCTGCGTGGCTGTGTTCCCATCAAACTGTCTACAAAACCAGGTGGTGGGACGCATGTGTCCTGCATGGTCACCCGATCCAGGTGTGCCTCAGCTTCCGTAGGCACGCGAGCCATTCCCGTGTGTTAGCAGCACTGAGGTTTGCTTTCAGTATCCAGTGGCTCCATGTCATAAACAACACCACGCCGAATTCGCTTAGAATTTTTTTTTCTTGGAACAGATTCCCTGGCGTTGGGCTAACTGTGCCCCAAAGTATGGATATTTGCACCGTGGGCTGTGGAGTGCTGGCCCCTTGTATAATTCAAGATCAAACCCGCAGCATCCGGCTGAATGGTTACTTTTGGTCAATCTTCTCTTCCTTCATTTTAGTTGAAGGCACATTCCGTGTTAAGTATGTTGTGCTGTCTGTTAGGTGGTCCAACAGATGTGATCTGAGCACTGGAAGCGATGATTGATTGTTTCAACAGATGTAGAGGGAGGCCCACTTTGTGCCCACTGTGCGCTGGGCACAAGGGATCCAGCAGGGACACTGGGTGCGTTTCCCTCCTGAAACCCCGAGCCCCCTCCGCGGACAGTGGCACAGCCAGCCCCGGAGACAGACCTTCTACCCGCAGGGAAAGAGGAATTGCCAGAGCATGGATCGGTCCCGTGGCCCAGAAGAGCCACCAACCAAGTGATAGCTGCTTTTTTCCTTTCTCTAGTGAACATTTTTCTAGCACCTTTTTCTTGTGCTAAAACATCTATAACATAAAATTTGCCATTTTAGCCATTTTTAGGAGTCGAGCTTGCGGCATTAAGCACATTCACATTCTTGTGGAGCCGCCACCACCATCCAGCTCCAGACCTCCTTCCATCTGGTAAAACCAAAACTGTCCCCATGAAACACGAACTTCCCGTACCCCCCGCCCCAACCCCCCACGCTGTAACCTCTCATCTACTTTCTGTCTTTGAATTTGCCTATTCTAGAGACTTAATACGAAGTCAAATCATGTAACATTTGTCCTTTCATGCCTGGCTTCTTGTACTCAGCATGTTCTTGAGCTTCATCTGTGTTGTGTCACGGGGCAGAGTTTCCTTTCTTCCATCGTGTGGATGGACCGCATTCTGTTTATCTGGGCATCTGTTGACGGACACTGGGTCCCTTCTGCTTTTGGCTGTCGTGAGCAGCGCAGCTATGAGCATTGGCCTGCAAGAGTCTGCCTGACGTTTTTAGGTCTTTTTGGGTCCATGCCTCAGAGCGGAATTGCTGGGTCATATAGGAATCCCGTGTTTAACTCTTTGGGAAGCTGCTCTTTCCCATCATCTCAGAGGCATTTTTCCCATTCTTTTCAGGGACTAATCCGATGATCCCGGTGGAAAACACAGATAGTGTGGTGGAGCACGTTGTTTTGGTCCATAAATCCGTGGGTGAATTCAGCAAACAATTTCTACAGAAATTGAGACGTAGCAACTATGTAACCCCCAAAAACTACCTGGACTTTATTAACACGTATTCAAAACTGCTGGATGAGAAAACTCAGTATAACATAGGTAAGACGGGGGGATGGGGTAGGGAACGAGAGAGGATCCAAGTGCTGACCTTGTCTTTAAGCAGGTGCTTTATTAGCACGCGCAGGTGTACTCAGGATTGAGGCCAAGTACAGCATGTTCTGGATTTTACTTCTCAGAGCGATTCTTCTGGATGGGAGAGGCCTGGCATGCTCGTATTTTTATTCGCTTTCTGGGTTCCCTGGGGCCATTTGCTGAAGCAGAGCCGCAGTGTTGGATCATGCCCTTTGGAGCTCTGCATTTTCGCTGCCTAGAGATAGGGTCTGATGGCCACAACATGCTCTGTCGGGAAATGCTTTTGAAAAAATGCTCTGGCTGTTGGCCAAGTGAAACGCTGTTTTCAGAAATACATTTATTTCGGCCGATGCGGTCCCAGCATGGTGGTAGAGGTACTGAATGGTGCCTGACATCTCATGAAGATGACTTTTTCGGTTGAGCCCCAGTGGGACGGATCACAGTGAGACCCCTGGAATGCTTGCCCCAGGCGTGTGGGGAACAGCACCCACCCTTGTGACGAACACAGCTTCTCTCTTTCTGTAGCTCAGTGCAAGCGTCTGGAGGGGGGGCTGGACAAGCTGAAGGAGGCCACCATCCAGCTGGACGAGCTGAACCAGAAGCTGGCTGTGCAGAAGGTCGTGCTGGCGGAGAAGTCGGCCGCCTGTGAGGCCCTGCTGGAGGAGATCGCCACCAACACGGCCATAGGTGAGTGTGGGGCCAGCTTGAGGGGCAGGGGCTCCCCCAGACAGGACAGGGCTCCCCTGGGGGACATCCCTGAGAAGCCACTTGTCAGCCTGCCGTTTTTCTCCTGAGCATGACGAGCATTCCTACGTGTGGGGCTTCTTGGGCCCCTCCGGTGGGTTCCCCGCTGTGCTGAGCTCACCTGCAGTCACTCCAGCCCTCCTTCAATGCGGTTCTGCTCCAGGTCCACCTCCTCTGTGATACTTGCCCCGCGGGCCCCTCTTCTCAGCACCCCGACAGTGCTGACGGTCTCCGCTCTGCTTCTCAGTTCCGACGGTTTCACGGCTGTGACCTCGCTTCCTTCTTCCCATGTGTTTGTCTTCCTGCCGCTCCAGCCAGAATCCCTCCCTGGGCCAGGATCCTTCAGTGTCAGGGCCCGTACATGCTTTCACCGTACAGATGCTCCGTCAACGCTTGCTTGTTGACTATGGACAGGACTCCCTAGAGGACGCTGCACTGGAAAATCCGAGGGCATCCAGCCTCTGTTTAGCAGGTGCCTGCTGTCTGGGTTCCCTGGGGCCATTTGCTGAAGCAGAGCCGCAGGAACTTTAGCAGGGCCCCCGGGCCCGCAGGATGGTGATGCACCAAACTGGTTATGAGCATGGCTGTGATGCTCAAGTCCTTGGGCTCCTGTCCCACCTGGGGCCTGCGGACAAGGGACAGTACATTTGTTTCCTAGAGCTGCCCAAACAAATGACCACAGCTGGGGGCCTTCAAACAACAGAAGTTGACTCTCTCACCATTCCGGAGACCAGAGTCTAAAGTCAAGGTGTCAGCAGGGCAGTGCTCCCTCCAAAGGCTCTAGCGGAGGATCCCTCCTTGCCTCTTCCAGCCTCTGGCATTTGCTGGCAGTCCTTGGCTTTTAGGTTCATCTCAGTGCCTGGGGCCAATGGTACATTACCTTCTTCCCTCTATGTCTCTGTGTCCTCACGTGGTCTTCTTATAAGGACATAAGCCATTGGATTTAGGACCCGCCCTAACCCAGTATGACCTCACACGAACTCATCAGATGTCCAAAGACCCTCTTTCCAAATAAGATCGCATTCTGGGGTTGTGGGTAGATGCGGACTGTGGGGAACACTAGTCAACCCAGTACACCTACTGTGAGCTGAGCTCTGTGCTAAGCATTGGGGTTACAGCCCTTGGGGAGATGCCTACATTCTAGTGACTGGAACCAATCAATGAGCCAATAATTAGGTGAAATGCTAGATTTCCATCAGTGTCATGAAGCAAATAGAGCAATGAGGTCCAGAGTGACAGAAGGGGCAGGCCACCTTAGGAGGGGTGGCTTTCCAGCAGGGCCTGAACAAACCTAGGAGATGGTGATGAGAAGCAGAGAGCTTTCAGTGAGCCAGAAAGACAGGAAGGGCAGCCCTGGTGTCCTCAGCTCACACTGGTCAAGCGGGGTTGGGGGCCGTCCAGTGGATGGAGTGGTGGGACTTGGGTGGGCCAGTCAGAGTGAGAGTAGTGGTCCTGGGGTTGGAGACCCCGTGCCCAGTGAGGACTTCTCTTCTAGCAGGAACACCCAAGGCCGCCCTATTGGCCCGAGCTCGTTAGATCCCCCTGTCAGCCCAGCACCCACCTTGGAGGGCTCTCTGCTGCTTTGTGTCAGTGGTCGTGGTCTCTCCTCTCCACGCCCAGAAGCTTCACTGACCTGCCCCTCCCCCCACAGCCGAGGAAAAGAAGAAGCTCGCAGAAGAAAAAGCCATGGAGATAGAAGAACAAAACAAGATCATCGCAGTGGAGAAGGCTGAGGCCGAGATGGCCCTCGCTGAGGTCATGCCCATCCTAGAGGCCGCCAAGCTGGAGCTGCAGAAGCTGGACAAATCGGACGTGACCGAGATCAGGTAACCGATGGCGGTCTCCACGTGTGCCTGGCCGCCCACGGCACTCCTCAGAACAATTACATCCTGGCAGTTAGGCGCGGAGCTACGTCATGTGCCGGCCACTGGGCTGAGCGCTGTCCAAGGCGGGTTCTGTCATTCCTGTTATGATCCTCATTTGTGATGAGGAAGGTGGGGCCCAGGGCGGTGAGGTGGCTCGCCCCAGGTCCCTCCCGGGGCCAGGACGTAGCAGGGCCTGTTGACTTTGGGCCCAGGCTGTCTCACAGAGGGGACTGAGTTCCAGAGCTTAGTAAGCCAGTGTTCCCCACAGGAAACCCCACATCAGTGTCTGCCCTAAACTACAGTAGGGCACCTGAAGCAGGGGGCCAGCGCCCTGCTAAAAATAGCGTGACAGAGATGTGCCACGAGCGGCGAGTGGAGAGGGGGTGCTCTGGGGCGGGGGGAGAATGGCTCCTTGCTGTGACTCCCAGGCATTTGGCAAACAATCTATAAAATGACTGCATCTCCCACAACCAGAGGACTTCCAGGAAAAGGGCCTGGTGTGGAGCCGGCGGGGGAGCTTTCTCCCCGTGTTGTGTGGTCTGACCCTGGGGCACCGTTAATGGATCTCACTGGTAAATTTAGCACCAAGACCAAAGCCAGGAAGGAGCGCTGCCGTCTGCCTAGCTCCCCCCACTCCTCCCCCCTGTGACCCTCAGCCCCTCAGCTCTCCCTGTCACATCCTCATTGTCAGAAGGGGTTTGGTCCTTCTGGCCCCACAGTCCGGGCTCGTGAGAGAGAGACTCCTGTTTCCAGGTCAGTGGATGACTTTCCATCTTGGGCTCCCAGCAGAACGAGGCTTGTTCTCTGCTTCTCGCTCTTCCTGAGGGCTGAGCAGCCTTCCTTTGTTACGGCTGTGCCCTTGTTGTTTGCTCATTAGTGAAACATGGGGATTTGAACTGAATGTCCAGCTCGTTCCAGGGCAGGGGACCCAAGCAATTCTTGGGAGGTCATCTGCAGATGCTGCTGCTGTTGGCAAGAAGTCGTTCTTTCAGTTTTGCGAAGCGTGGTTGAATGAAGGTATAAGGATGGACGTTTTAAAGTCACAACCGTACGTGTCAGACATTCAGACCGAGGTGCCGGAACAAAGCAGACATGCATAGCAAGCTGCGCTGTAGGACAGACCATCGGCAAAGGCTTTTAGGTTCATCTCAGTTTATGTTTCAAGGGAAATAGCCAGTCACCAGTTACACAAATTTTGGGCACCATTCCCAGTTCAGCAGCATAAAAATACTGTAAGAGCAGAGAGCTGGGGAGGAGTTTTGAAGGGGATTTATTTGGAGAGAAGGGGGTTTGAAGGGGATTTATTTGGAGAGAAGGGGGTGTGAGTCCCCCCATCAGCCCAAGGGGGGAGAGGCGAGATGGGGCATCTGCAGAACTAAATGGAGAGCTCGCTATGTGTCCCCCACAGTGAGTGAGGGTTGCCTGCATCATGCTTGAGACAGGTGTGAGACGGGGGCTCAGCTCATTCCTGAGAAAGTGGAAATGGCCTATGACCTAAAAGAAATAATTTTAAAAATGTGATTATTGGAGTAGATTATATGTTCATCCACGGCTCTGCCTCTTATGGGCTGTGTGACCTTTGGCAAGTCCCCTAACCTCTCTGTGCTGCAGTTTCTTCATTTGTGACATGTGGATGATGATAACTGTCCCCATGGCATCAGGGCTGTTGGGAGGATGGACTGAACTATTACATGAAGAGCTCTCAGGACTGGGTTGATCATGAAGTCGGTGCCAAGTGAGCATGAGCTAGGATCATGGCTCCGACTTAAAAATGACATGTGAAAGCCCCTCCCACCTGCCCCGTCAGCTCAGTTCCCCTTCCCCCACACAACAGATACCCACTGCCGTTTAGTTCTCACATATCCACCCGGAGTTTTTATGTTCAAGGCCACCACATATACATGCGCCTCTTCAGTTCCTGACTGTAGATTCTGAAGGTCTGTAGTAGAACAAGGGATACCTGAGTGTTCTTTTTTCCTCCTGTTTTTTGGTGTGTAAATGGTCTTATACTGTACACATTTTCCTATATCTTGGCTGCTCCGGTGAACAATGCATTTTGGAGATTTGTTGCATGTTGCTATATGATGAACTTCCCCGTTGCCCTGTAAGGCTGTGCCATCGTCTACTTCGCCAGCCCCAACTTATGAATCTTTAGCTTGTTGCCAGTCTTTTGCCTTTACACACTGCGTGACGAAGAACAACCCGGACCATACTTCATTGTGCAGCTGGGCAAGTCCCCTGGAAGGATACATTTCCAGAAGTGGAATTGCCGAGTCCAAGGGTGTGTGCATTTATAATGTCTCTAGCTGCTGTTTAATGCTGTCCCTGGGGGATGAACAAATTTACACGCCACTGACAATCCACGTGAGTGCCTGCTTTTTCATAGCCTTGCCAATAGAGAGCATTATTACACATTTGAATTTTTGCTCATTTTGTGGATGAAAAATGGTATTTATGTAGTCTTAATGTGCATTTCCCTTATTGCAAGTGAGGTTGGCCTTTTTTTCATATGTGAAAAATGTGTGTAAGGGTCGTGTGTATTTCCTTTTCTGTGAACCGGTCATATGCTTTGCCCATTTATCTGTTAAATTGTTATTGTTGGGTTTTTTTTTTCTTATGCATTTCCAGTGGATTTTTATGTGATAGGGAGATCAGTTTTTTAACCATGTGAGTTGCAGATATTTTCCCCAGTGGTTCATTGGCCATTTGAGTTTGCTTGTGAGGTTTGTGTTTGCTGTGTGTAAGATTTTTGTTTTTATATGGCAGACTTTAGCGATATTTTATTTTGTGGCTTTTGGATGTCATGTCATACTTAAATGGCCTTAAAACTGCAAGATTGTAAAACACCTTCCCCATGATTTCTTCCCATACTTTTACAGTTTAATTCTGTACAGTTAAATATTTGATCTTTTGGGTTTTCCTGGGGTTCAGTGTGAGTTTGGATCCAATTTTATTTTTTCCAGATGACTATAATCTGGCTTCTTTTAGGTTGTTTGGATGAAGTGTGGTGAGCTAGCACTGACATCTTGACGATTTCATAATCCTTTGATTCTTTAAATAGCACTTTGTTTCTGTAATGCTCAGTCCTCTTTGTAAAAATCATCAGATGTTAAGGCGGGAAGATTAGGAGTCATAAAGATCAGAAGTGGATGATCCTCTATAGTATAAAAGGCTCTCTTTGTTACTAGCTTGCGATTTGACTTTTCTTCCTTCCATTCACTGGGTAGTCTTTGGGTGCCTAGCACCCACGCATCCTGTGCTGGCACTGGGGCTGAGCAGCAATGAGCCAGGCAGACAAGGCCTTCACTGCATTCAGCTGACACTCTCAGGAAGGCACGGGCATTCATGCAGGAATCCCACATGTACAGTAACATCACCCAAGAAGTTCGGATGGGAAGGTCTTTGCTGCCATGACTGTGGATAATGGGGAACCTCACCTAGTCTGGGGGTAGGTAGTCAGGGAAGGTATTCCCCAGGAAGTGACATTTACTTTTTTAAAGGTTTATTTGAGAGGTGGGAGAGGGGCAGAGGCAGAGGGAGAGAGAAACCCAAGCTGACTCCACACTGAGTGTGGAGCCCAGTGTGAGGCTCTCTCCCACCACCCTGAGATCACGACCTGAGCCAAAACCAAGAATTGGATGCTTAACTGACTGCACCATCCAGACGCATCCTCCACCCCCTGGAAGTGACATTTAAACTGAGATGTGACCAGAGAGTAGGGATCCACCAGCTGTAGGATAGAGGCTAGAGGGGGACCCTCTCTGAGGCTGGAAGGAGCTTGGGCCAAGGGAAAAGCAGAGACAGTCGGAGTGTCTGGGTTATTAGAGTGAGGAAGGTAGGGAGTGGGGCTTGTGATGATTCTTCCCCTCCAGGGAGGGCAGCGTATCATCATCATCACCATCTCGCTCTCTCTCACCTGAGTTTCTTTTGTGATAGGAGAAAGGGAATGAAACAAAAATGTTTCTTTTTCCCAGACTGACAACCTCAGGATTTCCTAACACCTCAGCAATACATTCTGTATAATGAACATGGTTCCAGGTACTAGTTTGTAAGCTAATAGCAGAGAACTTCACTTTCATAGACTCACAGGGTTTTGGAGTGGGAAGGTCTGGTTCTGCCTCCCCGTTTTACACGTGGGAAATTTGAGAACCCTGAATAGTTTATAACTTGCCCATGGGCTCAGAACCCTTCTCTGAGGCTGGGGTTCTTTCTGCCTTATATCTGAAAACATGTCACTAATTCTTTCCTCCTCTGATTATTCAAAGGTCAGTGGCCTGGGCCTGAAGGAAACCTTTAAAAAAAAAACAGTTGACAGCATGGTCGGCTTTCGTAAACGCCTAATGCCAGTGTAAACTGAACCTTTCCCCGGTGACTCAGGACCATTGCTTTAATCATTGGGCTTTGTGCTGGAGTCATTGCCCTGGCTTGTCCTTATACCGCGTGGCTCCTTCTCTCCTCTCCTGTCCGCAGGCGAGTGGGTGGGGGTCCTGGGGCCAGGATGGCTGGGCCGTTTGCCCAGTAGAGACAGTCTCCATGCTGCCGTGCTGGTCAGGTTGTTCTCACTCTCTCGCCCCTCCCACCCCCCGCCCCCCGCCCCCCGCCTGCCTCTGGGTTGCTCTGGCCTCCTGCTGGAATGGCTGGGCTCCCACCTCACTCCCCCCTAGGCTGCCCTATGCCCTTCAGGGGCTGCTGTCATCTCTCCCTCTTCTCTCTTTTCCTTCCTTCCCTTCACCTCTTCTTCATCGTGTTCCTGCTGCTTCTGGCTCTCTTCGGGGGTCTGGTGTCTGCAGGACTCGCGTGGCTTTTAGAGACTTTGTGCGGCAACAGGCGGCCAAGCACCCCCCGCCCCCCGGGTACAGTTAACGTGCCACCCGTTCCTTCTCGGGCATGTCCTGGTGCTGTTGTGCTGACTCCCATCCCCTGGGGTCTCAGTGCCCTGGAGGGTGAGGGCACCGGACATCAGAGTGTTGGGAGCAGCAGAGTGACGGTGCGGTCTCCTCGAAGACAAAGGAAACGGGTAAGGGGTGACACAGCCTTGAAGGAGCCCAGGGTGTGGGGACCCCGGATCCCACAGGCTGTGTGAACACAGGCAGGCCATCCAAACACTCTGAGCCCCATCTCTTCATCCAGTGAACGGAAAATAGGACGATGATGAAGAGGAGGAGGAGGATGGCAGTATGCGAGCGGCAGCGCGACGGAGTCTGAGGAACCACCCCAAGGTGTAATTAGACACAGATTCTCAGGCTCCACCCTGACCTACTGACTCAGATGCTTGGGGTGGCCTGGGTTTGCATTTTAATGATACCTGCCCCCATGATTCTGATGCCAGTTGCATTCCAGGAGCCCGATCTGGCCCCTGATGGCTGAGACCAGTCCTGGCCCTGGGAGAAGCCCACCGGAGGAGCCCAACTCCATGTTGGGATATGGCTTCCTTTGCCTCCATGCGGTGTCACTGCTAAGAAATGACTCTGGGGCGCCTGGGTGGCTCAGTTGGTTAAGCGGCTGCCTTCGGCTCAGGTCATGATCCTGGAGTCCCGGGATCGAGTCCCGCATCGGGCTCCCTGCTCAGCGGGGGGTCTGCTTCTCCCTCTGACCCTCCTCCCTCTCATGCTCTCTGTCTCTCATTCTCTCTCTCAAAAAAAAAAAAAAAATGACTCTGGGTTGAGCCGTTTTTTCTGGAACTTTCTCTAAACTCTCATTTAGGCTAGATCCTGGCCACATCCTGGGTCTGATTCACGCGTGTTTCTGTTTCTCACCAGGTCATTCGCTAAGCCCCCCAAACAGGTGCAGACGGTGTGTGAGTGCATCCTCATCATGAAAGGGTACAAAGAACTCAACTGGAAAACTGCCAAGGGCATGATGTCTGACTCAAATTTCCTGAGGTCTCTGATGGAGATTGATTTTGATTCAATCACCCCAAGCCAGGTGAAAAATATCAGAGGTGCGTACAGACAGATGCAGGAATAGCCAAGGTTGATCTCAGTTTGGCAACTCAGGCTTTGAGAGCAGGGACGGAGAGCACAGAGGGGGCTTGTCACAGGCCGACCTTCCTGTTGTGGTCAGTTGTCACTGTGGCCTTTTGGATAGAATAGGCCAAATGATCATTCCCAGAGGAAGAATAGGAGATTGAGGCACTGTTGTGTGAAATGGAAAGGCTGGGTGCTAGATGGGCAGTAGAAGCCCATGCCCTCTGAACATTCGACAGCAATCACTCTGGTGTTTCCCCTTAGGATATAGGACCTTCTTATGGAACCCAGCCTGGACTTAGGTCTTCCGTCCATCTTGTCCATCAGGCATGGTGGTGCAAGAGGTGGTCTAACCGTGACTTCTCCCCTTGCACCTTTTGCCAGTATAAAGTCTTCTATAGGTCCCTGGGAGATAGGTGAGGAGGGGCTGGCACCACCCACAGCCAGCCTCCCCATCTTCAGTTATAGAATGCCGGCATTCCCTTTGAGCCTGATGCCTGACCTGCCTAGATGCTTAGCCAGTGGGAATGAGGTTTTAGTCTTTGCCAAAGGCCATTCAAGTTTAGTGTCACTGTTTTCCTTCATGTTTTGTTCAAAACGTTATTATCAAGTGCTCTTTCTCAGCCACTCAGAAAAAACTAAATGAAACACAAAGGATGACAACAACTGCAAAAACCTAAGGACCTCTCTTTACCCGAATATTGACTGGATGGGTTTCCATTCATGTGAAATTACTCCTGGGGTAAGGGTGCGGGTAGAGGTGATGGTGAGCCATCATGGCCTATGAATTCCAGCTAGCTACCTGCTCTGAGCCACTTTGGTGCACAGTTGAGGGTCCCCACGGACACCTTGGACACAAGAGGTGCCTGGATCATAGGATGTCCTGGGTGGCAGTAACCTGTGTCCCTCACTCACATCTTAAGCATCCACCTACATAAAACTCATTTAGTGACACTTGTCCATCGGCAATTTATTTCCCATTTTGTTTTCCCAAGATGAAGCTTGTCAATCATCAAAATCATTCCATCTTTGACCCCTAGGCCTCTTGAAGACTCTCAATACCACAACTGAAGAAATGGAAGCTGTGAGCAAAGCAGGCTTGGGGATGCTGAAGTTTGTTGAAGCTGTGATGGGCTACTGTGACGTTTTTAGAGAAATCAAGCCCAAAAGAGAAAAGGTATTGTCCATCTGTAAGACCTAAATAGAGCTGCCAAGGGAGCAATCTGGAGTCGGAATGAATATGTCCACAGCTTTGATGGACAAATGTGAGCAAGGTTCCGATTTTCCATCACATAAACATTTCCCCCCCTCCACTGCTAATACATGATAACCCTGAATTATATCACTCTCATCTAGACAGTGTGAATGAACTGACAGAACCAAAGTCTGGAAGATTTTCAAATTTTGTGTGGAAAGAGTAGGATAAATGGGTAAAAATCATCCTCTATAACTCAAGCAGGCCTCTTTGCCTCGGTGCTACTGACATTTGGGGCTGGACCATTCTCTGTAGGATGTGTAATAGCATCCCTGGCCTCCACCCACTGGATGCCATTGTCCCTACCCCCAAGATGTGACAACCAAAATGTCTCCAGACATTGCCATCTGTCCTGGCGTGGGAGGCACTATCGGCCCCAGCTGAGAACCACTGGGTCAGAGTAACCTGTAGAACACACAATACAAAGAGAGTTATTAGGCTGATTTGATCATTTTGAGACCTATTTTGACACTGCTTTATCACTCAGAATTTTGTTACTCAGAAAACTCAGGACCAGGTGGAAGACCAGCATTGTTTTCGATGCATTCTTTTGAGTTTTTGACTTAGAACCACAGTATCATTTTGCTGTGACCTCAGTACACATGGAAATGAAGCCATCGGCTAACTTGGATGCAGGAGAGCTTTTTTACCAAAAAAAAAAAAAGAGCTTTTGCAGCAAATGGTAGAAGAGATGACTAAGAAGGAGCCACGTACCTCAGCAGGGCATACGGTAGCCCCAAAGAGTAGGAACAACATTAGAAATGTGGTGTGGACTTAAGCCCCGGGGTGAGAGACTCTTTTCATCCCTGCCCCACTACGGTCCCTTTCCCCACCGTTCTGTGCCTTGTCTTCACTTAGGTGGCCAGGCTGGAGCGGAACTTTTACCTCACTAAACGCGAGCTAGAAAGGATCCAGAATGAGTTGGCAGCGATCCAGAGGGAACTGGAAGCCCTGGGGGCCAAATACGAGGCGGCCATTCTGGAAAAGCAAATGCTGCAGGAAGAAGCCGAAATCATGGAGAGGCGGCTGATCGCTGCGGACAAGCTCATCTCAGGCCTGGGGTCTGAGAACATCAGGTCAGCGGCTGAGGAACCCCTCCGATGAGAGGTCCGAGTGAGACTCCGTGTTGTGTCAGTGAACGTCAGCAACCGAATTTCTTACCATGTCGTCTTTCCGCCACGCCGCGTTTTTATCTGGAAACCGCGTGGGAAAGTTCTGATTTCGCTATTACCGTGTTTAGGGTGGCTAAGGCCATTTTACACATTCTTGCGGTTTATTAATTATTAAGGGTGAAGGAGGCAGTGCAGCTGTGGGGACAGGGAGGCACCAGGGGCCTCTGGCAAGGTGCTGTGTGTTCTGGAAATGTTTACTTCCTAGTGACCTTTAACCCTGAGCGCGTCCTGGGTGGGTCTGGAGGAGGGGTCCGCCTCTGTGGCTGGACAGATGTCTTCTAGGGTCTCTTCCGACCTAGCACATAGGGCTGTCCAATGCCTAGGGGCAAGGCCGTTTGGCCATAGCTGGTCCACTGGACATGAGAGAAGTTTCTAATCTGGCGCCTATAAAAGTAATATGGAAAACACTAGAAAATACTGTTTGCTCATGGGAAACAAACCATTTTCAGTATTTCTAAAACCTAGAAGACTTGGGCCGCTTAGCGGAAGGGGCCAAATAAAACATCTACTCCATTTTATCTTCGGTAGAAGGTAGAATTTTGTCACCAAGCAGGACCAGAGCTCCTGAGTTCTGCTGGGCATGTCTGCAAGTTGCTGATTAAAGCATTCAGAAACAATGTGATTACTACTTAATAAGTAGCTTTGAGACTAGATGCTTCACATTTCTCCAGCCCTGTAGATGCTGGGTTCTACTGAGCCCTGCAATTGAACAAGGTCTTCCAAAACACTGGGCTCGTTAGGGTGGGAAGTTGCAAAATGACCTGGCAATCTTTGTTTCTAAAAGAAGGGACTATCTTCAACGAAGTTTCCTTCTGGCTAGCCCCATTAGCAGTGCGTCAGGGTGGTTCTTCTAGAATGTTCCTTTTGATTGTGCCAGAAGATAACGGCTTACTGCAGCCCCCATCTCCTGCACCAGGTGGCTGAACGACCTGGATGAGCTGATGCACCGGCGGGTGAAGCTGCTGGGGGACTGCCTGCTTTGCGCGGCTTTCCTGAGCTATGAGGGCGCGTTCACGTGGGAGTTCCGTGACCAGATGGTCAACCAAGTTTGGCAGAATGATCTCCTGGAGCGGGAGATTCCCCTGAGCCAGCCTTTCCGGTTAGAAAACCTGCTCACAGATGATGTTGAGATCAGCAGGTGTGTGCAACCCTGAGCCCAGAGGATGAGGGGGCCTTGTGGGGGGCGGGGGGGTGTGGTGCGTGGTCCACGTGGGCATCACCCTGGCAGGGGAGAGCGAGGGGTGCAGCCGACCTGATTGCACAGAAATGGCATGTTGAGCTGCAAATCCAGCTTCCCCGACCCTGAGGAGTGTTGAGCAGCTTGGGGGTTGGTAGATTGTTCTGGAAGGCCAATCCTACCACTCTTAGCACTCAGTCACAACTTGACAAGAAAAACAGACTTCCCTGTCACTGTCCCTTCCAGGTGGGGATCCCAGGGACTGCCCCCCGATGAGCTCTCGGTTCAGAATGGCATCCTTACCACCCGGGCCAGCCGCTTCCCCCTCTGCATCGACCCCCAGCAGCAGGCCCTCAACTGGATAAAGAGAAAAGAGGAGAAAAATAACCTGCGGGTATGGCCCGCTCCTCCCTGGGTGTCCTCTGCCCTCACTCACTGCCTGCTCTCGGGGCACAGCCTGTCTCTCCCACCGTCTCTACCTGGCAGTGCTGGGCCCCTGGCAATGCCCTGCTGAAAACGTCCTGTCCGCCCCTGGGCGGAGCCCTCCCCCTCCCGGCGTGCCCACCCTGTTGAGTCCTTGAGGGCAGCATGACCTGCCCTGGGCTTTGCTTTCTGACCCTTGTGTTGCTTCTCAGCTGTGAGCGGCTTGAAGCTGGACATCGTGCTTCCCTTATCTTTGTGTCCCCCTACCTGCACCGTGCTTGGTGGCCTGAGACGCTCAGTCATTTTTTTCTTTTGGAATGGAGGAAGGATATCTCAATATCTTCTGGTTGAGATGTAATTCACATACTGTAAAATCCACCCATTTAACGCATACAACTAAATGGTTTTTAGTGTATTATATGCAGAGTTGTATAACAATCACCAGAATCAGGTTTTACCACCCCAAAAAGCAATGCTGTGTGCTTTAGCCGTCGCCGCCCCCCCAACCATCCTTCCATTTCCCCCCTCCCTGTCTCCTAGCAACCACTAATGTATTTTATAGATTCGCCTCCTCTGGACATTTCACATAAATGGAATCATGCACTATGTGGCCTTTGTGTCCGGCTCCTCTCACTCGGCATCATGTTTGCAAGGCTCACCCGGGTTGTAGCAGGTGTCCGCGCTTCCTTCCTCTTTGTAGCTGAATCGTAGTCCATTGTGGGGATGGATCACATTCTACCATCCATTTATCCATTGATGGGCATTCAGATGATTTCTACTTTTTGGCTATTATGAATAATGCTGCTGTGAACACTCACATGCACTTTTTTTTTTTTTTTTGGTGGGCATATGTGTTCAATTTCGCTGGGTGAAATTGCTGGGGCCCAATCACTTTTTGCTGAACTAGTTCACAAACTCATGATTCTCAGTTCTGCTTTTTCCTTATTTTTTTTTTTTTTTCGAATCCTTGCTCCCAAGTATGTACCTGCTGTTGGGGGGCAGGGTCTGCCTCTAAAATATACATAGACAGTGAGACAAATGTTATTAATGCTGAGATGGTTCTCAACTCCACCCCCCCCACCCCCAGCCTGCCAGGGGCCTGAGATGGCCCATCCTGCAAGTCGTAATGAGACTCTGTCATGATTACTTCGGGCTGCTCAGAGCCTGAACCTAACAGGTTTCTGGCTTCCATGGGTCTCATGCTTTGCTTCTCTCCCTCATTCTTTCTCCCCTTTGGCTCCCTCTGAGGCTCCGGCATGCCCACTCCCTGTTCCAGAAGCGCTCTCCTCGTATGTTTGCTGAGCGCACAGCACCCCTGTCTTCCAGGTGGCTTCCTTTAATGACCCTGACTTCCTGAAGCAGCTGGAGATGTCCATAAAGTATGGGACTCCTTTCCTGTTCCATGACGTGGATGAGTACATTGATCCTGTGATTGATAACGTCTTAGAGAAAAATATCAAAGTCGTCCAAGGACGGCAATTCATCATACTGGGAGATAAGGAAGTGGATTACGATTCAAATTTCAGACTGTACCTAAACACCAAGCTGGCCAATCCCAGATACACCCCGTCTGTGTTTGGGAAGGCCATGGTCATCAACTACACGGGTGAGGATCTACACAATCTCAGTGGCAAATTGGGGTGGTTACCACAGAGACCACAGTGGGAGTTCAGGGCTTTCGTGGGGTGCCCGCTGACCCCAGGTCATGCTCTCGGGGTCACATCTTCATCGGTCGGTTCTTCTTGATGAAGGTTGGGCGCCCCCTTGGGAGGCAGGGAGATGCGTGTCTGGGGAATGCTGAGTCTGGACCATAGGGCTCGGATACCCACACTTGGAGTGGGGTGAGACCCCCATTCTGCTGGGGCAGGAAGTTATTCTGTGTTGGTGATTTAAATATGTGGCAGGATTTTGCATTTCCCACCCCCCCCTTCCTCCCAACTGAATTCTGTTAGGAGCTGAGTGCCATTTCTCACGTTTTCTAGGGTTGTCCTCCAGCTGTGCTTTCAACTCGGGCTCCCCGATCTGTGGGAGCCTCTGCACTCTTGTCGCTCACCACTCTGTGGAGGAGCATCTCCACGTTGTTCTGACCGGTGGCTTTAGAGTAACGGCAGGAGCGAGTCCTCGAGTTCCCGAAATGCTGGCTCAGATGCACCCTCCGCTTGCCCACGCCAGGCACAAGCGTGCAGCAGGTGAGGAGACGCGGGGTGCCCAGCGGTGACAGCCTCCCCTTGCTCCCACAGTCACACTGAAAGGCCTCGAGGACCAGCTGCTGAGCGTGCTAGTGGCCTCCGAGAGGCGAGAGCTGGAGGAGCAGCGGGAGCACCTCATCCAGGAGACGAGTGAGAACAAGAACCTGCTGAAGGATTTGGAAGACTCCCTCCTTCGGGAACTGGCGACCTCCACGGGGAACATGCTGGACAACGTGGAGCTGGTGCAGACCCTGGAGGAGACCAAATCCAAGGCCACGGAGGTATCAGCTGCATGGAAAGTGCATTGCACTGGGAGGGGGCGGGGTGGTTCCTTTGGAGCTGGTACCAGTTCCCTTATCTGCTCAAGGAGAAGACTGGACTCGGGGATCTCAGGGCCTCATTCCCGCATCTTAGAAGCTGAGGTGTTGGCTCCAAATCTGCTGGCTTCAGATTTGGGCTCTTAGTCACCTGAGGGTTTGCCTGATGAGAACAGGCCACCTCTATTGGGGTGTGCTATGGGGAGGGGAGCCCTAGAGGTGTTCCCAGGGACCCTTGTGCATCAGGTCGGCCTCTTTGAGTTAAGAGTGATAGAAAACCCAGCTCTACTTGGCTTAAGTCAAAAGGGAAATTATTAGCTTAGAATACAGAAAGTCCAGGGATGGCTTCAGGCAGGGCTGGATTCAGGACTCTAAGCATATCACCAGGACCCAGTTTCTCTCCATTTCTGGGCTGGGCCTTTTGTTGGGGTGGCTTCATTCTCTGCCTCCCCATGAGTCAAGTTCCCCTCATGGTCACCAGGTGGGTATGTCCTCATGCCCCCTCAGGTTCAGGTCCAAAGGGAAGAGTGAGAATTGTTACCTGTCCCTATCATGAAGGTCCCGAGAGTCACTTCAGCCAGATGTCCACCCCAAGCCGATCCCATGGCCGGGGATGCTGTGTATAGACTGGCTGGGCCTGGGTCACACGCTCCTCTCCTGGGATTGGGGTGGACCCCACATATGGGAAGAGAGGGGGGAAGTTGGAGTGTCTAAGTTGAAGTCAGGGACTGTTATTAGAAGGACGGGGCACAGGTGCTAGGGAGTCTGGCCAACAAACATCTGGCAAGAGGGTAGGTGCTCTGCAAACCCCAGCAAGCATTGCACAGACTTCTTTGCTGCTCCCTCCCACTCTTGCTCTCTGTATTCCTTACTTTCTTGCCCATTTCCTAAGTCATCCTGGTGACGGTGTCAGTCTCCCTGTTTCCACGGTGATACACACCTTCTCTTTAGGTATCAGAGAAGCTCAAACTGGCGGAGAAGACAGCCCTGGACATCGACAGGCTGCGGGATGGCTACCGGCCAGCCGCCAGGCGGGGAGCCATCCTGTTCTTCGTGCTGTCCGAGATGGCCCTGGTCAATGCCATGTACCAGTACTCCCTCATCGCCTTCCTGGAGGTCTTTGGCTTGTCACTTAAGAAGTCCCTGCCTGACTCCATTCTCATGAAGCGATTACGGAACATTATGGACACGCTGACCTTTAACATCTATAACTATGGTTGCACGGGTGAGCACCCCTCTGCTCTGTGTGTGTGTCCAGATCTCTTCTGTGGAGGATGTGAGGCAGAGGGGATCAGGGCCCACCCTAACAGCCTCGGTTTACCTTCGTTCCCTCTTTAAAGGCCCCCACTCCCAACACAGTCACATTCGGAGGCACTGGGGGTCAGAGCTTCAACATATGGATTTGGGGGGGGACACAATTCAGCCCATTCCAGGTGGGCAGGAAAAAGGTTGAGGACTGTTGTCCCTACAGGGCTCGCTTACTTCTTGCAGCGCACAGAAGCTAGAATTCAAGTCACAGATGTTGACTTACAGTTTTTCCCCCAAGAACACATTTCTTATGTTGTTGTTTTTTATTTTAAAGAAGAAGAACTTTAGTATTCAGCATCCCCCATCACTAACAGATCTGTTGGTGGAATGTGCTTGCTCTGCAGTGGAGGTTGGCAAACCGTGACCAGCAGGCCAGGTCTGGCCCCCTGCCTGCTTGTATAAATAATGTGCTGTTGGAACCCGGCAGGGCCATTTGTCTATAGTCGTCTGTGGTTGCTTCCCCGCTGCAGCGGTGGATGAGTAATTATGGAGACAGCCTGTAACGTCGGAAATATTTCCTATCTAGCCTTTTACAGGGAGCTTGCTAACGCCTCTCCTAGATGACGCCAGACAAGAGCTCACACTTAGGGTTAGGCAAACGACCCGTGTTCCATCGAGAAGGTGGCTCTGGCCTTCTATCGCGGTCCTCCAGCCGCCTTTGGACCCCGCTCTGCTCTCCCAGGCAGGTGCGGTGGGTGCGGCAGGCAGGGCCGCTGTGGACATGCACGAGTGAGCGGGACTGCAGGCTGGCTCCTGGGCTCCCTGCGCAGACCGGGCCCGCGCTGTGTGGGCTCAGCCGCGGACATCCAGGGGTGGAGGGGTGGGGGTGCTGGGCGCCACCGAGATGTCCGGCCGTTCAGTTCATTTCTCTTACGTTTAAGCTTGTCGTGTGTAGGAAACTCCACTTTGAAAGCAAATTTACCTCATCAGTGCCCGTCTGATGTTTCCCTCCAGGGTTGTTTGAGAGACACAAGTTACTCTTCTCTTTCAATATGACGATCAAGATAGAACAAGCAGAAGGCAGAGTCCCCCAGGAAGAATTAGATTTCTTCTTAAAAGGTGATGAACGTGCCTCCTTTCATTCTTCCCCACTTCCTTGACCCCCCCTCCTCCCCGTTGCACACACATGGAGGTTCGTTAAAACAAACCAGAGTATTACCAAACTTCTCCTTAGAACTTGGCTTCCAGCAGCACAATTAAAAAAAAAAAAAATTTATTTGAGAGAGAGAGAGAGAGAGCGAGCAAAAGCAGGGGGAGCCACAGAGGGAGAGGGAGAAGCAGGCTCCCCGCTGAGCAGGGAGCCCAATGCAGGGCTTGGTCCCAGGACCCTGGGATCATGACCTGAGCTGAAGGCAGACGCTTAACCGACTGAGCCCCCCACCCGCCCCCACCGCCCCGGGCACCGTCCAACAGCACTGCTTTACTAAATATTTCAGTTGACAATTGCAACCTCCGAAGTGGTTCTGGTCTGGCCCAGAGCAGCGGGGTCTCTGCCCACAGGCTGCCCTGAGGCCGGAGGCCACGCTGAGCTGCCTGGGTGGGGTCCCCAACAGTGACAAAGTGAGTCTACGTGTCCTTCTCCGTCCATCCCCTCTGGAGACGCGGGTCTCTCCTCGGAGTGGGAGAAGTCGAAGGCCCGACTACTCACTCCTCCCGGCACGTTGCTGCTGGCTGTTTACTTTCCATCTTCTGTTGTGATTAGGAAACATTTCCTTGGAGAAGAGCCAACGAAAAAAGCCCTGTGCATGGTTGTCTGACCAGGGCTGGGAAGATATCATGCTTTTATCCGAAATGTTCTCAGACAACTTTGGGAATCTTCCTGATGATGTGGAGAAACACGTGGCAGTCTGGCAGGAGGTGAGACCATGTTCTCTCTCCCCTCCTTCCCTTCCCTCCATGTTGGTGGGCTTGAGATTTCAACCGTAGCCTTACTCCTTGTGACCCGAGTGACCCGTTCAGAGTGGAGTCAGCTCCCTCCAACACCCTTGATGGAATTCTCCTTTATGTGGGTCAGCTGGTGTGTGGGAGAACCGTCCATCTGTCTGTCCATCCGTCCATCCACCCATCCATCCATCCGAGAAATGGGCACTTGCCATGGGACTCAACAGTGAAAAAAACTCAGCCCCTCCCTTCCTGAAATTCGTCGTTTTTTGGGGGGCGGGGGAGGTAGAAAATGACACATCTGACTAGAAGTGACTTGGAGGTTCATACTCGTATAGGTTTCATTCCTTTATAAAGCGACTTTTGGGAGCTTCGTATAGAAATGGGGGCCTATATCGTTCCCAAGTTGATGCCACCATGAATGTTCTTTTCCTAGTGGTATGACCTGGACTCACTCGAGCAGTTTCCATTTCCCTTGGGTTACGATAACAACATCACCCCTTTCCAGAAGTTGCTTATTTTGCGCTGTTTCCGTGTGGATCGGGTGTATCGGGCAGTGACCGACTACGTGACTGAAACAATGGGAGAGAAGTAAGTGTGTTACGGAGTTTGCTTGGCCCTTCTGTGGGCTCGTCCCCGCCCGCCCGCACCCCGGACTCGCAGACAGCGGTGGCCACCCAACTTTGGCAGTGTTAGTCACTCTAGTTCTGTGCTATTCGGGAGAGGTTCAGTGGGAGTCACATGTGTCAAGTTTTCTAGTAGCCGCGTTCAGGAAGAAATGGATGAAGTTAATTTTAATTACATTTTATTTAACTCAGCACATTAAAATATCATTTCAACATGTAGTCAATGCAAACATTATGGAAATATTTATTTAGTATTAAGTCTTCAAAGTCCCGTGTGATTCAGCCTTACCGCACAGCTCGGTTTGCACTGGCCACACTCGCAGTGCTCAGTGGCCAGCGTGCCGAATGCCTTCCGTATTGGACAGCACGGCTCTGGAACTGAAGACAGGCAGATAACTTGGGCTTGCAAACTCAAACTCAGACGGCAATGAGTGAGCGGGGCTGGCTGGGGACGGCGGCACATGGGAGAGGTCAAGCCTGGTCCACAGGGGCAGTTGCCCCTTAGCTCCCGCTGACTGACACCAGCTGGCAGGGGCCCACCTCCCAGTGGCTGGATCCCCCGACTCTTAGAAAGAAGTTACAAATTTGGATTTCTGTGTCAAATCGCCCAAGCCTGATGTGTTGGTAACTAATTTTCAAAAATCTTGAGAAGTGGGCTATTCAGGACATACCTGTGGAGTTGTTGGCATGGGGCCTCTGGGTTGTGTGTCGTGGGGACGTCTGCCCAGAAGGGCCCCTGTCGGGAGGCGCCCCCATGAATGTGCTGGGGTGCGCTAGGGGGACGCAGTGGGGCCCGTGTCACCTAGGAGTTCACCCTCCTGTGTGTGATGTGTGTGTAGACATTGGACTCTAACCTGTGCAGACTTATACCAGAGGAACAGCCAGAAGCTTCCGGACGGGGTGAGGTGAGTGCGCTGTGGCTGTCCTCCACAAGAGACCCTGCTTTGTTTCCTTCACTAGGTACGTGCAGCCCCCCATGATCAGCTTCGAGGCCATCTTTGAGCAGAGCACTCCAAACTCGCCCATTGTGTTCATCCTCAGTCCCGGCTCTGACCCTGCCAGCGACCTTATGAAATTAGCCGAGCGCAGTGGTTTTGGAGGAAACCGCCTCAAATTCCTCGCCATGGGTCAAGGCCAAGAAAAGGTAATTTGTTATTGGAAGGAACGAACTCTAAATTTAGGTGAGGTCCCTGCCTCTGTTAACAGTTGGTTAATATCTGGTTTTGAGGGTGCCGCTCCACGCGGGAGCTGGGTGCATTTCCGGTCCTCTGGGCAGTGGTGCTCTGGTGCCCGGATGATGCATGACAGCCGTATGGTCCCACCGCGGGCATGCTGTCATGCAGACCCTGCCAGGCCGCTGTGCCCTGTTGTTCCCAACGTCTGTTCACACGTAGTCGTCATCTCCTCCTGTCCCGGTGACGTCCCCGTTTCAGATCGGGGCTGTCACTGCCCCCAGGGCATGGCCACGGACGTAGTCAGGGCGCTGGTGCGACTGTCCCAGAGAACCTGGAGCTCCCGGGGCCGAGGGAAGCCGGTGGGTGGAAGGTGCTGGCTCATCTTCCGGGCCCTGAGGGATTCTGAAAGATAGTTCTTGGAAGGCACCTCTGGAGCTCCTGGGTCCCTGGCTCCGGCTGGGGTGGGCTGTTCATTTCCGGGGGGTGTGCGGTGGGTGTCTGGGAGCGCATGGGGCCAGCATGGCTTTGGGACGCCGACCCCCCTCCCCCCGCCCCATCTCCTGGTGCAGGTAGCGCTGCAGCTGCTGGAGACAGCAGTGGCCCGTGGGCAGTGGCTGATGCTGCAGAACTGCCATCTCCTGGTCCAGTGGCTGAAAGATCTGGAGAAGTCCCTGGAGAGGATCAGCAAGCCGCACCCGGACTTCCGCCTGTGGCTCACCACAGACCCCACCAAGGGCTTCCCCATTGGGATTCTGCAGAAGTCCTTGAAGGTCTGGCTTCTGACAGACACCCCGGCCCCCCAGCCCCGTGTGTGCACGCATGTGGGTTTGGAAATCCAGGACGCAGCCGGACCCTCACACCCACCCTTCCCACGTCCATCTCTTCCTCTCTCTTCAGAGATAAGCACTGTCCTGTATTGGGTGATGATTTTCGGGGGGGGGGGACAGTTAACGCCTCTCAGGCCTGTCTCTACCACTTCCACACGTATCCAAAACACTATCTAGGTTCGTTTTCCTGTACTTCACATTTATCAAACCTTCTGCCCATATCTGCAGTGCTCTAGCGGATTAGATGCCCCACTTAACTTACTCTCCAGAGAAGTTGTGTTTGGAAAGGTTTTGTCATCTGGGGCAGGTTGAGGGAAAACTTAACTACTTTCCATGGTCCAGAGAAGCTAAAGCACCTTCCTTGGGTCATTTGATGAACAGGAGCCAGAACAGTATCTTGTTCCCTAACTTCTTTGCTGGGCCTTTCACAAGAGACGTTTGCTGTGTGGGGGATGGGAAAGGTGGCCGCACAGAGAGGAAGGGAAAGCCGAGATGTCTACATTTTGCACCCTCTTCAAAGCTGGACTCATGGGTCTGTGGTTTTGGTCACGATTTGTCTTCTGACAGGTTGTTACAGAGCCCCCCAACGGGCTGAAACTCAACATGAGAGCAACGTACTTCAAGATCTCTCAAGACACACTGGAGCAGTGTCCGCACCCGGCCTTCAAGTCCCTGGTCTATGTGCTGGCGTTCTTCCACGCGGTGGTGCAGGAGAGGAGAAAGTTCGGGAAGATCGGGTGGAACGTGTACTATGACTTCAATGAGTCTGACTTCCAGGTGAAGACGCGGTGGCTGCTGGTCCCCCTCACCCGGCTCATCTCCCCTGACCCTTTCTCCAATTCACGACCACCCGGCTGCTGCCGCCCACACTTCAGGAAAGGGTCAGCACGGGAGTGACTTCGTAGGTTGGAGGATAACCACGCCGGTGCCTCCTCTTTTAAGGTCTGCATGGAGATTCTGAACACGTACCTAACAAAAGCCTTCCAGCAACATGACCCTAGGATCCCGTGGGGCAGCCTCAAGTACCTCATTGGAGAGGTAGGAGCCTCTTGGGGGACCCTTCATGGGCTGCCTCCTGGGGCTGGAGATGGGCTGTGGCCCGGGGCCCCGTGCGTGACCTCTAAGCCCTTGGTGACTCCCCTCTTGCTTCTGCCACCCGTCAGCTGGAGGCCTGAGGTTTCTGAGGAATTCTGTTGGCTCATCACCTGGGTGTCTTTCTCCTAAGTGGGCTCCATCCCCATGGACGCTCTGGATTCATCACTGTGGGGGCTGTGTTCTCTAGGGGTGGGCATGGCCTCGGGCCTGTCATTGTAATCTTGTTCCTGTCCAGCAGGCATGGAGGGCCACTCTGGAGACCATTACTTTATACAGCCCCCACCCCCATGCCCTGCAGGTGGCACCCACAGGGACATCACCAATTCCAAAGACCAAAGCGGCAGCTGGCTTTTTTGGTGGTTTTGTGGTCTGTTCACTAGGTTTTGGGGATTTTGCAAATGGCCTATGGGCTCCCGGCTCTTCATGAGGGCACCTCTTGTTCACAGTGGGTCACAAGGCATGCCATCGACATGGTTTGAGCTGCACAGTGGCCAGGCCAGCAGGAGCATCCCCAAGGGCACGTCTGGTCTCAGGGGTCCTTTGGTGGGTCCTGCGCTCCCAGCCAGTTCTTGCTTCCTGTACCTCAGGTCATGTACGGAGGACGAGCCATCGACAGCTTCGATCGGCGCATCCTGACCATCTACATGGATGAGTACCTGGGAGACTTCGTTTTTGACACTTTCCAGCCATTCCACTTCTTCCGGAATAAGGAAGTGGACTATAAAATCCCCGTTGGTGATGTAAAGGAAAAATTTGTTGGTGAGATTTCTCAGGCATCAAAACGTATGTTAAAATTGTTTTCTAAGGGAGATCCACCATACATTTCAGCTGTTCTGTTTTCTGTGGTTGGCTTGATGGCTCTTCTGACCTCTCTGCTGGTGGGGATCCTTGGCTGGTGGGCGTGCTCCATGATGTTTTTATAGGGGGCCCAGCACGTTCTTTATAGCCTCAGCATTGATGGAATTAGTTCAGATTTCCTGTCCTAGAATGATGACAAATATGTCAGATTCTGCCTGGAAGGGAAGCCCACTGAGCCATTTTCATAAATGATAAACATACAGCTGTATTAGGGTGTGGTGGTATAGAATTTTTATTCAAAAACGTGTCACCCCTTAAGCAGTGGAAATTAGTCTTGCCTATCTGGGGATGTTGAGGCAGTGGGCCCTCAGAAATGAGGGTGGTGTGACAGTGTATTCCCTGTTCTGATTATAGAAGCCATTGAGGCCCTCCCACTGGCCAACACACCCGAAGTGTTTGGTCTTCATTCCAATGCTGAGATTGGATATTACACTCGGGCGGCTCGGGACATGTGGGCCCACTTGCTGGAGCTGCAGCCTCAGACAGGTGAAGTCTGTGGAGGACGGAATTGGTTTGGTTAGGGTGGAAGGTGTTGGCACAGGGTGCTCTTGGTTCTTGTAGGTTGTATATTGTTGATGCCTTTCCACGAACCAGAAGGCTCAGGATGCCCCAGTCCCAACACTCAGATGCCTTGCTTTCCCTAAAAACTGTCCTGGTTTTAGGGGAATCCAGCAGTGGCATCAGCCGGGATGATTACATTGGCCACATTGCCAAGGACATAGAAAACAAGATGCCTAGAATCTTTGACTTGGACCAGATCAGGAAGCACCTCGGGGTGGGAATCTCCCCCACGTCGGTAGTGCTTCTGCAGGAGCTGGAACGCTTCAACAAGCTCGTCATACGGATGTCCAAGTCTCTGGCTGAACTTCAGAGGGTGAGCATGCTCCTAACGCGCACACCACTGCCTAGACACACCACCCAGTTTTCTGATGGTCTTGCCTGACTGCTCTCGACTCTGCGAACAGGCCTTGGTGGGAGAAGTTGGCATGAGCAACGAGTTAGATGACGTAGCCAGGTCTCTTTTCCTCGGGCAAATCCCTAGTATCTGGAGAAAGCTTGCCCCGGACACGTTAAAGTCCCTTGGGAACTGGATGCTCTACTTCCTGCGACGGTTCAGCCAGTACACGTTGTGGGTAAGTAGAGGCAACGGTCTTTTCGTTGGTTCGAGGTTCAGCCCGGACTGACCCTGCCCCCAACCACCTCCAACTCCCAACCCCTCTCTAACTCCGCAGTAGTACCTTCCTTTTGCAGTTGACTGGGTGTTCTAGAAATGGTCTCTGACTCTACAGGCATACCTGTATTGTTTTTTCCTTTTTGTTTCGTTTTCAAGACTTTGAAGCCTATTATGCACAATCTGATTTATTCATCTCAGAGTCCATCTTGGCCATTGTTCCTCTAAGTACATTTGGATCTAACTTACTCTTTTAATGGGGCTCTGTTTTACAGATGTTCCACGTCCTTTCCCCTCATGGACACTTAGGTGGTTCCATTTGGGTTTTTTCTCTTTTTAGCTAGGAGGGACAATGCTCTGGCGCCCATGTCTTTAGTTACGCACATGAGTATATTTCACAGGCAAATCCCTACAATGGCAGAGTTGGGTCCCAGGGTGTGCATTTCACATTCTGACAGCTCTTGTCAGACAGTCTTCTAGAGAAGTGGGAACCACAGTGAACGAACACGAGTATTTCCTCCCCTCTCTGCGACACTGTGTATTCTTAATATTTTGGATCTTTGCTCCGTGATAGGTAAATAATAATACGTGTGGGTGTGCATTTCTTTAATTATGGTGAGGCTGAGCATATCTTACACACACGTAGGTATCTCATTTCTTTTTCTGTGAATCGTCTTTTTGTGTCTTGATTTCATTTTTATCGAGTTCTTCATCTTTTTAAAATGATCTTTTGGAGCTTTTTGTGTATCAGGGAGATTAGCCCTGTGTCTGTCAGTATTGTGTTTCCCCCAACTTGTCATAAGTCTTTTGATTTTGCTTATGGCATTTTTTCCTGTAAGAAAGTCTTACAGTTTTATTTAGTCAAATGTATCAGTCTGTTCTTTTATGGCCTCTGGGTTTAGCATTCCCAACTCCAAGATCTTGACAACATCCATTGGAGATTTGATCTGGTACTTTTGTGACTTGGTTCTTTTATATCTAGATCTTCATTCCTTCTGGAATCAGGCAGTTCAGCTTGTTTTCCCCAGCATGCTTCCAGTTGTACCCACGCCCATCTTTCTGCTGCCAAAGTGAACTATGTTTAATCGTGAACTTAACATCTGGTTCACGCTTGGCCCTGGCATTTGATGTTGGCCCCAGGCTCCTGCCAGCTTCCCTCCTTTCCCTCCAGGTCACCGAGAGCGAGCCCAGCGTGATGTGGCTCTCGGGGCTGCACATCCCAGAGTCCTACCTCACGGCCCTGGTGCAGGCCACCTGCCGGAAGAACAACTGGCCGCTTGACCGCTCCACCTTGTTCACGCAAGTGACCAAGTTCCAAGATGCAGATGAAGTGAATGAGCGGGCAGGACAAGGTACGGTCAGCTGGCTGGGGAGTCTCCTCCCCGAGCTGTCCCCAAGGCAGAGCAACAAGCATGGTGTGGGCTGAAACAGGGCCAGGCCACGTTTGAAAGTGAGGCTGCCGCGGACAGCGGTGCTATGGGTGCGCTCCCCGAGTCTCGACCGGAGGGTGGCCACACGCGCTGCTCTGCCAGTTTCAGCACTGAGACCTGGGGCTGATGTCAGGCGAGACCTGAACCATGTTCCCTGGGCTCCTTTGTGGGAAGTGGGCTCCTCGGTCAGAATTAGATCTTTCACAGAACTGGATCACCCGAGGGCTTCCCTGGAAACCCTGAGGGGTCAGGGGCGTGGGCGCCAGAAGGCAGATCAGACGAGGTTGGACCCATAAAGTATAACGTCAGGTCCCTTCAACACTGGTGACTGATGCTGCAGACTCTGGCTGGGAGCTGCCACTTCCTAGGGCGGGGCCCTGGAGTCGGAGGACATTTAACCGTGAGCAACAGAAGCGCTCTTGAGCCAGCTTCGTCGAGACGGGCTTCATGGTAGAGGTTCAGGGATGCTCACCATCCCCGCAGCACAAGGCCAGCGAGGTCTCAGAGGAACTGGCAGGTGTCAGGGCCACCACGCTCTCTGGGTGACTGACTGTCCTCTGCTGTTGTGCATGTCTGTCGTGTCCTGTTCCCCAGACACCATTTTCTCTGCTGGGTTTGACTCCCTGCCCCCACTCCCTCTGGCTCAGGGGGGACTTGGGGTTGCCGTGGTACCGAATGACCGGTGCTTCCGTCTTTATAACCCGGGGCTCCAGCGTTTTGGGCTGTGTTCCTTGAAGCAGATTGCTGGGGGAGGCGCCCACCCCTCGTCCCCTTCGCCGAGGCTCTGGGGGAGGCTCATGAGATCTACAGAGTGTCCTGTCTGGGCTGTCCCTCCACAAAGGGAAGAAAGGACGGCCACCTCTCTTGGAAAAAGGCCTGGGCTGTGTCTGGGGACGGAGAGCCGGTTACTTGTTGTGCGTGCACCGCGGACATCCGGGAGAGCCGCCGGTGCCTCCACAGAAATCCCCGTCTCTTCCTGGTATCTCTAGGATGTTTTGTCTCGGGACTGTATCTAGAAGGCGCTGACTGGGATGTAGAAAGAGGATGTCTTATCAAGAGCAAACCTAAGGTGCTGGTGGTCGACCTGCCGATTCTGAAGATCATCCCCATCGAAGCCCATCGCCTCAAACTGCAGGTCGGGGGGGGTCACACTTGGGGTGGTTCAGACATTCTGGCCCTTTAAAACACAGGTGGTTAAACTCTGGTGGGTGGGGGAAGCCCACCCTGTCACGTCCTGCCTCATCAAGTCCTCGCATCTGGGGTGGCAGCAGGTGCCTCCCCGCTCAGCCCGGATCCACCTTCACCCTGTCGGTGCTCGGCTGCGGAGGGTGGCCCGGCCAGGCCGGCGGGAGGCGCTGCACCATCTGCACCCACATGAGTGTCCCATGGCCTGGGCTTGAGCTCCTCTGCCCTCCGGCAACACACCTCACTTGCCTCTCCTTTGCAGAACACCTTCCGGACGCCGGTCTACACCACCTCCATGAGAAGGAACGCCATGGGAGTTGGTCTGGTGTTTGAAGCCGATCTCTTCACCTCAAAACACATTTCTCACTGGGTGCTGCAGGGGGTGTGCCTCACGCTGAACTCCGACTGACCGTCCGGGCCAAGAAACCCACACGCCCAGCTCCGTCCGGGGCTGGCGGTGGGAATGTGGGCAGTCGGCAACAGTGGTCACGTCTGCGGTCAGCTCTCGGGGCCTGGAGCGGCTGGGGGTGGACGGACATGGCTTTTCCTTTCATTTGAAATCAGTCAATTTAATCTCTTTCCGTAGAAATTAAGCAGATGGTTTTGGTTTTTAAACTGTTTCTAAGGATTCTGCATATTTGAAAAGTAAATACTAGAGAACATTTTAAGGTATGTCGTTTTGTTGCTCTTCTCAGAGGAGACGTTGTGATTAGGTGGAAGTGCTGGGCTGCTGGGCAGGGTCCGGCAGAGTCCCCTTCCTGGGCCCATGCTGCTGCCCCCAGCAGAGATGGCCGTGGTCCCCCACCGCCACCCCTCCCCCCTTCCAGAGCTCTCCAGTCTGCCGGGTGAGGGTGAGGACCCTGAGCTGGCGTGTCATTCCCGCATGAGCTCCTACCTGCACCCTGGCTGGGTCTGCGTGGGGCTGGGGGCAGACTTAGAATACCCCGGCCTGGCTCCTGGGCGTCCCTTCCTTCCGCACACCCTGGGGCCAGGCCTGCTGGAGGGCAGGAGTGGCTTTGCTTTGCAAGGGAGGAGCCGGGTGGAGCACCAGCAGGGCAGAAGGGCAGGGGCCAGTCATGGGCACAAGTAGCTTCTGCCAGAACCTGGAAGTGCAGTCTTCTCAGGGGCGAGAGCCCCGGGAGAGAACATGGGGTGAGAATGCAGTAGTTACTGGGCGGGGGGGGGGGGGGGGTAGCTGTTTCTCCCGCTCCCACAGTCTCCTCCCCCCAGCTCCTCCCTCAGGTGGTTTAATAAAAGACACAAAACAGAAAGAGGCAGGTTTAGAAAATAAAGTTTGTTGGGATCTTGAACACTTTGGATAAAACTAACAAAAAATAACACACGTTCAGGTTGTAGTGATATGAGAAGTAACATCATATTTCGTTCCCGTGATACACACATACAGCTGCTTGGCTCTCCGTGCCGCCCTGGGAAAGGCTTGTCGGGAGGTTACAGGGTCTCCTGGAGGGAGCAGGGGCTGCTCCAGACGGGCTGCCCTGGAAACTGGAGCGAGAGGGTCAAGGTCGGTCGGCATGTATTGCTCTGGCTGTAGAATGAGGCGTGTGACTATCTGATTTCATTAACGTTGAGTAGTGATGCAGCCTGTGGCCTGTGCTTTGTCCATGAGCGCACGGAGGTTACACGGAGTGGGATTAGAAGCAAGCGATTCGGCACACAGGTGTTTGGCCACAGCGATTAGTAAATACGTATTCTGCAGCAAGGACACGATCGTATTTTGGTGTCAGTAAAGAGGGCAAGAGGAGCAGGAGAAGAATAATCTGTTGACAGGTCTGAAAAAAATTTGGCATGCATTGGATTTAAAACAAACAAAAGCATGGATGAGTTTTTCCTAGTAGTGCTCACAGTGCATCGACAGCCGAAGGTGAAGGGCCGCCTGGGGCAGGCCTCACACAGTTCTGTCCGTCCCTGAGTGCTTCCTCACGGCCTTCCCTCCGTTCACCTGGTCAACTGCCAGCGTCTCCACCTCGGGCTGGGCCTGCGGCGGGGCGGCGTGGTGGATGCGGTGGGCCACCCCCACGTGAGCCTTGTGCGGCTTCTCGCGGGCCGGGCTGTGCTGCTCGCTCGGGCCACGGTCGGAGGTGATGGGGGGGATGACCAGAGGCCTCTCCTTGATGAGGTGGACCTCGGCGGACTCCCTGGCCAGCAGGAATGGGGTGGGGTCAGGCATGGCATCCACTGGCTCCCGCAAGAGGAGTTTCCGGCTCTCAGCCCCAAATCTGTAGACCTCTTCAAACTCGGGGTGCAGGGGGGCCGAGAGGCTCTTTTTCATCCGGCGGCGGGGGGTTTCGGGCAGCTTGTCCTTGGGGGGGGCCGGCTTGTAGCTGGCCAGCACGGGGCTCCCAGAGGGGCTGCCGTCCGAGGTCCCACTGGCGCTCATGAGCTTGCGCTTGGCGGCGTGCAGCTGGGACGTCAGGTAGGCGATGGTGCTGGCGCGCTGCTCGAGCTCGCTGGACAGCATGTTCAGCTTGTGGCTCTTCACCTTCAGCTCCTCCAGGTACTTCTTCTCCCGCTCCTTGACGGTGTTCTCCAGCACCGCGATCATGGCGTTCTTCTGCTCCAGCTCTTTGAGCAGCTCATTGTTCTCGTTCTCCTGGAGCTTCAGTTGGGCTTCCAGTTCTTCACATCTTCTCTTTAGTTCACTGCTTCTGGAAGACCCCTCTCCTAGAAGAACAAGCCGAGGGGGCGGGGTTTAGAACCCCCCGGAGCAGAGGCAGGGAGTCCTTCTGTGTCGGCTGCCCTCCCCGGGGCCTCTTGCTCCCACCCCCCTGCCCTCTCCCTCACCCAGGTGTGGATCGAGTGCTCTCGGAGCGCCTTCCAGCTCTCGGTTCCCTGGCTCACTGCACAGAACGCCTCCACACTTCAAAAATGCTGAAGTCACAACGGGCAATCTCAGGCTATCAGACCCCAGCAAAGAGGAATAAACTGTGAGCAGATCCCTCTGTCTGCTTGGGCCGCATGTACTAAGCGCCTGCTTCACTCGAAGCCCCGTTGTGAAAGACAACTGTAGACTTTCTCCGTGTCTAAGCACAAAACTCTGAAGCTGCAGAGGAGACAGGAGGGGAGGCTGCCGCCTTCCCTGCCACAGGGTCCCCAACTCCTCCTGTCTCAAAGGGCGGCTGTTCCTGGGCCTGGGGGCTCCGCCTCAGCCCCCGGCCCACCCTGTGTGTGCCCACCTCCAGCAGCTCAGGATCTCCCCCCAGCGCTACCGGGGCCTGTGCAGGGCTGGGAGCCAGCGTCCGCGGGCACCTCTCACATGGGGATGCGGGCCGAGTGGGGCCCCAAATCCAGGGCTATGGACTGATGTTTGTTGGCTCCTGACTTTTTAGGAGCTACCGCGTCTGCCTGCCCTACCTCCCTGAGACTTGAGAGAGCTGCTCCTTGGTGACCATTGTTCCCAGGGATCAGCACCTCCTCTTTTGCTAATTTCCACTCTTCTATAGGAAGCTCTGCTCTACCTCCTCCTCCACACCCACATCCTTTTTAAAGTTTCGGTCTTTCCCCATAAAATCTGCATGTGCACTCAGCTGAGGCAACTGCTCTTCATCACCTACAGACAGATTTCCCCAGCTGCCTGAGTGCTCAGTCACTGCATCACTTAAAATTTTTTTTTTTTAAGTAATCTCTACACCCAATGTGGGGCTCGAATTCACGACCCCGAGATCAAGAGTCACACGCTCTATGGATTGAGCCAGCCAGGTGCCTCTCACTGTGGCACTTTTTAAACAGATTCTCAGGTCTCCTCCCTGAGCCTCAGAATCAACCTTCAGGGGAGGGGGTCCAAGAGCCTGTATCTGCGCCCCCGCCCCATGCCCCTAGATGGAGCAAGTTCTGCATCCACCAAGGTAAAGCAGTGACTTCCAGTCTTGGGGAGGGGAGATGCCCCCACCAGGGCCAGCTGAGAGCTCTCATACCGCCTCCAATCATCACCTTGCGCCCCTGCCGCTGAGGAGGGTGGGTGGGTGGCCTTGGGATTTAGAGCTGAGACCCTCAAGGGGCTCTCTAGGGGCAGGGGAGGAGGGACCAGGCATATGAGTTCCTTCCTCCTGTATGCAGAGAGGGTTCAAGGGCAAGAACTAATCTTCAGGTTAGCCTGGCCAGGAGGGGGTGGGAAATGAAACACCCTGATTCCCGAGATGTGGGTGGCAGGGGTGCAGGAATCCCCGGAGGCCCCTGATCCTGGCCCAGGGCTTCGGGGGAGGAGAAGCCTGGCATCCTATCTCTTCAGTGAGGCCCCTCCTCTGCCACACAGACAAAAGGACATCTGGGCCCCTGAAAGACACACTTAAGAGACTGTAACCTGAGTATCACAAATGGAAAAGTCAGTACTTGGCGATGCACCGAGACCCATGGAGAGGTCCGTGTCTGTTACCCGTACTTGGACACACTCATGAATAATAAATAGACCATAGTGCGGCCTATTTAGGAAAAGGCATCTCGACTCGTGTGGATTCTGCACTTTTCAAATCCCCACTTGGTTCTGGGAGCAAGCTAATTGTCATCAGCCACAGGGGCCCCCGTTCTATCTTCTCTGCCCCAGCTGCCATTAGGCTGATATCTTTGGGAGTCCCTGAGGATTCTGGTTGAGGGGAAGCATTTCCGAGACTGCAGTCTAGAGAAAGGCATTCACGATTCTTTGGGGACTATCTAGTCATTTGGTCCCTCACTCAACCAGTGTGTTGGGAGCGCCTGCTCTGTGCCAGGTCCTGGGTGAGGCTCAACGGACAGAGGTGGTGGGACCCTGTTCCTTCTCCTCTTTCTGGTTTAAATTACATTAATTTCTTGATTAGAGAAGGAAGACATTCACTGGAGAAATATCAAAATCAAGAAAAGCATATAACAGACATTCCAAATATATGTGTCCATCAAAAGAAAATAAAACCACTCTTCCTTCCCACTCCACTGACAGCCCCTCATAACACCTCAGGGTCCAAACGTCCTTCCCATCTTTTCTTAGAAAGCTCTGGTCACACGTGCAACTCTTTCTAGCAATGTATTTTCTTCTAGATGTGTAGCTAATGAACAAATGGCACCAACATGTGCCACAACCAGAAATAATACCACCATTCACTTTCCGGGAAGAAGTTCTTACCTGTCTGGTCCGAACTTTTGAGTGTCAGCTCATATGTTAAATCTAAAAAGGAAACCATATACATTAATTTTGTATGTTTACAGTAGGTTTCAAAGTCTTCATCAGCTCTGAAAATGCAGAACCGGTTCCCATGATCAGCCCGCAAATCCTGCCCAGACAGAGCAGGGCTTGGCCGCGTTAGCGGCAGGCGTGCAAATGGCAGGAGCCACCAGCGGCCACTGTCCCTCCTAGGGCTCAGAGAGACCCTCCTTCCCTAAGACACACCCTGGCATCTACAGTTAGCAAGCAGCTTGCTCTGTGTGTTACAGTCTGACGATCAGTTCCAAAATGCACTGTAAATCCTAACCATTGCATTTTGATCTTCTAAATCCTCAGTATGCCAAGGAATGACTTTGCAGCTTTACGCTTGGTGTGTGTTGATTAGGCAAAGAGGATGAGGGAAGACATTGGGATGGACTCCAGCGATGGTGGGGTTAACCGCATCAGAGAGAAGAGTGAAATCTCCTCTCGCTCCACTCCTGAGCAAGCCTGGCATGGCTTCTGAGCCGGCTTCTGTCTCAAACAGTCCCGACAACAGGTCCTGCTTTGCTCTACGGCCCCAGCTGGGCCGGGGGGCCCTGCTCCGGGGGTCGCGCGGGGCCCCTGGTACCTGTGCAGTGTTGCTGCAGCCGCCTGATCTCGGCGTGCAGCCCCTTGAGGGTGCTGGCGTGCTCCCGCTGAAGGAACAGGAGGTTCTTCTGGGCACTGTGCAACTGGTTCTCCAGGTTTGTGGCTGCCATGCTGACATCCAGATGGCCTGCGGGAAACACAGACCCTGGTGGCTACCTCTGACAGCGAGGGTTGCGGGTGGAAGGCTGGAAGAGGGCGCTGCCTGCTGCCTGCCCTCCTTGGCTCTGGGGGGTGGCAGGCAGCATGAGGCCTGGCTCTGGAGGCAGAAGGGGTACATCAAACCTGGGTTCCCCGATTCCAAATCCTAGCCTTTCCACATGCCACATAGACTTCAACAGACTGTGACCAAAATTGCTAGATTGCCAAAGATTTCCCCGACAAGGTACACACTGACAGCTTCCTCACGGAAAGACCGAGCACCTGGGCAATGGGGTGAACGTTTCCTCAAAATGGTATTGAGAGATGGCCAAAGCGAGGAGGAGGAGGAAGAGGCGGGGAGAACTCCAGAAGGAAGCCCATGGATTTCACAGAGCTGAGAGGAGCCCCACATCTTTCTTTGGGAAAGGGCCATGTGGTGACTATGGGAAGCTGGAGTCTGTCCCCAAACCCTGCCTCCCCACCCACGGTGGCTTCTGTCATCAATCATCAGCTGCTCACTCAGGGCCTCAGATTCTCTGACTTTACTGTAACTCGAGAAATGTGGTGAAGTCAATTGGTCTTTCTGGAAAAGCTACCAAAGAAATTTAAGACGCCTTGCACAGCACTGAAAAATGCAAAGGACGAAATGTGGGTTATTTGCTTGTAAATTATTCTTGTAAATACAGAACCTCAGAGTGCATTTTTCCTCATTTGCTATGCCAAAGAGCCCTCCCAGAGGAACACTACTTCTCAAAGGGCTTCCGGTATGTGGATGGCTCTGGAGATGACCACACGCCCAGGTGCTGTCACCACACTGGGTGACACACCCCAGCTCTGGAGTTAAGCAAAGTTCATAACTGGAACTCAAGACCTGCGTCTTCAGTCACACGGAAAAGCTTCCCACGACCTCCTCGGGCCACAGGCTTCACTTGAGGCAAGCTGAGGAAATAGAGTGTGAGAGGCAAGCCCGAGAGGGAGGGAGGGAGGGCGGGTAAGGGGAACAGGTACAGAGGAACAAAAGGACATTCGGCGGGGAGCGGGGCATGGTGCAGCGTCCAGTGGTGGTGTTGGCCGCTTTGCCCTGTCGGGGGGGGGGGGGAAGGGGGTACAATTTGGCGAAGTGTGTCTGGAGCCTGGGAGCGTACCATCCCTCTGACTTCACGATTTCATTTCTAGGAATCGAGCGAAGGACAAGATTTACTTTTGTGTGAAAAGAGGTAGCCGTGACAATGGCCGTTACAGTGCAGTTCACAGAAAAGACCAGAAACAGAATCCAACAAGAGGGAACTCATTACAGTGATGGCTTCTAGAGAACAGAGATGAGATTTCCCAGGCCTTTAACTCGACTTCAAGCTGCAGCTGAGGCCAGGGTCGAGTTTCCGTCAGACAGAGCTTTTCCATGGGGAGCTGTGAGCAGCCTTGCAGTTTCCACCCTGAAGGCTTGTCTCTGCTGCAGCCAGGTGCTCCTGTCCAGGTCCTGGGCCAGGCGGGGACTTCCACCTGGGATCCCAGGGCTCTGGAGAGCCCATGCTGCCTGGCCAGCTCGTGGTCTCGTGTTAGAGCAGGACACTAACATAGGAGTCAGCCATCACGAGTGGCGCGGGTGGGCTGGCCAGCGTGCTCTTGTGGCAAGGAGCCCCCTCTGACTTCCTGCTTAATGCTCACTTTAAGTCAGGCCTTGCTCAAAGAAAAGGGGAAACACTAAAATTTCAAAACAGTTTTGTCCAGCACTGATTGTACAAGATGAGATGTGCCCATAATCTACCAGAGCGGGCAGGGAGGGGAGTAAAAATAGGACCTCAGCGGCTACCCCGTTCCAATCATAGTGTGGTACATTTTATTTGTAACACATTTAAATCTGATTTAAAGAAGCATTCATATTCTAATTGCCTCAGTGGATCAGCAGCTTTGAATTGTACTAAATCTGTAATTTATTAGTTCACTGAGGCAAGTACAGAAATAAGAACGTGCCCTTGAAGCTTCCCATTGTCATGGGCAGACAGCCTCGGGAGAAACACAAAGTGAACAGGAAGACTATGAGTCTGTAATGTGCAGAGCCAGCAAGGGCGCGTGGCGACTCCGTCTGGGGTCCCGACAGCGGGAAGGCAGGCGTTTTCAACCCCGTGGCACTTCACTGACTGGCGCTCTGTCCTTCTCTGCACTCTGTGCTGACGTAACAGGCCCAAGTGAGGAGAAGCTATTCATGCAGGGCACCCTCCAATTGTTGGGATACAAAGCAACAGTGCAGGCCCACTTAGGCCCGAGGAAACGAGTCACATCTCCAAATGGTATTCAAGCTACTCAATTCTTTTCCCTCCGCTCAAAAGGCTGACAATATCACAGACTTCCTGATGACAAGGCGTTGCTATAGCCTAAAAGAAAGTGATGATTTCAATTTCTTATCCTTAGCTCTTGTGACATGCAATCACGGGTCATGACCTAATCCTTCCAGTAAATTGGCAAGAACGAAGTTACAGAAGCCTCCCGTTTAGGCCATGGAGACACAGCTGGGAGATGTGGCTAATCTGGAGGAAGAAATGAAGGTGGTCCTGAGAGGCTTAATTCAGAATCTCTAAGACACTCTGGGAGTCAGAGACACGAAGGAGCATTCAGGACTCATCCCTGAAAGGGTCAGCGTGATGGATGAAGGTAAAAATGCAGGGCGTCTACTACCCATGAAAAATGCATCCTTCTTGAGTAAAGGCATTCACCCCGTCTCGACAGTGTGTCAACCAGTAATGGAGGCTGACACTCCCAGAGCACAGCTTGCACAACACTGCACTTTCTATGTCAAAAGGGGCATATGCTACAAATTGTGGGCTCTTTGTATTGCCGCTTTTAGTCTTGAGGCAATCCAATTTTGTTTCTAAGCGTCGCTGGGAGCTGTCAGCAATTTCACAGTTATTGGCTCGGCCAAAGGCAGTGCGGCCTGGACATTGGCCTCCTCTCCTCTCGGAGATGCTGTGCTTAGCTGCAGATGATGGGCTTCCAAGTGACTGGCATTCCAGGGCCCGGCCACGGTGGCGGTCAGAGGGCAGGACCCCCGCCCACGGCGTGCACGGCTCTGCCAGCAAACTCGGGCTGAAGCAGTGGGCATGGGCATCCTGAAGGGAGACCTGCTGAACAGGCTACCTTGACCACGATTTGGAGGTTAAGCCACACATGCAGTTTTTCCTGTGGTAAATTCATGAGGTAGTAAATTTCTGTTAATTTGCAATTCCCTCTACATGTTGGGAAAATTAATGCTTGACAAAGACTGTTCCAAATTCTAGAGAGGGGTTCTGGAGACCTGGCCAAGACTTCCTCCCAGCGCGGGGAGGGATGCTAACACCATTTCCTGGCAATAACATGCTTTTAATGAAGGTCCTTGGAGAGACGTCGGCCCCGACCTCACCGAGACTGCTCTGTGGCAGCACAAGGACAAATGGCCTATCAGTAGCTTGTTTCCAATTTTCGTCCTAACTCAAAAGTAATGTTCTTTCCTCTCCTTCAGGGCATTAATGTATAAATGATGACATGATAATTTTATTTATGGGCCATCTCCACTTGTACGGGCACAAAGTGCTCTCCTATCACCTACGTCGTTGGCTCTCTGAACACTCCCCTGAGGAAAAACAGGAATATCCCATCGACAAGGGAAAACATAAATCCGAGAATGCTGCATCTGCGCCTTGCAGCTTCTCTGGGCCCTCAGGCTCTGTGGGCGAGAATCCTGAAGGCTGGGGTAGGTCTCAATTCCATGCAGAAAATCAGATGCTTTTCCAAACGTCTGCATCACATCTCGAATGCTCTGACCCAGAGGGGCAAATAAAGCAGGGGACCTCGCGGTGGCCTCTCAGCACGGGGAGCGTAGTGCTCCTCCAGCCGAGCCAGGCCCGGGCCACGTGACAGCCTGCACAGCACTGCTCACCGGAGCAGGATCCACGGGCTGAGCTCCAGGTTAGACAGACAATGACCAAAGGGCACTGCTGACCAGCCAGTATGGCAAAAAGGCTCACCAGCAAAGTTGTCCAGGAAGCTGGCTGGGGGCAGGGCACTCTGGGCCTAGCCGGAGCCCTCATGAAGCAGCTAAGCCAGCTTGGGAGAAAGAATAAGGTACACATAGCGTTGCATGTGTGCCCTGGTCCTTGGGGTTCAGGCGGATGCCCAATCCGAAAGCCAGGGCCATACTCCCTGTCTTCCTCTGGGGCTGACTCAGCAATGAGTCTGTGTGGGGTCAAAAGGCCGCATCTTGGCCCCGCTGCTGCTGTGGGGAGCAGCTCTGGTGCTACGATGGGGAGGAACCAAAGCCAGACTCGCTTTTGCCCCCTTTTAAACACATACCTTTTTCTTCAACATTCCTCCTAAGCGCACACACAGATCTTGCCTACATTTTCATCTGCAGACAAAGTTGACCATCTTGCATCCCTGCGATGCTCTTGGGATCCAGCCCCCATTCCCAGAGGCCCAGCCTGCTCCGCCTTCCCTCCCCAGCCTTGCCCCACACCAGTCTCCCCCTGGACTCCATCAACACTGTCGTCCTCCCCCACCTCATCTGCCATACCCCTCCCCCAACACAGGGCCTTTGCGCGCCTTTTCCCTCCATCTGGAATTCTCCTGGCAAACTACCTCCCACCCTCCTGCCTAATGAACTTCCATTCTTCCTTTACATCTGAACTCATGCATTACAGGCCGGCTTCAGATAATTTTACAATGCTTCCTAATGTTGCTGAGTGCAGGTCTCCACGAGAATTACATTGCATTAATCAAAAAGCATTACGGCAGCACTGATTTGAACATGACCTCATCCCATAATTCCTTGACATGCCAGAAGCAATATTTTAAAGTGTACCTGTCCACATTTCTTAGACTAGAAGCAATGGAGTGTCTTTGATGGGAAAGGGTCCCACCATTTAAAAATGGGAAACTTCTTTGTTCGTGGGCAATCAAAAGCAGACTTATCTTTTCACTCAACACAAAGCCTGTGGAACTAGGGTAATAATTTTAGAA